GTATATGTACGCATGTATAAATAATTTAGTAAATTTGTTTTGTTTTTATCTCTTGTTTTTGTTTTTGTTTTCTTCGCAAGTCTCCGTTTAATGGGGACTGTCTATATTGGTTGAGTTCCTTTATTTGAATTAATTCTCTGGGGCAGAGAGACACATCCTTAAAAAATCGTTTCGCTTTAAATAAAATACATAATATATTTGTTGTTTGTTTTGTATATGTCTGCTTGTATATGTATATATAGATATATGTTTTGTTATACATTTATATTAAAATAATTTGATGTATAAAGCGTTTGTTTGGGTTTTGTTTTGCTTTCGATTTATGTTACTTTTTGCTCTTGTCTCGGGATTTAACTAAATGCAATTATGATACAAGACGCACGAATTACTAAATGAGCAAACCATGAGGGGGCGGGGTGGGGTGTTTTTTTGTTGTGTGGGTGGTGACTGATGCGTGGGTGGAGGTGAAGTGGGTGGTGGAGCAGGAGGCATTGTGTGCTCGCGTATGTGTGGTTGGTGTCGGGTGTGTATTGTGTAGTTAACTAAACCTTCATCGACCTTGACTGATTGCCTGAGCCCGCGGGAGAAACAAACCCTTGGTGGCTGCCTGTAAACATATACTCGACTCTATATATATTCACGATCAATATGTATATCGTATATGTATAGTGTAATATGTCTTATATCCATATCCGCCCGAAATTTGTTTGGTTTTTGTAAGCGTTGCATCGAGGAACAAATTATTCAACAAATCCAGCTTCAAATACTGCGATATCGATATTGTTAATTGTATTTCGGTTATCGTTAGTAATTAGTTACAGTTTTAGCGCTGCTTTACATTTCTGGTTTCTTTTGAGCAAAAGTCTCAAAAATATTTCGGTTTTTTCCATTTCATTTATTTTGACCACAAAAAAAGAACAAAATTAGTACAGTTGACCAAACTAATGAAATAATAATCGTAAAAATAAGGTGGACAATATTCAATATTTTACTTTTTAATATTTCTAAATGGTTCTTATCGTTTCTCTCTTCTCCGAATTTTCACATCGATTGTATAAAAAATCTTTGGCAGCATCTTTATTAAAGGGTTCGTCCTTCATTCGCTTGATTTCTCGATTTGATCTTGCCAATTGTTGACTATATATATATATAGCTATATTATAATATGCGTGTGTCGATTAGGAATTAACGTAACTATATCGAGTGATTGAGAAACATGTGTGTTGTTTTTGTCTGTGTAAAGTTAAGTATTTCCTAATTAGTTGTACACAATTTGTTTGAATCATCTTCGTTTTTCTTTCGCTGAGAGTACATCAAAGTAAACTAAAAACCATAAAGTACTGGGAACACGAATAGAAAATTAAATATTTTAATACAGTACATGTGATTTCGATATACGTAGATAAAATAGATGTAAAGAGTTGAGGTGGAAAGCTTTCACTTTGTCACATTATACACAGTAAGCAACTAAGAAAATATCTCTTTACTCACACGATTTCGTACATTTTCGTTTTCATTTTCTTTTTAGATTTGTGGTTTTTATTGCTTTTTGCAGCTTTCGGCCTTGAAAATTAAAGCGCAGTGGGTGGCGGGGGCGGAGAAGGGGGTGGGAGGGCGGCGTTGGTCAATTTTCGTCAGTCGGTATTCGTATTGTTAACGTTAACGTTAAATGGCATTTTGTCCAAAAGGTTTTCCATGCCTCGCCCTTTTTAATCACTATTGCTTCGGTTTCGTTAAGTTTGTTGTTCGGTTCTCGTTTCGGTTAGTAATTGTCGCTGACTAGTGGTAGTACCGCCCCTCTCCTGGCCACGCCCCCTTTCTGGGCCATTCGCTAATCGTACATAACTGTATACATAATACAAATATATACAGGTGTGTAAATATATATATATATTTTCGCTAGAAATTCTATAGTTTATATACGTAGTTAGTAAAATGTTATCGTCGTTAAGTTGCGTAATCTCAACTAAATTGTAAATTTGATTTAAACTTAAGCACAAATATGTTTATTTGGTTTTTCACTTAAAAATTTGTATGCCATAGGAAATAAATTTGTTGTTTTGTGTGTTTGGTGTGGAAAAGTGTTTTTTTTTTAAACGCATTGCATAAAAATCATATACGGTTTCACTTAATATCATTTTTTTGTTAAACTTAAATTAAAATTTAAAATTTTATTTAAAGCAACAATTGACTTTTTCCATTTTGTGGCTCAACAAAGAGAGAGAAACAAAAATTAAACACAAAATTAAGATAATAAATGTTTTCCTCTTTATGTAGTGGTTTTAGTTTATAAAATAAAAGCGTGTGGAATTACAATTTCATTTGAAGGCTTTCATAAAAACTAGAAACAATTGTAAAATGGTATTTTTTGTTGGTTTTTCGTTTTTCTATAACAGTTCTCGAGCTTGCCTTTTTTGTTTGTTTTCACAGAAATCGTGTTGACTAAGGCCAAGACAAAGTATGTATCAAAATAAAATCAAAATTAAAAACAATAAAGTAACTTGCACTGTGAAGTAGAAAGTAAAATACAAATACGATTAAAAGGAATTAAAAACAAATCTTTTGGTATACTTTGCATTTGAGTGTTATCATTGTCTTTAGCAAAATGTTTCCTCTTAATACTTTCGTAGTTAATGCAGCGAAAAAATAAAAATATTTATGCGAAAATGAAAGAGGAAATGTCTAAGAAAAGTGAACTGAAATCCAATGGATTTCGCGGTAGATTCAGTTCAATAATATAACATTTGCTTGGGTTCCTAAGTTTATAAACGAAATGCAAAACATAATTAAATTAAAAATTATATATTTCAACAGCCAAATTGTTTCACAAAAAAATTGCATTTTTTACCCTCTCTCTCTTTCGCTCATTATCGTCCCTTCCGTTCTAAGACCATCAACAACTTTGGGGTACATAGTATTAATTATAATGTTTACAGTTAGATGTTTATAATTTCAGTGGTATAACATAAACAAAAGCGTTTCACATTGGTTGTCGTAGTTGTTTATAGATTAAACTAAGTCTAAATTATAATTATTTATACAGAACTGTGTAGCCTCACACGTAACAACGTAAAAACTAAAAAAAAATTAATTAGAATTACAAATATGACAGTTGTAATGATTGTTAAGCAAATTTTTAGTGTATTCGTATTCGTCCTTTTTAATTTTTTAGAACAACTTAACATTAAACATAAACATAAACGCGATTTTCATGGTTTTGTGTTGTGTATGTGCTAAAACTAGGTTTTAAAATTAAAAAAATGACAAGATTTAAAACAGTTTTTTTTACTTTTCTTCGCATTGTGAAGCACAAATACATAAGATGGGTTTAACATTAACTTTTTGCTGTTTAAAACATTGAAAAGGAATCAAATAGTTTTGAACAAAACGAACAGGATATTGTTCACAATAAAAAGGATTCATTTCGTTGTATGTTGTGTAAGAGAGTGTGAAGTGTAAGTGTAAGTGTAGATGTTGAAGTGGATGTATAATAAATGTGGTTACAGCCTATAAAAAATAAGTTGCTTGCTTTGCTTTGCGTTCTCGCTCAACTTGATCTAAATAAAACGCCACTTGTTGTTCTTTCTATCGTTTCTCACATAATAAAATTTACACAATTAAAAAATGTTATTTTGTATATAGATAAATAATAATGTCTTGGGAGTAAACCAGCCTTATATTGTATTACAACGGGAAAGAAATGTTGCATGTATCCGTACATATATCATCTTAAATGGTTGTCTATATCGTCTATATAAATCGTGAGTGTTTTGGGTGTTTTTGTATGTCGATAACATGCACGTGTGTTTCATTTGTTTTGTATATAAGCAAAAGGAATATCGTTTGTTTTTTGTTTAACAATGTATATAAGAACTTAACAGATACGTTTTTCTCTTTGTAGGTTTTTTAACGCTTGTTGTTGTTGTTGTCTCTGCTGTTTTAGTTATTATAGTTGTTGGCCTAATGCGAATTGCATTCGTTTTGTTTGGTTTGTTAGCTTACAGATTAATTTGTATGTAGAGTTTGTTTGTTGTCTGTAGGTTCTTATTGGATGTATTGCGTGAAGAACGCAATTAGTTGATACATATCGAATGTATTCTCTGGGTCTCTGGATATTAGCGGACACAAATTTGCCATGTGGTGTAGTGTGTTGCCTCCTTTCGTCCTGTCGTCCTCCATCCCTCGCTTTCCCTATGCCTAACTCCGTACTTTCTCTTCCTGCTTTGTATATTATATGGCAAAGTCATATAGTCATAGGATTTCACATATATGTTTAAGATATATATAGTTTGTTTTGTTTTTCATATATTCATATAGATTTATATATAAATAGATATCACCTTATATAAGCAGCGTAAGGAAAAAACCTAAACAGTTTTTTTTCTGAATTTTTATCTTAGTGTTTTGGTTTCAGTTTGAAATCAAAATAAACTACTTAGATTTCATCTTCTTCTATAATTATTGCCTGTACGCGACTTCTGATGACGCCCTCAACAAATTATTTACTCCTGGTTAATTTCCTTCCTTATTTGTTAGCAAAAACATGTGCACAAAAGTTGCACATTTTGCTAAATATACATAGGTGTAGATATATATATGCGTGTTTCGTTTGTTTTTTTTTTTTTGTTTTTTAGAAAAAGATTCTGGAAGGGTATGCACAAAAAAGCTAATCGGTCGATATAACAATATATATGTCTATATAGATAATAAGTAACATGTAAAGTAGTAGTGTTTGTGTGAGTGTGGCTTGTGTGTGTGAGTGTGTTATGACAATTTTTAACAAGAACATAAATTCAATTAAAAAAAGTATAATCAAAAACAATTTAAAAAGAGTTTTTAAAAAACATTTTGAAAATATCCCAAGTTTATATCGTTTGTTTTTTGTTTTCTTTGTTTTCTTGTTTGTATTCTAAGTAAAATATTTTTGTTTTTCTATGATAGATTTGTTGATGTTTGTTTTTAGTAGTAGCGCTAATTGTTTTTAAATTAGAGATCAAAAATAGTATTTGTTGCATTTTGTTTATCATTTGTTATTGGTTTTTATACAGTTGCTGTGTCTCACAAACAGCAACATTTGTTGCGGTTTAAAAGGATTTTTGGTGTTTCGAGATTTTGCCTTCCCTTTGCACATATATATACTTTGTCCTACATATATGCCTATGCGGATTATTGCAGTTGCTGTTAATGATGTTGATCTTCCAGCAAAACATTGCTAATCCTTGCTTAAAATTCCTAATATATGACTGTGGGTATTGTAGTCGAAGGCTGCTGATTGCTGTTGCTGCCGTTGCTCATGTTGCTCACGATGCTCATGTGACTGATGCTGTGGCTGTTGCTGCAGTGCTGAGGTTGAGTCCTTGTCAAGAGGTTGATGTTGCTATTGCTATTGCTATTGGTGTTGCTGATGCTGTTGCTGTTGCTGCTGCTGTTGGTTGCTTGCTGCTGACGTCGACATCCGTATATCTTGCCCGACGAGTATTTATAGTTGTATTTGTTCATATCGACTGATGGACGATTGTTGCGCGCTTTGATTTGCAATCAGTGAACATAGAGGGTGTTCAGGACTAGAACATGATGATTGTTCTTGGCCAGCGTCACCACATAGCCCTCGGATGTAATTTTCAGGCCGCAGCAGCGGGAAACCTACGAATGAATCATTGTTAGCTCGTCCGCAAATCGATGGAGTCAATACAAAAGCAAGTTTAAGTGTAATTAAAAGGGCTGTGAAGTTCCAAGTTAATTATGCAAGATGTTTGACCTACTCGTATGGAGAGTTGTAATTCTATGTATAATCACTAACCTTGACGTGTGGACACTCGAACTCGGACTGAAGGGCGCCCTCGCGTGAGTAGCAGGCCACGTGGAAGCGATTGCCGTGCGAGTCGCCGATTAGCACGTCCCCGGCATTCGATATATCGATGCCATTGGGGAAGCAGGTGACCTTCTCGTTGCCAATCCGATAGAGAAAGGTGCCGTCGTCTTGGAAAACAGCCACGCAATGGCCCTTGAAGTCGCACACGTAAAAGTCGTTGTCTGGCAGACAAAAGAAACGGGGTAATGGTGTTAGATCAACCACATACTATCCTAATTTCAGCAGCGATTTCTCACCTCGTATGGCAATGTCGGAGGGCTCGCGCATGTAGTCGCTGCAGTCGAACCAGCGAACCAATTCGCCCTCCTCGGAGATCACAAACACGGTGGGCGAGACGCTATCCACAGCCACGATGTGCCCTTTAGCCGTGACAGCCAATCCCGCTACGATATCGATGTATCTGCCGAAAGGAATTACTCCGAATTAGTTATTTAAATTTATTATTTTAAAAAAATCTATAAGCCAGTTTTTAGATAAAACTCGATTTTAAAGGTTAAGCATTATAGTCACCGTGTCAGTAATTCGTTTCTATATCAATCTTCAAATTTTAAATCATACATGAATTGGAAACGATTTTAGTAGAACTATTTCTTAATTACCATTCAAACTTGACTTAAAAATGATACAAGCAAGAATACTTTAATCGTAAAATTTGTTGAATCGTTTTTTGAAAAATTTTCTGAAGCCTACTATTAATTAGTGAACCCCTAAATATCAATTAAAACTAAAAATAGTTACCTGATGGCAATCTTGCGCATAAAGTGTCCGCACTTTGAAAAGATCTGCATCCGGGAACGCTCGTTGCCACGATCGCAGACCACAAACTTGCCATTGTTATGCATTACGGCCACCTTCCGCGGATACCAGAGCTGTCCCTCCTCCTTGCCGGCCACTCCAAACTGAAACTTCAGTGCGCCCATCTTGTCGAAAACCTCGATGCGATGGTTGTTCGTGTCCGCCACGATGATCTCCTCGTCGACGCCGAGGCAAAATCCGTGGGGTGAATTGAACTGGCCCTTGGCCGTGCCCAGAGAACCGAATTTGCAGCGGATCTGCATTGGGGTGGCCTTGTTCCGGCCCGTGACCACACTGGTGGTGCCTGGCGTAGCCACAGCGTGGAAGTTATTGAGTCCCATGTCCTCCACTCCACCCACGATAGGATTGAGAGACTGAAGACTGGGCGAGGTGGCCGGTGGCATGCAGAAATCTGACAAAAAATCAATGCCCGTTGGGGATCCGTTCAACAAAAGACCATCATCTGTGTGTGGTGTCGCAAAGGTGGTTGTGGGATTTCAGGTGTTGTGGTTGGTGTTGTGGTTGGTGTTTTGGTTTTGGTGTTGTAGGTGTGGGTTTGCATTTTGTGCAGAAAGCAAAAAGAAAAACAACTCAAAAGTTAAAGGAAATCTAAACAAAAATAATAAAGTTGGGATTATCACCGGTGAGCCGATGAAAACAACAAAATAGCAAAGAAGGATTGGCCAAAGAACAAACATCAAATTGTTATTTAACCAATTTCTCGATATTCCATTAATATTACAAAATATGTATAATAAGTAATGAGCTTTCCTACGGACTATTGACCGTTTCCCTTGCGTTGCGTTAAAATGTCTTAATTTCAAAAGTTTAAAAGAAATATCTATCATAAAGCTGCAAAAGTTAACAGGAGTTCTCATTAAACAGAAAAACAGAATTTGTTTGCTTCCAAATATATAAAAAGGTTGGTAAACATTTTAACAGCAATGCTAGTCAGGTTTTACTAGGTAATCGATATCCTTCTTCAAAATTTGCACAAATGATCGAAGACTAATGTTACAACTGAAGCTAACGCTAGAACTCACCATTGTTGTTGAGTCCCAGCTTGGCCAGCGCCTGAAGATTGTTGAGCGCCCGCTGGTCGCCCGAGAGGATGTCCGCCAGGGTAATTGGCTGCGTGGGAGTCACCGCCGATGCCGGCATCACTGCCTGCTGCTGCTGCTGATGGGAATGCGAGGCTCCTACAACGGCTCCACCCGTCACGGCCGAACCACCCGGCACTTGGGGAACATTTGGACCAGGCCCAGATGCACCTCCTCCGACGGCCATGGCATCGTTAAGGGTATCTGGCATCGATTCCGTCAAGCTGGCCAGTCGCGAGATATTGTACTCCAGCATGCTGAAGCTGGGCGGCGGACCGCCGGCGCCAAGACCATTAATTGATATATTCGGGCCGGGACCGGAGTTGAGATTGACATGTCCAGCCTGCTGGACTATGCCCTGGGGAGCGACAAGCTGGCCCATCTGCTGGGGCAAAGACTGGGTCGACGGCTGCTGGTGCAAGACCTGTTGCTGTTGCTGCTGCTGTTGGTGTTGCTGGTGCTTCTGCTGCTGTTGCACCTGCTGCAGCACCACCGCCTGTTGTTGCTGCTGCTGCTGTTGCTGTTGCTGCTGTTGTTGTTGCTGAGACTGCTGCTGCTGCTGGGCCGATGGCAATTGCTGTTGCGTAGATGGCTGCGGCGGCGAGTCCATCATGGAAAAGTTGGTCATCACCGAGTTGGTGTCGCCATCGAAGGAACTCTGCAGTGAGGAGGGCAGCGAGATGGGGCTAAATACAGCAGAGCTCAGGCGTCCTTGGACAGAGGAGCTACCCCGATGGCCCACAATCAGATTGGTTGAGCTATGTTGCTGCTGCTGTTGCAACTGCAACTGCTGCTGCTGCTGTTGTTGATGTTGCTGCACCTGTTGCTGTTGCTGCTGCTGCACTTGGTGCTGGTGCTGCTGTTGCACTTGCTGCTGCTGTTGCTGCTGCTGTGCGATTGATTGCTTCTTGGGACTAGAGTCACCCTGATCCGTTTGGAATTTGCCAAACATCTCCTTGGCGAATTGCTCAAACTTTTCTGGCTTCGATTCAAACTGCAACTGATAGTTTACATCGCATTTGGGCGTCTGCTCCATGAGATTCAAACACTGGGAGTTAATCACCGGCTTCAGCAGCAGAAACTCAACGGCATTGGCCTTATCGATGGCCCTTTGTCCAAATTGCGAGGCCTGCTGCAGTTTTCCCATATTGTTCTCCAGACTCTGCATCAGATCCATGATCTTCAGCTCGCGGTCTGAGTGCAGGCGACCCAGCTCGTTGAGCAGCTGCTCCTTGATCGATTCCAGCATTCGCTTGTAGGTCTTGTAGGCATCCTCGATTTGCTGTCGCACCGTATCGTGCTGCGACTGGAGTTCCGTGAGGGCACTGCCCAGGTTTCCGCCCGCATCGTTGCAGTAGTCCGCCTTCTTCAGTGTCTCGATCAGAGTCTGCTCGAGATCGGCGCGAACTGCCTGCTCCGCCACCGAGGCCGTTTCATAGTGATGGTCGTTGCCCTTATGCTCACTCAGCAGGCAATCGTTGCAGGTGGGCACCTGGCAGGTGAAGCAGTAGTACTTGAGATTCTCGCTCACATGCTGCCGGCAGCACACCGGCTTGTGGATGATCAGCTTGTCGTGGACGTTCTTTGTTAGATCCTCGATGCGCACCACATGGTGGTTCTCGAAGCAACGCATATACTTGTGGGCGTTATCGCAGCCATTGCATAGGAAATTGGCGCAATCGTTGCACCTCGAAATGGCCTCCTCCTTGCTCTTGCACGAGGTGCACACAATGTGCTCAGACTCCAGGTTGGAGAGGTCCAGTATGTTGGTCACGATATAGTCGCAGGTTAAACCCTTGACCCCCTTGGGGCCCAGGGGCGTTTCCTGCTTGCAAACGGGGCACTCGAGGAGCAGAGCGGGCAAACGGTGCTGGTTCTCGCTGCCATCGAACGAGGACGAGGAGCAGCTGTTCGGCGAACTGGCCGCCATTGAGTCCTTCGATACAAGAGCCTGAAGACAGTCCTCGCAGAATACGTGCAGGCAGGACAGGATGCGCGGCATGACAAGGCGCGAACTGTAGACAAATAAGAAGATAATACGGATTTTAAATAAATGGATCGATATTCGCCTTATAACTATACAGAATATCGGTAGGTAATGCCACCCAAATTATTATTATACATCAACACTTTGTAAATTATTATACGGTTCAATTTAAAAAAAGTCTCAAAATATCGTGAAGCCATCCATGAAAAAGTTTCTATGATATTAAATATCAATTAGTTAATGACAATGTTAAATATGTGTATGTTTTCTTAATAAATAAAAAGCAAATAAATAAAATAGATAAATTATAAAATAAATAAATCATTTTTTCGCTCCGAAGAAATTTAAATTTTTCGCGCTTTCCAATGCTAGATTTAAATGTCATACAAAAGTCCAACTCATATTATACACTCACCTGCACAGCTTGCATAGCTTATCGCCATCCTTGATCATTAGGCCGTTGCACGAGTCCTCCAGCGAGTCCAGCTCGGTGACGCCGTGGCTGCTCAGCTCCTGGCTGCTCCCAGCACTGTCCACATCCACCACTAGACCCAGTCCGGATGAGTTAGAGTCGTCCAGCAGAACGGATGGTCCAGCGATGGCGGTGGAGCCGGTCGAAGAGATGGAAGCCGCCGATCCGATGCTCGAGGAGCTAGTCACATCCAGACTACCGACAGTGCTGCTGCCTTTACCAGTGTCCGTATCAGTGGCCGATCCCGAGCAGGATCCAGAGCTGGAGCTTGAGCTGCTGGAACTCGAGCTGCTGCTGCTCGTGTTGCTCACGTCAATGTCTTCGAGCACCGATGAGTTCGAGGCATCGTCGCTGAGAACGCTTTTCAAGCTGGGGATCCCTGGGGGACACGGATCCACCGTGTCCACCGCCTGGACAGGCTCCTCCAAAGTAGTCATGATCCTGCGAATAAAAACGGTGAAATATATTAATTTAGTTATAAAATCTGCAAAACAAAACTTTTTAACACGGAAACATATCGAAATAAAGCACTGCTCAATAATATTTACTTTAAAACAAAATATAAAAATTAAATGGTTTTATAATTCTATAAAAACCTTTGAAAAATATTACTGTGTTCAAAATTATATTATCGCTTAAAGAACATAAATTGTTCAATATTAGTCTATGAAGCTATCATTAGATCATCGAAAACGCAAAATAATAAATAATAAAAACAGCGTGTAGTTATCGTTTCCCTTGCACTCACCTTTCTTTTGGCGCTTCTCTGGTTTAAAATGTGCTTGTCTTCCAATTAAACAGATTCCCTTTTGGCTGGGATGTCTTTCCTGTTTCCTGCTGTTTCCTAATTCCTGATCTTCCCTGGCGACTTTTAAGCTTGGTTATTTACTGCTGATCCTGCTGCTGATGCTCCCTAATGTCCTGCCGCCCTCCCAAAAGAGCCATTCCAAGAGGGGGATTTCCACTCGCGACAAATAAAGTCCAATAATAGTGCGTTTCTTCGGGAAAATGGCGATAAAGGCTTGCCGAAAGAACTTTCACACACACACAAACCAATACTTTTTCTTCGTACTTAAAAAATATTTTTGCAAATTTGTAAAAAATTTTGCGAGCCTCCTTTGACTTGTGTTTTTTATGTTTTTAGGGGTTATCTTTGTTTATTTGGTGTTTTCGGTTCTTAATTCGCTGCTTGACTTTTTATCCTTAGAGGTTTCCGAATCGTTTTAAAGCATTTGGGAACTGCGTGTTGTGGTGATCCAGGATGATGTTGTTGTTGTTGTTGTTGTTGTACGAGGACGAAATAAAACGAAGGACGAACGAGGCAACGACAACGAACACTGACAAAGAAGACGGCGAAGTATATTGGACGACAGCGCCGCTTCTTTGGAATGGAAAAAAGATAAAGAATAATTACACAATTTTGCAAAAACAAAAAAAAAACAGAACAAAAAAAAAACAAGCTAACAGAATATAATAATATTAACACAACTGACGAACGGAGAAAAGAGAGTGCGAGAGTGGGTGGAGGAAAAGGAGGAAATCGGCTTGGCATTAAAGCAAATGAGGAAATGTTTTTTCCGGCCGGATTTCGCCACCCAACTTTTCCACTGAAAACCCCTACTTGCAAAACGCAACCCCTTTCAACAACGCCTCTGACTTATGCAACAGCACGCACACACACTCACACACTCGCACACTGGGCTGCATACTTTCCGGCAAATTTCTGTAAATTCTGTTTCACACTACTTTAAAAATATATTGTATTTTTTCAATTATTTGTAGTTGTTATTTACAAATAATGAATGGGTTAAACAGTTATGAAATTACTCTTATGGATATAGCATTAATTTGTGGAAAACAAATAGTATCCTTAAAATGGTTACATATTTCGAAGCAACTTAGGGTCCAGTAGGCCCTTAACCAGATGTCACCAATGTCACTATTTGCCAACAACCACGTTTTCACAGGAATTATACAAATCGAGAAGTTTTACGGAAATTAAATGAATAAACTGTTTGGTAAGCGAATGTGATTTTGAGGAATAGCAACTTACTAGAATACCTTTGTACCACCAGTTACTCAAAATCGTTCATATAGTGAAATCTTTTACTATGGACTTGGACTTGGATCTGAATAGCCCGAATTGTCTCTCAAATCTGAGAAAACAGCTGGAGATCCACGAAACCCAGATTGCGGAGCTAAAGAGGGGTTTGGAAAAGGCAGAGTTCCAGATCGAGACCCAGCGCTTGGAGCTGTTAATGGTTCAGTTCTATGTGGACATATTCAGGACCGAAATATCCCTGAGTCCGCTGCCCCATGACCAGTTGCAGCCCAATCCCCGCGAAGGATCCCGGTCCCCCGTGGCCCGACCCCTCGCACGTGTGCAACGGCCTGACCTTCTACAAATGCTCGGACGTAACCCGCCTGAGGAAGGAACAGGACCGTCGAAGTTCCGCCACCCGAGGCAATCTGAGGTCCATTAGCTGCAACCGCTTGGTGGCGGTTATCACATCCATCTACTCCCGGAATCGGGATGGTCAAAATATTCATATCTCCAAAGCAGGACTTTTCCCGTCCGTGTCTTGTCTAAACTAATGTTAAAAAATATTTTAATTATGAATATGGACCGCACTTACAACAGCAATCAAATTTGCAGCAGCCCGTCCAAAATTCAAACTAATATATCGAAATCATAACTTTTGGCAAATGTTCTGAAATTAACTAAAATTTAAACTTTTGTTGAAGAACTTGTTCGGCATTTTATAGAAACAGAACACGCACAAATGTGAATTGACTTTATGAAATGTGAAACCCACAACTTGCTTAAGTTTTTGAAAACGTAAAACTCAATAAACGTAATTAGAAAACATTGATCAAGTTTATTTCTTCTATTGTAGTGCAGCTTGAATTTCGGAGAATTTATATGTTTAGATTGTTTGTTGATTTGCCGAATATTGGCGTTTGTTTATATGATCGCCCTTTTTCCAATTAATATTTACAGTTACCGAGCAAAAAGGGACTGGGGTAAAGAATCCGATTCCAGTTTGCGTTAAGTTTACGTTACGTTTTTCGCCGTTATGTGTAGCTATGCGCCACACACACATCCTTCTTCTCTTTTTCTTTTTGCTTCCCATTCACGCAGGCGCGTCCGTAGTGCTGGCGTTTTTAGCTTTTTTTCCGCTAGTTGCGGATAGAAAGCTTCCCTTTTTTTTGGCTGCGATTACAAGGACAAACTGGTTAAAAGTCCTTGAACAACTAATTCAATTGGGGGCAAACACTTAAATAACAAGAAAGGAAAGCTAACTTCGGACGGAGCCGAAGTCGATATACCCTTGCAGAATATTCTGTAAATTATATTCTTCAAAATTATTCATATGATGTATTCTTAATACTCATAAAATGTCCCAACTTCCTAACTTTAAAAACACCAAAGTTATGGCATTTCCAATCGTTCAGTAATATGGCAGCTATAGGATATAGTCGGCCGATCCTTATGAAATTTGGTAGGTCGGATTGATTGGCCAAAAATAAAACCCATAGAAAATCCCAACTTCCTAACTTTACAAACACCCAAGTTATGGCATTTCCGATCAATCAGTTATATGGCGGCTATAGGATATAGTCGTCCGATCCCTATGAAATTCGGTAGGTCGGATTAATTTACCAAAAATAAAACTTATAGAAAATCCCAACTTCCTAACTTTAAAAACACCAACGTTATGGCTTTTCCTATCGTTCAGTTATATGACAGCTATATGATATAGTCGCCCGATCCGGCTCGTTCCGACTTATATACTACCTGCAATAGAAAGACATCTTTTGGGAAAGTTTCAAGCAGATAGCTTTAAAACTGAGGGACTAGTTTGCGTAGAAACGGACGGACGGACGGACAGACGGACGGACAGACGGACAGACGGACAGACGGACAGACGGACATGGCTATATCAACTCAGGAGGTGATCCTGATCAAGAATATATATACTTTATAGGGTCGGAAATGTCTCCTTCACTGCGTTGCAAACTTTTGACTGAAATTATAATACCCTCTGCAAGGGTATAAATATGTACATGCGCTTAAGTAAATGAGAGGTCTATTTGGTCAGCGGAAGTGTGCGGCAGATTTAAATCTAGTTTAGTTTTTGTGCCCCTTCCATAAACGCACGCACACTTATACAGCAAATCAGCTGCACTTACACACACAGCGAACACACGTGGTAAACTAATTTAGAACGGCTTTTTGTTTTCTGCTTTCGGTTTTTCTTTTTTATTGGACCTGGATTATTTGTCCCCCCTATCGACTTTGTCAAATCTGCGCCGCAGCTGATATTTTCCTGCCCATTTTCACGTACTTTTTGGTTTATTTTACTTTAAATGTGTGCCGCTCTCTCGCTTGCTCGCGAACAGTTATTTTAGAGTTCAGCCTGGGCTGCGAAAGAGAGAGAGAGGGGAAAAAAAGTTGCCTGTTAAAGCGCAAGCTCGCTCAAACGCGGCAAAAAAAATAAGAATACGAAAATCGGCACCCTCACACACACGCACAGAGCAAAAATACACATGTGAACTGAAAACTTAATTCCCTTTTTAAATCTAGGAGTAAACACAGTACAGCGAAATACCCTTTTTAACTGACCAGCAAAAAAAATAGACGGAAATTGGGGGGAAAAGAATACGCGAAAGAGGGGTTGTGAAATGTAAAAGAGGGGCAGCCGCCACTGTAGTTGTCCTTGAACGCAAAGTTTCCACTTGACTACCGCCCAGGTGGTCAAGACACACACACACACTGCCGCACTAACACATATACACACACCGCGGCAGACAGGAGGCGAAAAAGGTCCTTGAAAAATGCCTGAACATTCTTTGTATGTCCGGCTTTGTCAGCAGTTAATTAGCAACCAAAGCATTTACTGTCTAATTCGATTCGCTAACTATTGTTGCGCATTGGAGGTACCTTATTTTTAATGTAGTTTTCACACGTTTTTTTCTCTCCTCTCCTCTCGTTACGTTACGATTTTATATTTTCTCGTCTCGTCGTACACGAACGCACACACGCTCAGCACCAGTGTGACCGCGTCGATACGATACAAAATCCCATCCAGCTGAAAATAAATACCAACTGTGAAGGGTACACAGCTAAAGACTGGTACATTCACTAAGTCTGGATTGTGTAGTCGCTAAGTTTGGAGTGTGTAGTCGCTAAGTTTGGCTTGTGTATTCGCTAAGCAAGAAGGGAATATTAACCGGTAGATGGGGCTAAATTGTCTTTGTTGAGTACCGGACCAATTAATTTTTAGATTTTTTCTTTGGCAGCTGCCTGATAGATATAATTTTCCGATCATAAACTTTTAAGATATTATAATAAAATCGGCTAAAAAATAAAATCTCCAAAAGGCAATTCCTAGTATGTGCATTGTTATTTTTTACAAGGAAAACGCCATTCAAATTTAAGAGAATCTTGTACGAAGCGCACTTTTTCATTGAATTCCTATGATTCTAAGAAGTTTGAATTTGTTTTGTAATCCGATGGGGCTATAAAATGGAATGATGTACACTGTTTAATATGTAAAGTAAGAAAATAAATTCGAAAACCAATCAGAAAAAAATGAAAATGTGTGTTTACATTTTTGTATTATTTATTTTTCTTCAATTTTATACTTATGCATATGTTTATATTTGTAGTCCTGAACTGAGTTACTCAAATAACACAATACAAATTAAATGTTTTTGATTCTTACATAGGGCTTATTTATAAATTAAAATATTTACTTTTTTATAACACTAATATAAACAGCTACATATCATTTATACTCCAGTTACTCATAAAGTTATCATAAAGTGGCTCATGCATATTTTTTAATTCGCTCCAATATGGTAAAGTTGCTGGTTTAAGATCTTGTCGTGATATAGAAGTCATTTTATTCATAATGACCTCTAACCTTTCAAGCAAATCCCTTTGTTCTCTGATTGCAGATTTAAATGTATAATCATCTTTTGTTGATGAAATCAATCCAGTATCCATTTCCAATAAGGTTATGTGCTTATTGAATTCTGCTTTATATTCAACGACCAGATTTTTTATTTTAATAAACAAGTCGTTTTTAAAATATTTATGTTCAATGTTCACCGCTTGAATGAGATTTTGAATTTTACTTTCTCCTGCGGAAAATGTATCCCAAAGATCTTGCAATTTAGCCTGGCGCTCTTCATAATAATTAGGCTTAGCTTTTCTTTGACTGGAATCCTTTTTATAATTTCGTATGATTCCTTGAATTCGGTCGCTCAATTCCACTTGCTGTGCCAACAAAGAGTTTACATTTGAAGTAGTCATTATAAGTTGAGTAGAAATCAAAACAGTTTAAAATAATGAACACCAAATAATGATATTGTTTGTCGAAGGCTTTTTCCGAACTGAATTTATTAGGGCTGACACAGGGTTTATAAGCGCGTTTTTGGGTCAAAGATAGTTGAACAGGTAGAACTAGGTAATACAGTTTACCAAAGGTACTTAGTGGATCAGGTAATACGTTTTTATCGGATTACCATGCAGATGTTACCAAAGTTTTTGTTTAATGACGGTTACTTTTATTATGTGCAGATGTTGGAGAACCAACATACATATGTATAAGCTACTTTCCAATGGATTTATTTGGCACAAATTTGTTTCGATATTTTGATTTTTGTTTTATCGAAATGAATTGTGTAATAATAAACTAAAATGGAACAGAAAAACCACTCTCTCTCTCTCTCTCTCTTCAGATTTAAAAGATTGCTATGCATATTTATTTTCAATCGAAACCACTTTAAGAGCTTGAACATTTTTAAATGCTAGTTTTTTAAAGGTCCACGCTTTATCAGAGAAAGTTCGTGAACATATTTCAAAAATACGCGCCAAGAAAGTTGTAAGTATTATTTATCAGCATTAGCTGGTCACACCACTACACACAAAAATAACTTGCACGTTTCGTTTGGGTATTGCTTATGTGCATCTAATTCACAGGTGTAATAGAAGTATTCGCGTGGACAACAGCCGAAACGAACCATGTCAGCCGTGAGCGCCGCCAGCGGCAGCAATGCGCCCAGTCCGCCGGAGATCGAGGATCCGATTGGTCGGCCGGAGCCCATTTTCCGGGAGATCAACGCGGAGCAGACGGACGAGGTGGTCGAAATTGAGTCCGCCTGCATGAGGTGCTACCAGACGGGCATCACCCGGCTGCTGCCCACCAAGATACCCTTCTTCCGGGAGGTGGTCCTCATGTCCTTTAAGTGCGACCACTGCGGCCACATCAACAACGAGATGCAGTCGGCCTCGGAGATCCAGAAGTCCGGCGTTCGCATTGAGCTGCTGGTGCAGTCACCGGCCGATCTCAATCGGCGCGTGGTGCGATCGGACAACTCCAGTGTCAGCATACCGGAGATTGAGCTGGAGATTCCAGTGCAATCGCAGAAGGGCGAGGTGACCACCGTCGAGGGCATCATCGAGCGGACGATAGCCGGCTTGTCGCAGGATCAGGACAAGCGGCGCATCGATCATCCGGAGGCCGCCGGTGCGATAGACGCCTACATTGAGCGACTGCGTAAGCTGAAGGAGCTGCCCACGCCCTTCCGCCTCCTCCTCGAGGACATCTCCGGCAACAGCTTTGTGGAGAATCCCCTGGCCCCTGCCTCTGATCCGCAGCTGAAGACATCGCACTTCACGCGCAGCCAGCAGCAAAACGAGCAATTGGGTGAGGCTCCATTTAAGTCGAGGCTCCTTTACTTATATTTTTCACATAAATGTCCTGATTAGTAGGTAGCAATTTAAAAACAGAGGCTTATTGTCATTTGACGTGGCCATATCATATTTCTTATATTTAAACTTTTATTAGGACCACTAAACACAGGCATTCAAGGCATTATTTAAGGTTTTTGTTTACCATTTAATGAAGGGACCCAAAAAAAACATTGTTTGAGATGTTTATTTTTAAAATATAATTGGGATTTGTATTTAATTGGTTTCCGATTTAACTGATTTTCTATTTAATGCATACATTTTCTATTCAAGGCCTGTACGAGCAGAACCATGAGGAACAGAACTTGCTGAAGCCGATTGCCGAGGACGAGTGGCCCCTCGAGAATCTGCACGGCGAGGTGCTGCAGTTCCCCACCAACTGTTCCAACTGCCAGGCGCCCTGCGAAACGAACATGAAGCTGACGAACATCCCGCACTTCAAGGAGGTGGTGATCATGGCTACCGTCTGCGGTTCCTGTGGCCACAAGACCAACGAGGTGAAGTCCGGCGGCGGCGTGGAGCCGCAGGGTGTTCGCTTCCGGGTGCAGATCGCCAGCAAGGAGGACCTGACGCGCGATGTGCTCAAGTCGGAGACATGCAGCCTGTCCATCCCGGAGCTGGACCTGGAGGTGGGACCGCATGCGCTGTGCGGACGCTTCACCACCGTTGAGGGTCTGCTGGTGGCCATGCGGGACCAGTTGGACGGCACCCTCTTCCACGACTCGGCGGACGAGGCGACCAAGCAACAGATGCAGCGATTCCTCGACACCTTTGACGCCGTAATGAACCTGAAGCGGGTCATTACGCTGGTGCTGGAGGATCCGGCCGGCAATACCTACGTGCAATCGCTGAGCGACGACGACGCGGAGCCGGATGAGAAACTCTCCGTGGAGCGGTTCGATCGCTCCTTCGACGACAACGAGCAGCTGGGCCTGAACGACATGAAGACGGAGGGCTACGAGCAGGATGCGTGATGACTGTGCTGGGGATCCAACTCTGCATTTATCTTCCGCTTAACATATTAAATTCCAAATTAAATCCGTTTATTCTTATTTTTGATCATTGTATACACTTTATGCAAGTTTTTCATAGGCAATAAAATAAAAAAAAATCGAAGTCAAATTTTTTTTTAATAATGAAGGAAATGCATTTGTTTGTTTCAAACCGGTAGCCAAATTTCTAATATACATACTATATATACATACTATGAAGAGAAGCAACAAATAGGGTTTAATAAAATTTAAGAAAAACTATTTTTTTCAAGATTTTTCTATGCATATCTGTAATTGTTTAAATATCTTAGAGCTATCCTAAGACTAACAAATAATAAAATAATAGGAATTCCATACCAAAATTTGTAAAAAGTTGTTTCCAAACAATGAAAACAAATCACATCTAGTCAGAGTTCTATAATAAATAAATGTTTAACTTGCACTTTTTTTGAAATGTTTCCAAAAAAAAAATCAATATTATTTCAACTTAAAATTAATCCAATTAAAATATAAGAATTTTATACCCTTGTAGAGGATATTATAAATTCAGTAAAAGTTTTCAACGCATTGAAGGAGACACTTCCGACTATTTCCGTTTCTACAAAAACTTAACCTATCTCGATTAAAATTTCCTAAAAGTCTTATTTCCATTACAGGTATATACGTTATATAACTATATAACTTCGATTTTTGTTACACCCATTTTAAACAATTTCAAATTACGGTTTTAAGTTTATACAAATTCGGATGACTTATGATACACTAAGTGCCAAGGAAACGAACTTTTTTTGGGAAAATCATTGCTCATTGTTTTTAAACAAATACTTTTTTTGGGAAAATCATTGCACATTGTCTTTAAACAAATACGCATAGAAATATAAAAATAGTCATTTTATAGAATATTAATTTTTTCTAATATGCAAGGGTAAATAAACACGGCTTGCCGAATTTAGCTTTCATTCTTGTTAATTTAAATTAAATAAAATCGGCAGCTTGTCATCAGCAGCGACGATAACTACTATCGATAGCCAGCAGGCTGTTGCCGTGCCATCTCTAGCCAAACAGCTGTCTGTCGTTGTGTAACTAAACTAATCGTTAAATTTTTGGTAAATATGCTTAAACTGCCCCCTTTGAAGTAAAGTTAACCGAGCTATCCCGATCCCCTAGAGCTTCAAGATGTCCTCATCCGCTGCCCGAGGCTCCACGTCCCTACTGAAGCGCGCCTGGAACGAGATTCCAGACATCGTCGGCGGATCCGCCTTGGCCATCGCCGGGCTCGTCATGGCCACCATCGGAGTGGCCAACTACTACGCCAATGACGGGGACAACAGGCGCTACAAGCTGGGCTACGTCGTCTACCGCCACGACGATCCGCGTGCCCAGAAGATCCGCAACGACGAGGATGACTAGAGGATTACCCCCATGAAATACGGGCCGTTTCACTCATCTTTGATTTTTTTGTTTACGCCATAGCTAAGTAAAACAAACCACTAAATGTACAGAAGCCAGTGTGGTTCACCTATGGGGGATCTCCGTGACAGGACATATAGGGCCCTTCTTGTTCAGCTTGATTATTGATTCTCCTACTTTTTCTAAACTATAACAAGAGTCCACAAAGATTTTGCAAAAAGTTCCACAAGTGCATTTGATTTCTTTGAAACTGATATATCTTTGTAACCAAAACAGATGTCTTATTTTTTCTTATATGGCACTTGAGACAGTTATCGTATTTGATTTTTGTTGGTTATGCTATACATAAGTAAAACAAAAATGCCAAGCTTAATATCCACTCGAAGCATATTATACACATCAGTTTATCAGCTTAAACTTCCATAATACCATTTGAATTTCTTCAAAATCCTGTATATTTATAGATAACCAAGCATATCTTAATGTACAATAGGAAATATGGTAAATTTTAAAGGAATCTACTATTTCTGCTTATGCTAGGGCGTAAGACAACAAATCGCTCATTTTAGACAAGACTGTTTTAACAAAAAACAAAAAATGACGCCATTAAAATTTTAAAATTTCCACGTAATTACTATCACAGTCTTGTAGTTAGCGAGCGAGGCAAATAAATATAAAATAGTCAGGTCCGTAAGAGCACTATTGCTCCTTGTGCGAAAACTTGAAGTGGAACTTGCAGGCCTTCTCTGTGTGAAAACTCTCATTGCAGATGCCGCACTTAAATCCGGGTCTGGAATCGCTGCCGTTGGTGATCTCCACGGTTGCAGATGCAACAGCTGGAAAAGATTGAAGGCGTAAGCATTAGAAACTAAAAAGCACAAGAGCTAGTTTTCTAGGAAACCTAAAAGGACTCTTCTGATCTAGACCAAACTGGCTGGTTTATGCAATAATCTTCGAAATCTGTTTCTAGGAAACGATAGGATAAAATGCATTTTTGATTTACAGATAAAAACAACTAATAAGCAAAACTGTGAGAAGTAACACACAGAAAAGAAGAGGGACACAACACTACGAGTGAATAGGGGTTATAAATAAATGTTGGGGTTGAGGATATGGTTTATATTATCCACACACTTATATGATTATTTTTGTTTTAAAAAAAATACAGAAAACAGGGAAAAAGACCAAGGAGATTAGCGAACAAAATCTACATTTTTGCTAGAAGTATATCCCGCTCTTTTGAAAAGCCCCCTTTCAAGCTGTGTTATCCTAGTTGGTCATCTTCCTCACCCACTGCTGGTTCGATTTTGAGGGGCACTGCATCCGCCGTCTCCGTGGGCAGTTGCTCATCCCTGGACTTCACCTCGTGGCACTTAGCCTGGGATTGGGACTTGCTGCGACTGGCCAGACTGCGCTTCCTGCGCTGCTCGAACTTTAGGGCCACGTTGAACTCGCTGTGGGCGCCCAGCCACTGGTGGCTGAACTCATAGGCCATCGACAGCTTCTTGACGCAGATGCGGCAGATCTGCTTGGGGTAGTCGTCTGCTTGTTCCAGAGCCGGCAGGGAGGCGGGCAGACAGGCCGCGAGCATCTCCGCAATGGGCACCATCTTGTCCAGCGCCTGGACACTCTCCTCATAGATCCCCAGTGACTCCAGGCACTCGTTGCCGCACGTCCGGCAGCAGCTCTCGAAGATGTCCATCTTAATTTGCGTGTGATCCAGGGAGTTTCTTCGCTTATTCAAAATTTGAAATAAAAAAATTGTTTTGTTTTAAATAATCTAGAGCTGGAAGTAAAGTCGATTATTAAATCGATTTACCGGTGGTATTTTGCTGCAGTATATTTTGGTATTCTAACACACCCACGCCGCAGTTGGTCACATTGGTGTCAGTCATTTTTTTTGTGTGTTCAAGAAAAGCCGGAAAAGATTAATTACGGGAAAAATGATGTGGAAGGCTCTTTTGGTCGCCCTCCTGGCAATTGCCCACTGCCAAGCGGTCCTCGAAACGGACGCCAGCACCCTGGTTCTGCTGGACAACCTGGCCATCCGCGAGACGCACTCAATTTTCTTCAAGTCGCTGCAGGGTGAGTGAAATGCCGGCTAACCTCTGACGTGGACAAAAAGTTCGGAACCATCAATGGCTAATAACTGGGTTTTCCTCCCGCAGATCGGGGTTTCAAGCTCACCTACAAGCTGGCTGATGACTCCAGCCTGCTGCTGTCCAAGTACGGCGAATATCTGTACAAGAACGTCATCATTTTCGCACCAAGTGTGGAAGAGTTCGGCGGCGATGTGAGCGTGGAGCGTTTGGCTCAGTTCGTGGACGATGGGGGCAATGTCCTGGTGGCGGGCAGCGAGAAATCCGGCGACGCTCTGCGGGAATTCGCCTCAGAGTGCGGCTTCGAGCTGGACGAGGAGAATGCGGCGGTCATAGATCACCTACACTACGATGTCAGCGATGCGGGCGATCACACCACGATCCTCACCTCGGCAAAGAACCTCATCCAGGCGAACCCCATCGTGGGCAAGGCGAACAGGCAGGCGGACGCAGCGCCGCTGCTCTACCGCGGCACCGGACTGATTGCCGACAAGGAGAACCCGCTGGTGCTGAAGCTCCTGACCGCCGAGAGCACGGCCTACAGCTACAATCCCGAGGCCAGTGTCTCGGACTATCCGCATGCCGTCGGCCGCGGCACACTGCTGATCGCCGCCCTGCAGGCGCGCAACAACGCCCGCGTGGTCTTCTCCGGCTCGCTGACCTTCTTCTCCGACGAGAGCTTCACCACAGCGGTGCAGTACGCCCAGAGCGGGGTGTTCCACAAGCTGGCCGGCAATCGCGACGTGGCCGAGTCCATCAGCCAGTGGGTGTTTGGTGAGACGGGCCGCCTGCGCGTGGCATCCGTGCAGCATCACAAGGAGGGCGAGCTGCTGCCCCCGGATCAGGCCTACACCATCACCGAGCCCGTGGTGTACACCATCGGCATCGAGGAGCTGGTGCAGGGCCAGTGGCGCGCCTTCAAGGCCAGCGACATCCAGCTGGAGTTCGTGCGCATCGATCCCTTCGTGCGCACCTACCTGAAGCAGACGAACTCGGGCGCCTACCAGGCCAAGTTCAAGATCCCTGACGTCTACGGCGTGTACCAGTTCAAGGTGGACTACGATCGCGTCGGCTACACGCACCTGTACAGCACCACCCAGGTCTCGGTGCGTCCGCTGGAGCATACGCAGTACGAGCGGTTCATCCCCAGCGCCTTCCCCTACTACACCAGCGCCTTCTCCATGATGATCGGCGTGTTCGTCTTCTCGTTCGTGTTCCTTCACTTCAAGGACGAGCCCGTGGGCAGGGCCGCCAAGGAGGACAAGAAGTCGCAGTAGGCTACTGGTTCGGGTTCATTCACCTCAAATGTAACACTCAAATCACTAAAATAAACTCGTTCTCCGCGTAGAGAACCTAACAATCATTCAAATAATTTAAAGAAAAAAGTTTTTGTGTTTCGACGGTATTTCAATTTAAAATTTTTTTTACATAATTTAAAATTAAAATTTGTATACATAAAAATGTATTGTTTAATTGGAAGAATATTATAAAGAAAGATTTTAATTGTAGCAGCAACATTTTATAATTTTAATTTTAAAAGTTTGTGTTAAAAAAAAGTGGTAAAAGATTATTTTTTCCATTTCTAATGAAGTTGTTGTGGGCAATCAAAAGGAAACAAATTAATATAAGAGTGGGTTGCACGCGTTCAATGGGGTTTCTGTAGTGCTTACTGGGTTTGGTTGATGAAATATATTTAACCTTTGAATTTTTTGAAATTCCCTTATTTTTAATTTTTAGTGCTATGGGACTCCGCAGATAGTGTAGACATACTCCGCAGGTAGTGTGGACATACTCCGCAGTTAGTGTGGACATACTCCGCAGTTAGTGTGGACATACTCCGCATACTTTGCTTCCTAGAGGTGGAAGAAAATCGATGCCCTGCCAAACATCGATTAAAATGGTATTAACAAGTATATTTTTTCCTTCCACCTCTAAGGTTGAGAACATAGATATTTACGAATTTTCGATGTTTTTGGCGGAAAACATCAATGTCTAATCAATGTTTAAAAAAAATGTTATCAAAACATTAGCATTGAGTTTTCTCCCCCTCTAATGGAGTTGTTATTAAATCAATAAAATAAAATAAATGGGTGCTTATTTATTGTACAAAATCTGTACTGGTTGTAGAGTTAAGTAACAAATAAATAGGAATTTGTATGTTTTGAAATATATTTTAATTTTCACTTTATGCAGTGCGTAAGAAATTAAGTGGAAAATTAAGTTGAAACTAACAGAGTGCGTAAGAAATGGAGTGGAAACTAAGAAAGTGCGCAAGAACTTAAGTGGAATCGTTAACAGTGCGCAAGAACTGGAGTGGAATCGTTAACAGTGTTTAAGAACTGGAGTGAGATTTTCGATAATTGTCAGTGATGGAAAAACACCGACTACGCCCCAACAAACATCGATGTCGCCAATATTAAAAAACATCGATGACACCGATGCCGACATCGATGGTCGTCCACCTCTGGAGCGCAGCCAACTTCACGCGCCTTGTTCTTTTTTCCGGTTGACTTTAACGAGAAAGGTTGTGCTCGAATTCTTTTCAAGTGAATACTATTTTTTTTATGTTCCGATTGGCTGAAACTAAATGAAAGCGACCGCGCCAGGCGGCGGCTGACTGAGTGGGCGGGCCAGAGGCCCGGGAAAAGTGATTTTCACGCGGAAAACCCGGACGACACTTTTTGTTGTGCCCGTGTGTGTGTGTGCGAAAGAGAGAGTGTGTGCGTGTGCGAGAGAGTCGCACTGAGTCGAACTGGGAACAACGTGTTTTTGGCAGAGTTCTAATGGATTGTTACCTTGTTTTCCCCGCAGATGCCAGGCGTCACAGTGAAGGATATTGACCAGCACGCGGTTACCAAGGCGGTCGCCGTCTTCCTCAAGAAGTGAGTATGCGACATAGGGCTCTATCTCCAGCCACATAACCTCACAACCGCTTTGTTTATCACCCTACATCGAAAAAGGACTGGCAAGTTGAAGGTGCCCGACCAGATGGACATCGTGAAGACCGCCAAATTCAAGGAGCTGGCACCCTACGATCCCGACTGGTTCTACGTGCGTTGCGCCTCGATCCTGCGCCATCTGTACCACCGCAGTCCCGCCGGCGTGGGCTCGATCACCAAGATCTACGGAGGACGCAAGCGCAACGGTGTCCACCCATCCCATTTCTGCCGCGCCGCCGACGGTGCTGCCCGCAAGGCCCTGCAGGCTTTGGAGCACGCCCGTCTGGTCGAGAAGCACCCGGACGGTGGTCGCAAGCTGAGCTCCATTGGCCAGCGGGATCTGGACCGGATCGCCAACCAGATCGTGGTCAAGCAGCGCGACGCCGCCAAGCAGACCGGGCCCCTTGTTATTTCCAAGTAATCACGAGTCCCTTTCGAAATCTAAAATAACACTTTAGACTTCTACTGTAAGCGCTTTTTGTTTGCACGAGAGAGATGAGAAAATAAAACCAACCAATTCACAAAAGTCTACAAAATACAAGCATTCGGATCTCTGTCTATCTTTCCATGTATTTTAACATATCTGCCTGGAACTATGTATGCAAATATATATGTAGGTAACCCAATCCCTAAAATGGCTGATGTGCCAATATCAAAAAGGCTGACGGATTACATTTCAATTCTATAACTAGCCCAACAGACCGGGCTTCTAGTTTCCAATTAAGTTGAAAACTAACAATTTCGGATATCCAGGCAACACTTAAGATGCGTGCTCTTTCTTATCCAGATTTGCTTTACTGTCTGTCAATACGATAATATTGTCAAAACCAGTTGCCTATTTAAAAGGGCAGTCATAGGAACATATGTATCTATTACATTATATTCCAAAGCTATTTCAGATTCATTCTTTAAGTTTAAATGAAAATTCATATAGAGACAAGTTCTGGCTGAACAAACAATCTGGGATTGCATGAGCGCTGGTGTATGGACACAGAACCGACAGCTGGGCCTTAAACTTGCTTTAAACCATCCAATGGAATGGTAAGTAAAGCGCTAATTCGCCGTACTGAAGAAGCACCTGTCTATAGTTCTTGGTGTGGAGATAGTGCTCTGAGGAAAAGAGAACGAGAACTGCTCGTTCTTTTTTTTGGTGGCTTTTTATACCCTTGTAGAGGGTAACTGACTGCAAATTAGTCAAAAGTTTACAACGCAAGGGAGGACACTTTTCCGACTGTATAAGGAGTTTATATTCTTGATCACCATCACCAGACGAGTCGATCTAGTCTATCTGATTTAAAGCTATTTGGATGAATCTTTGCCAAAAGTCTTCTTGCTGTTGCAGGTAGTTAATAAGTCGGACTATAGAGAATTAGTTTAGACCAAGCTGTAATTTAGTCGAGAAGGCTTTCAAAGGAGAGTTGAACGTAAGGAAATTCTAGAAAGGATGTTTATTAAGTCTTGTTTCCTTTGCGTGGAGATCAGCATTGCCCGGTGAAATGGGACGTAGAAAATATAAATTATCTTTTTGGACAGATACATATCTAAAACCAAAGGTATTGACTACCTCAAATAAATTACATTATTAATTATCCGCTTCGAAACTGTTACAAAACAAGCAGCTATTACAAAAACTAAATATTCTACTCTCTTAAAAACAGTGAAGCTAGGTCGCTTTTCCGATCTATTTTATGATCGTTTATATGGCAGCTATATCATTTAGTCGTCCGAATTTTATAACAGGAAGTCCGTAATTCTAAAATCGTTAAAAATTACCATATCTCAAAGTATATGGATATATGTTTAGCAATAAGAAAGTTTGATTTGTTTCTATGGGAGCTATATGGTATAGTAAGGCGAGGCGACTTTTTTAGATCGACTAGCCAGGTGATGCTGATCAAGAATATATATGTTCTATGTAAGTTGCGACCCGTGTCCGTGATTTGCAAACTTTGGACTGAAATTAGAATACCCTCTACAATGGTATAACAAAGGTTTGCTAATTCTAAATAATGTTTATGGCAGCCATATCATTAATTGTTTCTATCCCGGTCGCTTCGACTTACAACTTTTTACCAGATAGCTTTAATATTGATTAATGAAAGAGAAATGAAAATTATGGTTGGATAATGACAATTTCTTTTTACATATTAAGTACGTTTCCACCAGTTTCCATTTACAAACAGCTGACAAAAGCAGGAAAGAGATGATTAAAAGGTCCTTGGTTTTACTAGGAAATTTAATTTATTTATGAATTTGTCTGTTTTTTCTGACGGTTTACAGCGCATGAATGTTCCAGAGCCTTAAGACTAGACACTACGGCTAACGATTAGGGTGCTTGAGGGGATCGGAGGCGGGATCCAAAATCCGAGGCGGGTGCTAAACCCTGTCCAGAGCCTCCACCATGACGATGCTGTTGCCGCGGATCACCTGGTAGGGTCAGGAAAACGCGTGTATTTAATAATGCCAATTTTGGGCGCCAATAAGGACTCCCGTCTTACCACCATTCCGACGTTGTTCTTCGTGTTGTCCTTGCACTCCTCCACCGTGTCGTCCAGGACCACATTCATGAAGGGATCGAAGCCTCGCAAAATGCCGGTCACGGCGCGTCCTCCGTTCAGTTTCAGCATCATCCGCTTGTCCATGTATCTGAAATTGAATCGTGATGTATACACTCCATTGTACTCCATTGGCGGCCTGTTCCACTCACTTTTTCAGCTCTGGAGGATGGGCTTTCGACATGTTGTTGATTTAATTTGCTAAAAACGCGAAAACCAAGTAAAAATGCGGCGTGCTATTATCGATGGGTTTCCAGTTATCGCAACATTCCCATCTGGTCACACTACTCTGGCGTGATATGGGTATTCCTGGATGTTCTATGTTTTACAACACTTTTTATTGACTACACTAAGGCTTACAAAATTGCGCCAAAAAGAAAACCTTACATACAATAATGTAATTTAATGTAATAGTTAAAAACCAGAGTTTATATATCATTTACATTACAAAGCCAAGTCAAATTCTTGTTGAATTTTCTTGGGGATGGTGCAGAGTGGTCCTCCAATTAAACATTCGATTTTCAAATATACTGCATCTAATTATTGAATAAATATTTTTTTTAAAATGGGGTGTAACTTGGGATGGCGAATTGTTTGTATGGAAGAAAATTAGTTGGTTCATGCCACGACTAACGAACTGGTTCAAGTAATGGAGAGGGCGGCATTTTTATATCCCTCTCAACTCCACCCACCGTTATACGATTTTGAAATATTCCATAAACATTTATTAAGAAACTTATCACACCTTTATATCCGAGGTATTTTGAAACCACTTTTGAGTATGACTCTATCTAACTACTTTTTTTAAAGACCTTTTTTGTATGATTTGATTCAGAGGTGGCCCACTGCAATTTTCTCAAAAACAGTGGAAGTTTTTTTTATAAAATATGGTTCTAATGTCTTTGAATATAGTCCTTTAGTCCTGACTTAGCGTGCAATTTGGAACACGCTGTGTAAGGTGAGATACTCCCTAAGATGTGGGGAGTTGATTTTTTAAAAGCATATTTGAAATACTTCCAAGCCTCGAGTATGCTTAAAACCTATTTCTGTCGTTAGTTCTTTATTTTCCCAAATAATCTGCACTTCAATTGTTTATATTACCTGCCTTAATAGCGAGAAAATGTAAAACTAAAAACAGCCTCTGTGTTCCGCTAATTTGGCGCACTTTAATCAAGGACTTTTGGACTACAATGGCAGACTGTTATCGAATATCATAGAGTTATCCCCAGATCCGGCAACGCTTGCAGTGCCCAGTCTTTTCAAGCTTTGATCGTGGTATTGTTTACGTTTTTGGAAACAATGAGGTTGCACCTTGCGGCGATCCTGATCATCTGCATCGAGCACGTGTCCAAGGCGGTCGCCCAAGGGATGCCGATCAGTCCCTGCCCCAAGATCTTCCAGTACCGCTTCGACGGAACCGAGTGGTTCGGCCTAATGGCCATACGCAGTCCGGATGTCCACCAGCCGCTCCACATACGGGTCACGCTCTCGATGCGGGGCAAACCCACTACGGTAGGTAGCCGGCAGCCGGACTCCTGCAACCTAGCCCGACTAACTAGCCCTCCCTTCGCCTTCGCAGAACTACCTGGGCGAAATCGAGCTGCTCACCCGCGGAAAGTTTAGCCACAACGCACAGGTCCTCTACAGGATCCGATTCCCCAAGCACCACTTCCCACCCAAGCTGCTGCTCATGTCGGCCAACAACCATGTGATCTGCTTCGGATCCGGCGGTGCGTATTACGGCCATTTGGGAGAAATTTTAACACGATTTGTTTGCCCACACAGAGCAAAGCATCTTCATGACCCAAATCCAGCTGGAGCACATCAGGAAATTGGCTTTTATTCCGGATAAGAAGAGCTCCCTTCTACTGGATCCCGAGGAGGCAGAAAAAACGATTGCCGACTTTGCCGCCAAGCCGCCAGATTCGCCGCACATCCAGTTCAAGAAGTATGCATCCGGATTTTGGTCGGTTGAAACGCACGATCGTAACATTCATTCGTTACTTACTGCCCGATTTTGTAGAAAACCTTTTGGCCAGCCGCCCAAAGAGACCTGCGGACGCATCGACAGAGACCTCGACTTTCGGTTATCCCAAAGAAAGGACACTGTGCCAAGCGAAATCAGCCCAAAGAGCTCCGATGCCATCGCATCGCCAGTGTTTGTTGACGACGACGATGAAGACTTCGAGCACTTCGGGGATGAAGCGGAAGACGATGAGGGGGACACGCTGGATGTCAATGACAGCCTGCCTTCGATCACCAGGGGATCGTGGCCCTGGCTGGCGGCCATCTATGTGAACAACCTGACCTCCTTGGACTTTCAGTGCGGCGGGACGCTCGTCTCGGGACGCGTGGTCATCAGCTCCGCGCACTGCTTTAAGTTGTTCAGCAAGCGCTACACGTCCAACGAGGTGCTCGTCTTCCTGGGCAGGCATAATCTCAAAAACTGGAACGAGGAGGGATCTCTGGCGGCCCCAGTGGATGGCATTTACATCCATCCCGACTTTAACAGCCAGCTAAGCAGCTACGATGCCGACATTGCTGTGATAATGCTGAAGGACGAAGTTCGGTGAGTTTTTGCTAATTGGATTAGCACGGGTTTATACCCCGGTATAAATACGTCATTCGACAGCCAGAATCTTATTGTTTAATAGAGATAAAGAGAACATAAGAAAGTGTTATATTTGATTGCTACTAAAATATAACCCCTTCTTACATTTGGGTATTTATTTTATAAATATCTGTTGACTACATCATAAGTATAGCTCTTATAAGAAAGATTCGAAAATTAATAGAATAATCGACAAACCTTTTAATGATTTTAAAAATATAATATATAAAAAACACTTTCAACAGACTAAATCATAAAGCTGCAATAGGAACGATAAAAAAAAAACACTTTCAATTTTATAATAGTCAATAGAATAATCATATATCTGCAATAGGTATGATTAGAAAAAAAATTCGAAAATAGGCATAAAAATCGATATGAATAATAAACTTTTTTGTAGCTGCAAGGGTATATAACCTTTGCTTCCTTTCATGTTTCAAAGATGAAAAAGATTCCCCCTTAAAGCCTGATACCTTAATCAAGCAGCCAACGGAACAAAATCCTTTATACAGAAATAGAACATGCAAATTTTAATAAGCAAAACTTTGCATATCAATTTCCTTTCTTGTTGTAATGCTGAAAAGGGTTCCCCCTTTAAGCGAAAGCTCCTACAGCACCTACACAAAAATAGGAAAAGAACATTTTAATGAGCGAAATTTGGTATATCAATTTTCATTTCTTAGGTTAGTTAATGAACGTCAGGTGAACGTCAGGATGAAGGGGCAAATGCATCTTTAATATTGGATGAAAAGTTACAAGTTAAATGGAAGCCACATTTTTGTAGCCCAAATCAAGCGCCTAATTTTCCACCAATCTCTGCTCCCATATGTTATGAGCATAGGCATAGTCTAGGTTCCTCTCTGACCATTATAATCAATAATTGTATGCAGTATTCTTCCATGCAGATTCAACACCTTTATTCGCCCCGCCTGCCTGTGGTCTGGGTCCAGCAAGGCGGAGTACATTGTGGGCGAGCACGGCATCGTCATCGGCTGGAGTTTTGACAGATCGAACAGGACGCAGGATCAGAAGCTGTCGGCGTCCATGGGCAAGAAGGCGGCCGATACCAGTGCCCCCAAGGTGGTAAAGGCGCCCGTTGTCGGCAACACGGAGTGCTTCCGGGCCAACCCCAACTTCCGCAGCCTCTCCTCCAACCGCACCTTTTGCGCTGGCATCCAGACGGAGGAACGGGAGCCGCACCAGAGCGGTGCTAGCCCCTACACTGGCATCTCGGGGGCCGGGTTGTTCATCCGCAAGAACAATCGCTGGATGCTGCGCGGCACAGTGTCGGCGACCCTGCCCGCCGTGGAGTCACCGGATCCGGGATCAGGCCATGGCCACTGTTGTGGCAACCAGTACATCATATATGCTGACGTGGCCAAATTTCTTGATTGGATCACGGCCTTCATTATTTAAATCATGCCCAAAAGTAGATGGGATAACTAAATATCTAAATAAGCGCTGTGATAGCCCCATGGGCATAGCGATGGGAGGAAATCTGTGAACTGTGAGGCACCTTCCAAGTACAACTCCGAGTACTTAGCCGATTTGGGGTTTTCTTAGTTTCTCTAATGAAAATTGTGATTGCGGCATAAGATAGTAGAGCAATACATATAAATAAATTATAGCACGGGAAAGCCGAAACAATTAACAAGGTTTTGCAGAAAGGGTATGTGGGTACTTTCTTGATAAGCATTGATAGTCGTGTCTATATATTTATTAATGTAACCCTTTAAACGAACGAACATTTTTGTTCTATTATTTTGTCTAATATTTTGTATTAATTGTTGTGAAAAACTACGTAGAAACGGACAGACGGACATGGTTAGATCGACTCGGCTGGTGATCCTGATATAATCCATCACTGCATTGCAAACATCTGACTGAAATTATAAGGAGTACACAAATGTAAGTAAGCTATAAGGTAGTTAAATTTAATATGATTTTGTTATCAGTGTATGAGCTCTCGTAGACAAAGGAAGCTGCCAATGTGGGATGTGGGCGGTCTACCGGTGCGAGTGGATTTCACCGTGGCCACCTGGCCTCTAATTACGAACGGTGGCCTGCACTGCGCATATGCTGACTACTATCAAGCACGTCATCAGCCGCAATCGTCGTCATCGCTATCTGTGCGCTTATCTATGCTGCCTGCCGGGGCATCGACGACAGCAGTTCCCATCGACTATTAGTCTCGTCCGGACTGTGGCAGCTGGTGCATCTCAACCGGGGCTCTGGGCCCGTGGTCTCCCTACATTTGCATTCGCAATCGCAATCGCATTCGCTTTGTTTGGCCAGGCGTCGAAGATCTGCAGTCCTCCGTGTGTCCTTCTCCAGTAACCCATTCCATTGTGCCTGGCTGGTGGTCAATATTGTACAGAAATGGCTATATCCGCAGCCCATTTCACACATTACAAAGTCCGATTAACCGAATCCCAGAATGCTGGGCGGAGTTGGAGCTCGTCGCAGAAGGGGCTCATCACCTATGGCGCGCTTGACCATTAGCAACATCAACAGCCTGGATGACAACATAGCCATCATCGGCGATGGCGTCATCCGGCGGAGCACGCAACTCGGTTCGCAGGGGTCCAACAAAAGGCTCCGGCCGCCGGAAAGCTTTGCTCTAGTCCAGATACGACCAAACCTGGGCGACATAATGTAAGTAGATCCATAAACCTAATCATAAACCATTCTATGATAGTATTTTAGTCGGACCACTGTGAAAGACATGGAGGGTAGACTTCTATACCTTGTAGTTTATTTAATACTAGCATTTTATTTCCTTTTCATTAGATTCGATTTTACCAAATTGAAAAGTTTTTCTAAAATAAAATAAAACGAAAATATCTCGATTTGTTTGCAATGATGTTGCTATACAGCGAAGTCATACAAATTTGTCGTTTTATCATTTTTTGACTAAGGCTTTAATTGCTTATTCGGATTGACAAGTGTATTATTGCCATGGAGTTGGTTTTTGTTAAATAATATCATGAACCATGAAAATCCGGGAGTCGTATAAATATTTTTTTTAGTTTGTTAACTTATACTCTTGCAGAGTAAAAAGCTTGAAACGCAGTGATGGAGATATTTCCTATCTAAGAAGTATTTATATTCTTGATCGGCATCACCAGGAGAGTCGATCTAGCCCTGTTCGTCTGTCCGTTTTAAAGCTATCTGCATAAAACTTTCCCAAAAGTCTTTTCTATTTCTAAGTCGAAATCAGACGACTATATAATATAGCCAGAGCAACAATCGAAAAATATATTATTTTTAGAATATATGTTAGAAGAGTATATGAACTTTCGTTTCGGGAGGGTTGGCCTTCAAGCCATTTCCTTTTCCATTTCATGAAGTTTTAGCCCTTAAAATTGTGAGTTTCCTGCTGGTGTTATACCCGAATGTTCTCCGTGCTTCCCGGGAATTGCGTATATTGGAGAAGATCTATCAATACTTTAATTCCGTTCAGGGGTTATCAGTTCTTTAAAGGTAAACCAAATTGTTTGCGGCTCATTATTGAAAACAAATTTGAACGCAAACGACCAGTTGGGTCAGGGGCTTATAAAAATATCGATATCGAATAACTGAACAGGGGGTGGAAAAGCAAGCGGAGCCTAAAGCTTCAATCGCGGATGTAGCGTCCTGCGGGACGCGCGTGCGTCGTGGCCGGCCAGTGTGGCCACCCCGCGGAATCACAAGTTAAGCTTGGGATGGAGCTTTCGAGCGGACGCAGAGCGCAGGGCTGGTGTGCGTGTGTGTGTGGGCCCTGGCGCTGTGGTAGTATGTGATACAAAGTCGCCGAGTTGAAGTCTTGCGTTTGTTGAGTTTTTCGTCCAACTGGTGAGACAAAGTCGGTGGCAGCTCCCGTCCAAGCGGTTTTTGTTTTTTATTTATAACGGTTCGCCATTTATCAGCAAATATGAGGCAGCCAGGAAACGGAAAAGCAAGGCCCAATGCTGTTGTTAACAATTGAAGTGCAATACATTAGTGCTCGTGCTGTGAAAATTCTACAATTCGAAAGTTGTGTGCGCTGGCATCCGAATTCGGGTCGAGTGGTGAAAATAAAACGACAAACATCCAACCAAGAAAAAGAATTGTCTGCGAACGCAACGACAAAACGGGCAAAAGGGGCGACAATGGCGACGAGAACAGAGGAAAAGGCCAAGTGAAAAGCGTTATTCGGTTACTCGGTTATTCGGTTTTTCGGGCGTACTGAAGCCAAAAAACGACCTCTGGCTGCGTTTCTTCAGGCCCATCTGCGGCCAGATCAATTTTTTAGGTCTTCTGGCACCCCCCTCCCCCCAGTGTCTTCCCAGTGACTAACGGGATATCCAAGTTTCAGTTTTGGGCCCGATCCCAATTACCGTCACAGAACCAAACACCAGTAACTAAACCTATCCCCAATAACCAGTTGTAAGTGTTGAGTTGCCGTTAGCTTAAAGTTAACGCACCACACACAAACCCTCGAGTACATACGTATCTATATGTACATATACATACATACGTACATACGCGTTGGGATTGGGATTGGGTCAGCGGGTCGGTAGCACAACGGGCGGAATGTTGCGTCGGTGGTGCTGTATATTGCGGTGGATGGGAATGGGAATAGGAACGGGATTGGGATTGCGATTGGGATGGCAGTGATGTGGAGCGCCAGTGGATTTCAGTTTTGGGTTTCAGCCGGAGCTATCGGTGTATCGTTTATTTTGTGACGTGTACACGCATAGCGAGGTGAATGAATTCTTGCGACGCAGCAGCACTATGAATTTCATGCCACATGCTTTCATATTCAACATTATTTAAAAATAGATATTAGCACGCGAACTGTATTCTCAGGCCCACAAATATTTACCATTCGTCTTTTCCCCACGAAAGCGAACCGGATACCAATTCGAATGCTATTCTCTTCTCCACGGAAGTGAAAATTTGTTTGTCCCTGAAGAATGCGGGCATATGAACAAACATTCTTGTGTGCGCTGCGTAACTAACGGCATATTAATGTATGTATTGGCCCCAGAGCAACGAGACATTAGGCATTCCTTTAAGCCGTCACACGCTCACATTTAAAACGGCAGTGAACCAATTAAGTTTGGTGTATCCGAAAATGTAACATTTTTGCCCAGAAATAGGTCCAAAGCAGAAAAGTGGAGCAGGGCAGGCCCCACAAATAATTCATTTAACGCGAGGGAAGCGGGGGAGTGGCAAGTGTGTCATTGTTGCTGTTTATTTTTGGCAATTACAGGATTGTTGGTCTTACTGTTGTCCAATAGTAGCCACAATACATACAGATATATAGCTTCTGTCCATTCCCATTCCCAATTCCATTCCCATTCTCGTTCCACAAAACATCGTCAACATAAAAAAGGCAGACAACTGTGCCTGGTGACGTCACTAGAAAAAATAAATAGGGAGAGCGAAAGAGAGATTTATGGCAATTCGTAGCAAGAAAAGATATTTGCAAAAACAAAACCAGCGGCATGTTCTTTCGTTTTAATTAATGCAAAAGGAATAGCTAAATGTAACCAGATTTACTGGGCCCGAAAAAGTAGGCAAGAGATTTGTGGCTGGATGTTATCGTTATCGATATGACCCAGTAATTGCTGAAATCAGTGAGAGGGCTTCCGCCGGTACGGTTGTGTGTGAGTGTATTAGACAGAGCGAGAGTTGGAATTCGCAAATGCCAGTTCCTGTTATCAGATGGAAATCAGTAAAACAAACTAATCACTGAATAACATGTAAACATATTCGTAAATTACGTTCAGTTCCCCCTTAACATGAAAAAACCATTTGCTTTTTCAAGAAAAGCAGAAAAGGTAAACAAGATTTCGAATGGGAACGAGAATCGCTGCATATCGTTCCTTCCAGTGATGTCGGAACTGAGAATCTCACTGTTTCGCAACTCACCACAGTCCCCATTCTCTGTGTATGTGAGTGTGTGTGTGTATTGAGCTTTTTCGGTGGCTTATTCATATATGTATGTGCCAGTCTCATTCTCAGCCTCTGGCTTTCATCCCCTAACTTTTTCATTCATGGCGTGTTCCAGTAATGGAATTTTATACAAAAAAAAAAACCGAAAAATACATCAATCCCATATCCCATAGCCATATCTATTCCCGGCCAGTACATACATATGTACATATGTATGCTCGCATTTCTATGGGTCGCAGAAAATAAAAACACTAGCCATGCACTTTGTATGCACCCCCATCCAATCATATGTACACACATATATGAATGTTCGTGCGCGAGTGTGTGAGCATGTTTTCAATAGGTCATGAACTGAATTGACCCGGGCGCATCATAATTATCGGCTGGCAAAATAAGTGTCACAACGCAACACCGAAAGCACCGCAAGCAATTGAAACTACGGCCCAAAACAGATTACGGAATCTGCCAAATTTACCATATATATGTTCATATGTATGTATGTACATATCTATGTACACCTCATTTGTGCCAAACCGTTAAAAGTACGCCGTGCATTAATAATGACCATTTACAATCAAGTGTCGGGCAACCAAATCAAATCAAGTGTGGTGTCGGCGAGGAATAAAGAAATTACTCCCAATTTAAAGAGCCATCTAATTGAGTTCGTTTCCCACCAGTTTACGTGCAATAATAACACGGTTATGCTGAGAAGCTGAAGGATAATAAAAGACTACAGTCAAAGCAATTCTGTTCAAGGAGCGAAAAATAAGTCAAAAAATTCAAAAGTACGAGTCAACCACTTCCACCCACCCCAACAGTAAAAAAAAGCCAAGAAAGAGCGATCAAAACAAGCGGAGGGATACAGCGGGGACGAGGGAAAGGGAAGAATCGGATCCGGAATCCTCCAGTCATCCACAATCATCACCAGCAACAGCTAATCGGACTCGCGAGCTAAATGTCCAGTTGCCGCTATCGTGCCATACGGACGGCGTGTCACTCCCGACAAATGCGTATTGTGGTTGACCTTGTTTAATATAATTATGGCCGAGCGGTCGTTACAAAAGTATCAGAAATTGGATACAGTGACGGTATGTACCTTCATGTCATTCTAAATAGTTTCATCTCTCGATTTATAAGCCATTTCTGATAGTTATCATATACCTGATTGAACTAAGAGGTATATAATTTGCATGTTTTGTTCTTGGTCTGGAACAAAATATTGGACTGCCTTTAATGGAACTTATAACATTATATTCAATATTAAATGATAAAATCACCTGAATTAACAAACCAAAATGAAAATTAATATATGTAGAAATTGTTGCTCATTTAAATTTTCTCTTGCCATTTTTGTATACAGGATTTCGTTTCGCTGGCTGTTTGATTTAAGCATCAAGCTTAAAGGGGGAATCCTTTTTAGATTTATAACAAAAAAGAAAGCAATCTAAAACTTAACTGAACGAAAACATAAGAAGTGAAAACTATAATAATAATAATTTCTGTGATCATTTAGCACCGAGAAATAAAATAAAAACTTAACTTTTGCAAATTCTGTCTTGAAAAATGCTGATATGAGGTATTCACAGTTTGTTTTTTATTACCATTCCTGAGCATATTTTAATTATTTAATTATTAGTATATATATTCCTCATCGACATCACTAACGGTGTCGATATATGTAGTTTTTTCCGACCGTTTGTTGTTCCGAAATTTTCTGAACAGTAGCTTAAGTTTTATAAAAATCGAATGATCATATCCTGTGATCACTGTTCGAACGACTAAATTTGTTCAAATAATGTTCCTAAAAGGGCATGCTTTTGGAATTTCTGAGAAGATATTTGTAAATTTAATCAATATTCAAACCATTTATTTTTGCTGTGGGTAGACATTACTAGAATCAGCTTATTCAATGCTAATTCTCTAGTTATTTCGACGTTTATATGCACGGGCTTGGAAATGCTTATAAAAAGGCACATAAACACAGCTTAAGTTTTCAAGACTTTATTTAATACCAAAATTTGATTTTAAAAGCACTTTTATAAGATTACCTAGGCGGCGTGATTGTCACTACTTTAAGTTTAACAACAACCCAAGTAAAATGTTTTATTTAAAGGATTGGAAATGTCAAATGTCGTATGGTTTCAAATCCCACTAATGGTTTAAAAGTTAAAATTTAAAAATGGTTTTAAAAAAGTATTAAAAAGGGTAATTTCCTATATTGGCCCATAATCGAGCTTGAAATGTGATGTGATGTGATGTAGTGAGAGAACTTATCATTTATTGTTTGAATTACTCAAAAAACTGTACTTAAACAACATTCACAATAATCCAATAAAATATTTTTATTTCCGATTTGTGAGAACTTGCTTTAATTGTAAACCATTCTTATCCATAAACGGGATTTCCAATGCCCAGGATAAACGAGCCACTTATATCTTTAAACTATCTTTGTAATTATAATTACTTGTCCTAGTGCTTTAAATATAATTACGTATAATAACACAGTCTTATAAGTTTTATTTTGAAGTGTATTTCGTAACTTGACACCTATTTAAATGCGTTCCGTTTGTTAAAGCTACTAAAGTGGAATTGCAGAAACTGTTCATCTTAAATCTAGGACAGTTTATATTAGAAGTTGTGTACGATTCCTTTAATAAATAAATTCTTTAATCAATAGACTACCAACTTCACATGCCAATTTTATCCTGAAAGAATGCTAGACATTTTTGTTTTTGCATAAATTTGATATACTTAAAAGTTGATAAATCCTTAACCAACTAATATGTAATCATTTTACTAATTTGTTACTTTGTGGTGTATTGAAATGAATTGAATGCTATTTCTTGAAGTTAACTTTCTGGCCCTCAGTGCACCGCTCAAATTGATTAAACTCAGTGCCGCCTTAAACGGCATCCTTTTAGCCACCACTGCTTTCCTGCTAGCACACATTTGAAACAAATAGGCGAAACGTTTTTTCTAATCACACAAATTAATTAATTACTATAAAACCCTCAAGAAGTTTATGAAATGGAATCAACTGGGCACAAGTTTTTTTTCTACAAAATACAAATTTTCCGAAGCAATGCAAGTTTATTTACAGTTCAACTTGTTCCATGATATTGATATAACGACTGTAAAAATGAAAATTACCTAAATTTTAGGAAAAGTGTAAAATTTAGATATTTTTTTATAGAACACAGTGTTTTTTTCTAAACCTTTTTGCATATTATTTTTTCAATTTGCTCTCGTAGTTGCAAAACTATTAAAAATTAAACAAGAAGTCGAGTGCCTCGACAAAATACCCTTTACACTGTTAATCAATTTCAAAACAAACATGCGGCTAACAGATGGCGGCACTTGCAATTCTATTGGCGCAGAAAAAAAAATGGCGCCATCTGGCGTACAGGTATCTACAGCGCAGACCTCTTTGAAGTTTTTTAATTTTCTATTAGAATTATATATATTTTAAAATATCCATCTAAATTTAATAATTAAGCTATTTTTGGCAGTACATTAATGATTTTTTGACCATTTTCTATTCTTATATACAGGTTGGAAGCGGCTCAGGAAGTAGTGCAAGCAGAGCATCAACAGGACTTCTTAGGCGGGGGGCACTTGGGTCGAAAGGGAGCCCATCGCTTAGCTGATAGAATGGGTGGCCCGAAAAAAGAGGAAAACCCACCAGGTGGTGGTCCGACGTCATTGTTTATTCTAACCGAGGATAACCCAATTAGAAAGTACACACGATTCATCATAGAATGGCCGCCCTTTGAATACGCTGTGTTATTGACAATCATAGCCAACTGTGTTGTGTTGGCACTAGAGGAGCACTTACCAGGGGGCGACAAGACAGTATTGGCTCAAAAATTGGTAAGACTTGGTCGAAGCATGATTTCAGAGTAATATACTAGGTATTTAACTGGACTGATTTCCATTTGGCCAAATTAGGAAAAAACGGAGGCCTATTTTTTATGCATTTTCTGTGTAGAAGCGTCGCTCAAGATCCTCGCCTTAGGGCTTGTTCTGCATAAACACTCCTATCTCAGGAATATTTGGAACATCATGGATTTTTTCGTCGTAGTTACGGGGTAAATAATATACCAAAATAGTTATCTTTACCTGCACATTTAATTTAATAACGTACTTAAGAACACTTAAGTCAACCACGCCGTGCAAGCTTAATTTTTTTCTTAATTTCAAACTAAATTTACGTGCTAGTCTTGGTCATAAACAGAAAAAGTTACGGGAAAATAATCAAACTTTCTTATATGATTATGAATCTAAAAGTAAATTAGATTAACTAAATTAAAAATAGTGTTAAGATAGCGATATTAAGATAATTGTAATAATAGTGTCAACAATTATTTTACCATTCGAAGTATGTTTATACTTCGGTTATACATTTTATAAATTAAAAAATATGAATTTACTTAAGTAAGCGTTTATAATAACAACTTCTCCCGTATGTTCATGTGCATATAAAAATTGCGAAATGACAAAATCTCATGCCAATAACAGAGCCATGACGATATTTGCTGAGGCCAATATAGACGTTGACCTGCGTATGTTGCGATCTTTTCGTGTTTTACGCCCACTGAAGCTCGTATCCCGAATTCCAAGTAAGACATTCGCCACTAAACGAACCATTAGTTGCTAATAAAATAACCTAGGCCAGATAATATATCATTTTCTTCAGTAATATATGTTACTTATTAAAATAACAATTTACACTCAAAAAACATGCATTTTTACGATTATGTATGTATGCGCTAGGTAATATGTGTAATTTAGGAGTAGCAACTAAAGAAATTAAGAAAAATAAACTTAAACGTTAGGAGTCCAAAATTCGATCTTAAAATCTTTAAAGTCTATCGCTAAATGTATTCTAGAAAAAGGTAGAATTTAAGTAGTAATTATTCATGTGAGTCACAGCAATCTATCGACGTCAAATTTGAAATGAAAAAAATTTTGCAAAACAAAAATGGAATGTGAAATTATTTAGAGCATAATGAATTTTTAACCTCCTAGATGTCAAAACTAAAAGAGATTTCTGTGGCAAGGCACTTAGTAGGAAATGTTCTTCTTAAACTAAATAGGATTAACATTATTTAAATATAGACTGCATCAGTAGGATGCAGCATGTTACTTATTGATAACTAAAAGTGTTCTAGGTGTAGTGTTATTTATAGAAAAATTACACATACATTAAATGCTATGATGTACTATGGTAGCCACGGAATTATTACTACCCAAAAACAAATATATAAGTCTACAATAATTATCTTACATTTAAAGAGAACCAGAAGTGATTAATTATTTGAAGAAGAAGTACATTAGTTTGACACTTTGAAATGTAATATAAAAGTCGTCATCACTTGTGGCCTTTTTTATTAGGCACTGCAAGTGCATCGTGTTCCAAAATGTCACATTTAAAAATATAAAACTTTGAAATTTAACTTACACCTACTGGAATAATATATAAATCTCTGTATTATTAATGTTATGTAGTGTTGTTATTTAGCCAAACCACAATTTTTTTGTTGTTTATATTCACTACAAATTATCAATAGGATAATTATATACATATAAGTTGAGTTATAGGCTCTCTATATATACTTAGATGTTTAATTCTGTTACAGTGACTATAATATATAAGGCCTTTAGTATTAAGACCATTCGAATTTAGGAATAGATTTCGTCTTGCAGGTCAAATAGCTCCCTAAAGGTGGTAGAAAAAAAACGCATATTATTGATATTCGATAATAGCTGGCACATATTCAATATATTAACTGTTTTACTCATTTAATTAGTTGTCTTTTATCAAAGACAGATTTAGTGAGCTGTGGATACACACACATGTGATTTTCTGGTTGATCTGGGCAAATTATTTTTTATTTTTGATTCTAAATATTGGATTTAAATATTTAATGCCATATTGTTTAAACAGTTTCATAGAATAAATAGAGGTATTACATTAAAAGCCTTTATACTCGTAATATAAATTACTTTCGTTTGAAAGGATTAATGACTTGAACTGTCTTAGAGTTTCAAGAAAAACAGTCTATTTGTTATAGGTAACCGTGTATCTTGATTTATGATTATAATAGACCAAAACAGTTAGCCTTAAACAAATATTTTATTTTATAGATGGTATTTAACATCATTAGTTTACATTTGCTCTTAAAGACATTGTATTTATCCAGAGATTCCTGGTTAAAGGGTTTCGATGGAAGAGCAAGTGTAAACTATTCTGCGTTTCCGCTTGGGTTACCCATTGTGTGTGCGAAAAATATGAACTAACCGCGCGTTAAACGTTACTGAATTACATAATTTATTTATTTTAAATTATCACAGTTTTTATTTCTTTTTGCTTTCGAATTAAGTTTGTATTTAAGATGCACAATACATATTACGATTTTATTTATACGCACTTGTATGATTTCGATATTCTAATTATCATTATCTATGATAAGTTTGTCTTGCATTCATTATGTATCGCTAATCAATATATAAATTCGTTTTGATCGCTTAACGTTTGCAAACAGATTCATGACACTGTACCCACAAATAGGGCCCGAGGTAGACCTAAGAACACTTAGAGCCATTCGTGTGCTACGGCCCTTAAAATTAGTGTCTGGAATTCCTAGTGAGTAGTTCCTCTGTTTTATTCTACTTACCAAACTTCTTCCTGTTGTTGTTGTTGTTCCTTTACTTGTCGTATTTCTTTTTATTTTCTAATCCATACCGAGTACGCCTCGCTCCAGAATCTTAAGTGTGTAAATGTATCATAATGCGAGAGTTTTTTTTAATTTTAGTTTATTTCTCTGAATCTAGTACGAGTGAGTGCAAAATGAGTGATACAAGAGCCTCCATTTTTGCCACCACTTAGTTTCGATTTTGTTTTAAACGTACTCTTTTGAATGTAATGGTTGTGGCACATGGTTGTCGTAGAGCCTACAAATTGTCTGTGGCAACCATGTACTAAATGTGAACACGGCCCCCGTTTTCCTATCTTGCTAATCCAATATCCCATTTCTTTAACCAACCAACAACGTTACGTCGTCATATCGTGTCGCTGAATTTATTTTGGATCGGATGAACGCCGTCAACAGGTTTACAAGTAGTTTTAAAATCTATAATCAAGGCGATGGCACCTTTACTGCAAATCGGTCTCTTGGTGTTGTTTGCAATCGTAATTTTTGCAATCATTGGACTCGAGTTTTATTCGGGCGCACTGCATAAGACTTGTTATAGCTTAGAAGATCCAAGTACGCCGCTCCCCCATGCCATCCATGGAAAGATCAAAGCTAATGTCCTTCTTTTCGCGCAGACAAACTAGTGAAGGAGGGCGAATCAGAGACGCCTTGCAACACGGACAACACCACGGAAAAGGCAACCGGCTCCTTTGTATGCAACAACACCACGAGCATGTGTCTGGAAAAGTGGGACGGACCAAATTCAGGTATCACGAGTTTCGATAATATCGGATTTGCCATGTTGACCGTATTCCAATGTATCACGATGGAGGGCTGGACGTCAATACTGTATTGGGTAAGTGGCGATCGGAGAACCAGCTCCTGGCATCGATCGCATTTAACCTCTGACCACCACTAACGATTCTTCTCCACAGACCAACGACGCATTAGGTTCAGCATTTAATTGGATATATTTCGTGCCTCTTATAGTTATAGGCTCATTTTTTATGCTCAACTTAGTTCTTGGTGTCCTTAGTGGGTAAGTTGATCACGAATCGCTTTACTCTCAATGAAGTCATTTCTACACCAGTTCACACTATGTTCTACTTATGATTTCGATTACTTCTGTTAAATAAGGGATTTGAAAATACAGCATACATATGTTTAGATCACATCAATATTGAATGGCGGCAGTTTTTGATGATCAACGCTACTATATTTGTAAAGAACAATTGTAAAGAAAAGTGGGTCAAGTTGGCAGATTATACATATGTATATATCGGTCTTACGTAGCTCTGTGCATGCGCATTCAGGGTGAAAAATAAAGTCAATTTGCTGTAAATTAATCAAAATTTTCCCTGTGAGCCAGTGTGGTTGGCCAGACGATTGAAATATATGTATGTATGTGTTTTAAATACTTTAAGATTGATTTGCATTTTTTGTTCGGTTCTTTTTTTCGGAATTTTGTTATATGCATTTAACTATCGTATTCCCGAATTCAGAGAGTTTTCGAACGAACGAAATCGTGTCGAACGTCGCATGGAGTTTCAGAAATGCCGCTTTCGGGCCATGTTTCAGACAGCAATGGTTTCGTACCTTGACTGGATCACACAAGCAGGTTTATAAAACTAGATCTAAATCTAAGTGCAACCAGTAAACTGCCATAATCAACCCGAACGTCATACAACACTACCTGCAATAAATATAATAATTATCGGCCAAAACAGAACAATAAGACTACTCGTATGTTGTCGAATCCGAACGAGTTCATTGAATTAAACACCCATCTAAATAAACCAAAAGCAACCTCCGACCTATACTACCCAAATTATACAGAAGTTGTTTGATTTACTGCTAGTTATGTATTCTTAAATAGATCGCAAGCAATTCCCCGGCTACAAAGAGTTCTGGTACCCAAACTTACTTACTATCAATAATACAACTACTTCCAATGTACCAATTTAATATTAACTGCGAAATGCTGTTTACCCCACTATAGTTCAACCAATCGAAACAATAATCGAATCCATATATTCTCCAGTGCGTATTGCGTATTATATTCTCTGCATTTTGCTACACACCCAACTTTACCCGATTCTTACAACCATAGCGATAAAGTTAAATTCCCAGCAGCCTAAATAAACCAAACTAACCAAAAATAGCTATTTCTACAACAGTTAGCCATCTTAACTTACAAATATTATACAAACATTCCCCGTCAGCGGAGTCGTGTGTGCTTGAGCCATTGAAATGTTGTTGAGTTTCGGCTTTCTACACTCCCACACACCCACACTGATACCAGTGCACCCACCTATCCCATGTCCCATGTCCCATGTCCGGTTTGCTATCGCCATCAGTGTATCATCGATCTAGACTCAGAGACTCCCGGCGAACCAGGGCCAAACCAGTGTTATTGGAGTCCCGATGGCGCTATGGCATCATCTCCCCATGCGTGTAATATTTATTTGTCGCCACCAAATAAATCATTTTATATACATATGCTCGTATGCACACATATAATCTAACACACTCCCTTCTTATATATGTTTCCTTGACTTCTGACCCGATTGGGTCCCGTCGGTGGGGCGCTCTCCGACGTCAACATCAAAATAAATATCAAAATGTGTTTCTGTTACTTCATTTTCAGTAAATATTTTTGAGTTTCCGTTCATGCCCGTTTGTTGTGTTCTAAGAAAGCCGTGACATATTCTGGTTTTAAAATCTTTGATTTTTGTTTTATGGTTAAATTCGATTCTTCTCTGTTATTACACTCGTACAAAACAATGACGAAAGTATGGTGTGAACTTTGCTATTTTAATACCAAAGCATACATGATCGTTTTAGCAATCAATCAATCCTGTTTTTTGGTTTATCACGTTCTATTTAATTATTTTTTGTAGTGAATTCGCAAAAGAACGAGAAAAAGTAGAAAATAGACAAGAGTTTCTTAAACTTAGAAGGCAGCAGCAACTAGAAAGAGAGTTAAACGGCTATGTTGAATGGATTTGTAAAGCTGGTATAGTATTTACCCCTATTTCTTGTTTGTAAATCTATATATACACTCATCCTGATTATAATCATGTCATAAATCATTTTTATACACAAATATTCAAACATAAAAATTTTAAACAATCCTCACCCCAAATACATTCACAGATATACGAATTCCCTTTTAAACGAGATGTGACGGGTTTTGTCAGATCCTTTGGGCGGAAAGTTGTTAACTTGCAAAACACATTGACATTTCCTTTGTTGATGTCAATTTGAACTAAATAATTGGTTTACCCTTGCAGAAGGATATATTATACTATATCTGGAGCAGCAACACTAGGCCATGTTGATAATTTATACCATTTCGGTATAACTGCAAGGGTATTAAAATGTCGGCTTGCCGAACTAAGCTTCCGTTTTTTATTAAAATTTCTTTTGAATTTATTGATTAATAACACTTTGTTACACCAAAAATAAACATTAATTTAAGCATACTTTTCAAATAGATTTCTTTGCGATTATTTCGAATCTGGTCACGAAAATGCAAGTGAATTTCATGAAACCTTTTCGTAGTCAGATCCGAAATCTACACATTAAAACCTATTAGAAAAGTAAACTTTCCTTAATGTAAATAAAGGTGAAATTTTGTAACGAAGTGAGAAAAAAATTCAAAAATGTACTGGGTTTCCATTAACTTCCTAACATGAGTGGGCTGTTTTATGTTATTCTACTCATACACATTTGCCCCTTTTTCTTCATCCTTTCATTAAAAGGTACATTAACTGAATATTGCTTATCTCATTTGGAAACTTGCATATAAAATAATGATATATTCATATATATAAAATAATACAAAAATATTAATAATATTCGTACATGTTGTATTAAGATATTTCTAAATAGCCAGCACTTTTGGCACATTCTTAGCTTCCCTTTCCTCATAGAATCAAGCCTTAAAACCTTTACATTGCCAAATTTAAAGTAAATAAATTCCTGAACATATTCTGAAATAAACTAGTTCTCGTGGATATATGGACACAGACCCTTCATACCTCCCCACTATATAAACAATAACCCACATAAACTTTACTGTACATATATCCTTTCTGCTTATGTGTTGATCAAATCATTTGCTTGTTTCGAAAAAATACCAATCACTTGATTTTGATGTTGTTGCAGAGGAGGTAATACTAGCTGAGGAGCGAACAACGGAAGAAGAAAAAATGCACATAATGGAGGGTAAGTTTTGTCGATTTCTGAAAAAGCACAAACTCAAAAAAATGATTGAAAATTTTTGTTATAGCTCGTAGACGAAACGCTGCCAAGCGAAAAAAGCTGAAAAGCTTGGGAAAGTCAAAGTCGACAGATACAGAGGAGGAGGAAGCCGAGGAAGATTATGGCGACGATGGTAAGAAAGATATTTAAAATAGTTTTCTAACAACTGGGTCGTGTATAGAATGCAGCAAAGTATGAGTTTTTTATGAATAACAAGCTACGACACGAAAGGCTTGTAAAATCCTATGGAGCAATGAAATAATGCAAGGGGTAAAATAAAAAAAAAACACTTTTAACCCATGTTCGAATGAATAAGGTTATTTTTCGATTTTATTCAAAAGTTCGCACCAATACTTAAATGCTGCCATTTCAGTTGCACTTCGTTTGACTATTTTGTTTTTCTGTTCAAATAAATAAGCGGATACTCCTAAGTTGCGTTTCAAGAAATGACGATATGGAATTAATTACATTTTTTATTTCTATATCTAAACTTACAACAACAAAACGAAATTGTAAATCTTACATTGAATATGTTCCAAATGTGTAAGTAAAATAATATTTATTTTTTCACGAAGTGAATAATCCGCACCGGCGTCAGATAGTAACAACCCCATTAAATTCGTTACCCAAATAAATAGAAATTAATAACTTCATATTTCTCATCGTAAAGAAACTACTTAAATTTGTCTAAATTTCACACTTGTGTATATTTGAGAAAGTAGAGGGCATAAGATGCACTTTATAAAAACTTATTTCGATTCTGTGATCCTGTGATATAAGTTCAAAGAAATCTTAAACTATCTAGCGCCCATTTACTATCAACAGTAGGTCTTGCTATCGTTTCGATTCTGATCCAATTTATCGGAGTTTGGATTTTCTTTATTTGTACGCTAGCAAACAAAAATTTAATATTATCTTGTAAGGATGAAATATCAATACTTATATTAAATTTTCTTGTAGTCAAGATGCGCGATATTTGAACTTTCGATGTTTAAAAAAGCACCTAATTAGAAAATTTTAGGACAGCATTTAACTTCAACAATCTGAGCTCAAAGTATCGTCTTTGTAGAGATAGTTCCCACCCTAAAATATTCAATCCGCAACCTCCTGTAACTTCGTCCTTATAACAAATAGTTTTTCATACTCTTTATCGCTAAGATCAATAAGAACATACTTCTTTCGCATTATATTTATTATATATACATACATGTTTATTAACCGTGCGTTTCAAAACAAAATAAAACAAGAAATATATTATCTTAAAATTTATCAAGTGGAAGAACCGGTCCACAAGTAAATCTGTCAATTTCAGGACTTGATCGATTGATAAAGGGGAAATTTCCATTCAGTACCATAAAATAATCGATTTTTTTCTTATTTAGTTTCTTATAAACTAAAAATTAGTTATGTTGATATCTAACGTAGTTCTCGAGATTTACGCGGTCAAGCACTATTGCTCTTACTGCTTCGAGGAATGATTTGATTACAAAGTCTACTAGCTTAAATTAAAGAAAATTTTAAAAATTTAGCAGTCTTCATTTTTGTATTAGTTGTGATCACTTAAAAATAATATTTATAAGAAACAAATTGCCAAACCGTAAAATGGTAAATTTTTAGTAGTCTCAATGGGAGTCCCCCTAAAGTATTACCATAAATTGTTTAACATTGTTTAGAAATGCACTGCACACGTATTTGAGCAGTGTACACAACATTTGCCTGGTTGTACTATAGGTGGAGATATTTGTGCCAGCACAGCTACTCGATCAAAGGACACTAATCAAAGAAATTGTTTCTCTGTGTTCCTTCCTAGGTTACCTGAAAACTCGCTCAAAACCTCAAGGAAGTTGTACCGGATTTTGGCGGGCGGAGAAGAGGTTTCGTTTCTGGATCCGACACACGGTGAAGACGCAATGGTTCTACTGGTTCGTGATCGTCCTCGTCTTTCTGAACACAGTCTGCGTTGCCGTCGAGCATTACGGGCAGCCCTCGTTCCTCACGGAGTTTCTGTGTAAGTACATTGCAGGCTATCTATCTATTAATGGCTCTAATTCGTGTGGTGTCCCTTGCAGACTACGCTGAATTCATCTTCCTGGGACTCTTTATGTCGGAGATGTTTATAAAGATGTATGCGTTGGGGCCGCGAATCTACTTTGAGTCGTCGTTCAACCGTTTTGATTGCGTTGTCATTAGTGGTTCGATATTCGAAGTGATCTGGTCAGAGGTCAAAGGCGGTTCGTTCGGTCTGTCTGTGCTGCGAGCCCTGCGATTGCTGCGCATCTTCAAAGTCACCAAGTACTGGTCCTCGCTGCGCAATCTAGTCATCTCTCTGTTGAACTCGATGAGATCCATCATCTCATTGTTGTTCCTGCTCTTCTTGTTCATCCTCATATTCGCTTTACTTGGCATGCAGTTATTTGGCGGCCAGTTCAATCTGCCTGGAGGCACGCCCGAAACCAATTTTAACACTTTCCCGATAGCACTGTTGACAGTATTCCAAATCCTCACTGGCGAAGATTGGAACGAAGTCATGTATCAGGGCATCATATCTCAGGGAGGTGCTCAGAAAGGAATGATTTACTCTATGTAAGTTTATGTCTGTATTACGTATCATTCCATTGTTGTAGCTATCATGCGCATTGTAAGCCAGTCTAGATCTAAACGTACAAGTAAACGTAGTTAACGCACAGCTATTTAAGTCCCCGACTTTTGCCGTGCAATGGGAAATTTTTATTAATCTTGGCCCACTCTGCTAAGAAAACCTCTCTAACCCTAAAACTCCTACCAAGCGAATTCGCAATTCATTGAACGTCGAACCATTAATGTGTGCAGTCGACCACAGCCAAATTTGATCGCAATTTGGCTGAATTGGACTTCTGAGCTTGAAGAATTTTACTTTCCAAAATTCTACAAGCCCAAGTCCCGAGAACAGAAAAACAAGCAACCCACTAATAATCATTCATCGTGAATTCCCACTAATCCGTAAGTGTAGACACATGATCTTTGTAAATTAATCTGTACACTCAATTAAACGCTATACCTCTGTTTATTTTCAATCATCTCTCTTTGCAGCAGTTCAACAGACTTTTGCATACCATAAGATGCGTGGCAAAGAGTTTCTCAGACCTAACGTAGTTGCCTCAGTTAACAAACAGTCACCTGTGCAGTACAAACTAATCCCTTATTACTTTTTAAAAATTCCCCAGCACACGTTGACGTATATTTTGTGTTTCATACCATCGCGGAGGTTCCTCTCCCGAGCTAATGCGTTAAAATTGATGACTATACGATGAGTTTAAACTCTGATTGTTTTTTGTGTTCTTCGACAGATACTTTATCGTTTTGGTACTCTTCGGAAATTACACGCTATTAAATGTGTTCTTGGCTATCGCCGTTGATAATTTGGCGAATGCCCAAGAACTTACAGCAGCCGAAGAGGAACAAGTCGAAGAGGATAAAGAGAAACAACTGCAGGAGCTCGAGAAGGAGATGGAGGCCCTCCAAGCCGACGGTGTCCATGTGGAGAATGGAGACGGTACTGTAGCCCCCAGCAAGGCCAAGGGCAAGAAGAAGGAGGAGGAGAAAAAGGAGGAGGATGAAGTGACGGAAGGTCCCAAGCCAATGTTGCCGTACTCATCGATGTTTATACTTTCACCAACAAATCCGTAAATATTCTTTTATTCAATCTCCATTCTCCATTCTCTTTGTCATGGGTCATTCTCGTAGTATTCAGTTAGGGCTCATCCTAGAGTTAAGATAATCGAGTCTTTTCCAGAACCCTATCCCTGCGGCTAGGGGAAATACATCCGGAATACTCTCATACCATTATATCATGGTGCCTTAATAATTTTGTAGTTATGATCCAGACTCGATTGGCCGGTGCCGATCCAAGGTTATTAACAAGTATTACGGGTCTTATAGAAAAATGTTTTATCCTTTTTGTACAGTATCCTATCCTAGTTACTATCGTTCATAGCCAATGACATATATTAATTAATATCTGATGAACTACAATAACAGTAGTACGATTTAATCAATAACTGATGCAATACTTTTTTCTTTTTACCTTTTTTCCTGTTTTGGATTACAATCTTATGTTGCACACAACCAAACAAATTAATGAACCACTTGATCTATTGAACGAAATAACATGTGTTTGTAAATATATTCAACCACAATATCCGACAATAATTATTACAATCATCAACCATCAACCACCACCACAAATCATCATGATAAACTGCAATAATTATGTTCAAAAATCATTGACACATTCAACAAAAAACGAAATGATTAACAACAACAATTCATACAACGAACATCAACGAACTTGTTAAAAAAAAATCAAAACAAATTACAATTTAAATCAAAACCTGACAAATTAAATGCGAATTGGAACGACGACAAAAATGAAATCCATCAACAAATTCAATCAAATGAACGGGTGCCAAAACAAAAATGCGAACAAAATGCGTAAATTAAAATCGAAATCTGATATTGAAACCTCAACACAAATTTTAAAATTTTAAACTGAATTTCAATCAAAAACGCAAATAACCATAAAATAAAAAATAAACTGCTACCGAATTGGACGCAATCCCGAATGCAAAAATATGATCATGATCCTAATTGATTACATGTCTAAACCAATATATGAATCGAAACCACTCAATTACCAATTTAAAACCTATATTCGCTGTTCGATGAATTCGATAAACGCACGACTTATACAGCATACGACGCGGCGCCCATTGGGTTGTTAATTTACCATATTTTGATTTCTTCATTATGGTTGTCATCTCAATGTCATCAATAGCATTAGCAGCCGAAGATCCCGTTCGTGAGAACTCAAGGCGAAACAAGATACTGAATTATTTCGATTATGCATTTACCGGCGTATTCACGATAGAAATGTTGCTGAAAATTGTAGACTTGGGTGTTATCCTGCACCCTGGCAGCTATTTAAGAGAATTCTGGAATATTATGGATGCTGTGGTCGTTATATGCGCTGCTGTTAGTTTCGGTTTCGATATGAGCGGTAGCAGCGCTGGACAAAATTTATCGACTATTAAATCGCTTCGGGTATTGCGTGTCCTACGCCCATTGAAGACCATTAAGCGTGTACCAAAATTGAAAGCCGTGTTCGATTGCGTCGTGAACTCATTGAAAAATGTTGTTAACATTCTAATCGTGTACATATTGTTTCAATTTATATTTTCTGTTATTGGAGTACAATTGTTCAATGGAAAATTTTTTTATTGTACGGACGAAAGTAAACATACTTCCGCAGAGTGCCAGTAAGTAAAATTTATATTTAATTAAAGTTTAAAATTGTTCGTTCGCTTTTTTAAGTTTTTCGTAATCTTATTCTTGATCTTAATTAGACCTAATTTTCAAATGTTGTGTCATCTTGTTTTTTGGATCATTTTGCAATAGGACTTGGCCAAGATGCCATATAATTATTGTCCTTCCGTAGTAACCGCTTTTATGTTCTTTAATTTGTCATCTCAATCATTTAATCCTCTTTCTCGTATAGTCGCGTTACACTGTAGCGCTCTAGCTTTCCCACTCTCTCCCACAAACACGCTCTCTATGACTATCTTTCTATCTGTCTCTCTGGTTACCTTTGTGTGTTTCTTTGTCAAATAACATAAATAAATAACTGAAAATTTGTAAAACATGTGTACATTACTTAGCGATTAAAGTCGAAAGGAACAAACACATTTCACCTCCTCGTACGTACATTTCCCGAGACATTTTTGGGCTGTTACATTTACAATGTACGGCTATGTTCAAGATAATACCCTTAAACGGACGATGTATCTCTTTTTATTAACTTGAATGTGCAATATTTTGTAAAATTATATTATTTATTGTAGAAATGAAAGAAAATCATCTTATTTTGAGGTTTGTCTTTTAGTTTAAAACCATTTTCTTAAATGCAGACTAAACTCGGATGTTCCAATAAATAGAAGTGCCTAAATTGTATTGAAAATAGGGGATTTTAGAAACTCTATGCCGTTGGGAGTAAATAAATCCAATGGTATATGCTTAGAAATTTATGTTAAGCTTAGATATTCAAGAATGCTATCAACTTTGAAAAAATGTAGCTTATATATAATTCTATACTCTAAAACATTCGTAGTGTCTTTCTCAAAAGCAAGTTTAAAATTTACTAAGAAATTATTTTATTACAAGCGTATTATTGGAATGAAAGGAGAACAAGATTTATCACTAATTTGTGTTTACTTAGCATCGACTTCTGTTGAATTTTTTTATTAAATGTTAACGGTACTATTTTTATAAAAAGACGAATGGGGTCCATCTAAGAAAACTACTAACACATTCGGGAAGAACGGGAGTTAATTTTTTTTGTTCAATACAGCCTCATCCTACAAAATATTGTATATGCAAACGAAAAAGTGACACAGCGTACTGTTTGGGGTGATGGCAGGAAGCAATATTGTCATGTTCAGGCCAGATGTATATATTTTGAAATGACATACACAACACTTCAATACCTCCCAATACATTATTGTGTAGCTGTAATGTTTTGATTTGGCCTGCTTAGCTCTACATACATTTTTAAGTATGTCTTGAAACTTCCCCTCGATTATTTGTGTGTCTACATACACAGAAATTAACACTTCCTGAAAGGTTAAGAATCCGAGAGAGTAGGGAATGTCTTTGGGTTTTGTTACTTGAATCTGTAATATGTACTGAATATTAAATAGAGAAACCAGGATAATATTTTTTTAAGAATCTCCTTCCCTGTATATATATATATATATATATATATATATATATGCATACGTGTATGTATAAATTTGAAGTGGTCTTAATAGAGAGCAATTAGGATATATATTTCCAGCCCCATCCCTGTTTTGTATGTGTGTTGTACGATTGTTTCGTTAACCTAACCGTTATTTTTATATTTATGTTTGTTCTATTATCATATTTGTTTTCATGAAACCAAAAAAGGTGCACTGATTTAACAGAATGTAAGAGTAGCATTTTATAGTTTCTTGCCAAGTTTTTCTTGCCTGACTTGTCTAAATAACAGTCACGCGATTAAACGGGCCAAAAACAACACCAAAATCCAAAAAAAAAAAAAAAAAAAAAAAAAAAAAAAAAAAAAAACGATTGCTAACCATAACAAAAATTGAAAGTACAACCGAATCAAAAGTGACTGATATAAAGCATATAAAATATAGAGCAAATGCGTTCGAATCAACATCTGTGATATAGAAGTGCAAACGTACAGTTTCTAGTTACCACCTGAAAGACCTTACCAGTTACGCCTAATTTTCTATAATTATTTTATATATATACTAAATCAGTTAAGCCGTATCAGTGTATGTTTGTATATGTTGTCTTCACAAACCAAAGCTCGGGAATCACTAATGAAAATAGCAAGAATCTTCGCGTTTAGTCTGTGTACTTAAACCATAATTATATCTGTATTTAAATGTTTCATTTATTTGCAATTGGGTATTCTCCAAATACCAAAGAGTCCATATTACTACCAGAAGATTTCTTAATAAGCACGCGCATAGCAGTCACGGACCGTTTTAGAATAGTTAACTAGGAAAAAGACTTTCATCGAATAACTCAGCTCTAATATTACATAGTTCAAGGCCCAAATCATAAACCACAACAGTGTGGTTTAAACTTCAGTTCTGGTTCTAGGTCCTGGCTAATTACATTTTTTTTCTAAACCAAGTAGTAAGTGTAACCTAAAATTTAGACATCATCCTATACATACAGGCCATAATTTGTATGTTCAAGTATAATTCTATCTACCACAAAAAGAACCAGTTGTCGTTTTGTACCAATAGTGGTATTGTAGGAATCGTAAACATTTTGTAGTGTACTGTATCCAACTAGATGACGAGCGCTCTTTCCCAAGTTATGTGTGTATAGAGAGTATCATTATGTATTATATTATTAACACCGCGTATCTTACACTCGACGCTGTTGAGAAGTGAAAACAAAGCCCGATACTTGCGTTGCAACCGAGGGACGTTCAACGACAAAAGCCATAGAGTATCGGCTTGTTTTAGCTGTTTGGCTTCGTATGCAATAACTGTGGCCGACCGCCCTGCCTAATTGACAACCAAATCAAATCCAATAAAATTTATTTAATCTCCAAATACATATGTACACGTGCATCCCAACGCCCACTAGCATATACACTCACGTCCTTATGCATTACGCCGCCGCCAGCAATGGAACTTTGGTTAAAAATACATATCAAGCTAGGTTTTTATCCGTGTTCTGGACTGATCCTGATCGTTCTTATAGCCGTATCTAATTATATTTTTTTACGGGGAAACTATAGTTTTAAAATCGAAAAAAAAAATTATTTTTGTTTCGCATACAAATTTTAATAGAATATTGTCGCATTATTTGAAATCGACTAGTGCAAAATTTGCCAAGTCCGCTCATCTGGTCTTTAAAAAGCAACAAAGTCAGCTCATTTCGCAGGATAGTTCCGCAGGCAGCTAAACTTTAAAAATATCATACTTCGTATGTTTGGCAAAATAACATTAGGCGTTCTTTACAACCGGATAATATATAGTAGCTTATTTCCATCCAACCCAAAAATAAGAACTTACTTTAAGCGCAGCTGCTTTGTTACACATCACCGAACTGACAACGGGCCGATCCACGAAAACCCAGTAGAGGGAGCTCAATTTTTGATCCACAGCTCCACACCGATCGACAGTCTTCTGCATTCATCCATCCCACGGGTAATGGGCTTAGTATATTTTTTTTGTGATTTTCGAACATTTCTTTATTTGTACGCCTTCCTATTCAGACCGTACCGAGTGTTGATTTGGGTTGAGCTGATCTCGGTCGTTGCGTGACTCTAACTCCAAGTCAAATTGCCCACTCGTACATGGTCAATGCAGTATGTAGATGTGACAGGGACAGCAATCGCTTCTGGCACAACTGACATACCACCCACCAACTGAAAAACAAAGACACACCCACCATGCGAATATTGCAATAAAATTATTTCATTTTTTTTTGATGAAAAATCAACTCTACCAGGGGTGTCACAAAAATCTCCGCAAGACTTATTCCAACCGAATATAAAATCAGTGTGCCTTAGAAATCTCTCGAACTTAAAGAAACTTAAAATTTTAAGATCCTGTGGCACCGACAGAATTTTCCAAATGACCAACGATTTTTACGGCACCCCAGTATGTGTTTCTATAGAAATCTAACTGTCGTTTTTATTTATTAGCTTTCGATTTCCATATAAATTTCACATTTAAATCATTTCACCATTTCATTAAAATTTCAAAAGCTACAAAAACCAAAAAAAAAAAAAAAAAAAATTCCGGTAAAATGTATTTCGATCCCCAATTGATGTTCGGTTCAGTTTTAGATGCTTGCAGACTTTAGTTTTGATTCACTGCCTTTTTTCGTTTAACTTAGTGTTTTTTGCGCAAACTTAATTTTGGTATTTTCTCTAATGAGTCTTAAATCAAATTACTAATTAATCCACAAATAACTATAACCACACCAACGACTAACACCATCCAATAAACATGAAAACCCTAAATAAACCAAATCCGAAAACAAATAAACAAAACGCAACCGAAGGGGCTCGTACTTCAAGTACGAGGAGGACGAGCTGCTGCCCAAACAGGAGCTGAGGGTTTGGAAGCCTAGGGCCTTCCACTACGATAATGTCGCCGCCGCGATGTTGACACTATTCGCTGTCCAGACCGGCGAGGGATGGCCACAGTAAGCCAATTTGTTGTTGTAACTGATATTTTCCACTATGTATATCTGTAATTGTAACTGTATCTGTATCTGTATCTGTCTATTGATCTGTCAAATGAAAATGGAAATGACAGACATACCTAACATAAATCTTTTGCCTCTTTTTCTCCTCAAATTTACAATCTGCACCTTGAATGTCCATCCACACCCGTATACGAATCCACATCGATTCATCGATTAAACTGCGAATAGGGTCTTGCAACACTCAATGGCTGCCACTTATGAAGATAGGGGTCCAATCCAAAATTTCCGGATCGAAATGTCCATATTTTATATTGTGTATTTTATTGTATTTCCGTTCTTCTTCGTCAACATATTCGTGGCCTTGATTATTATTACGTTTCAAGAGCAAGGCGAAGCTGAGTTACAAGATGGCGAAATTGACAAAAATCAGGTGAGCTAGACCCATCCGTGCTGTTAACCTACGTGAGTCCAAATCTCTACCTTTCTCTGTCTCTCTCTCTCTGCTTATAAATATGTGTGTTTGTGTAATGTACCGCTAGTCGTATATGTAAAACCCGAAAAAAAAACCAAAAAGTTAAAGTTAACTATTAATAAATTGATTAATATGCACGTACATTTCACTAACTCGTAAAAACCCGCTACCAACCTAACAACTACTACCTACAGTATAAACTTTCCAAAAAAAAAAATCAACGAACTTCACACAGTGGGCGCAGCTCACGCAACAAGTACACACTGTACACTAAGCAACATACTCGTACATAGAATGTGTCCAAGATCGTAAATCCTAGCCTAGCTCCATATGTACTCGTATGTGCGAAATGTTTGCCTTGCTTTCTCGCCTTTCGTTGTGGATACCCTCTGTGTCACCCCACTGCCCCATTGCCCCACACCCCACAAACACTCTCCAATATATAAATAAATACATTTATATGTGAGTTTGCGTATAGATCCGCCCTTAGCTACTTGTGTATTTTGGTGGGCATCGAAACGACTTCAGCCCCTAATCAAACGTTGAATCCAAACCAACCAGACCCAGACCATATAGATACATTTGCTTAGAAGCCTCGATAAGTAGTTTTCTTTTTTTTTTTTTGATATAAATAGTGAACATTTACCGGAAAATAGAGATATATCATTTCACTCACGATGGTCCTTAAATATTCCCTACTAGCTTTGGAATATTTAACGATTCGAATCGTAAAGTCAGTTGCCAAAGCTGTTTAAACGCGTTGTCCATCATTCCCCTACCCGCGATCAAAGACTATTGTAAGTATGCATTCTTCAACATCCGCCAGTAGAGGAATACCCACCTGTCGTAAGAAGTGTGTTTTTATTAATTTTTGTTGCAAACTAGCTCCAACTTTAACATTTAATTTTGGAGCTGAGGTTGGAGCACCACCAAGTGTAAAATTAAATAGTTTTTGTCATTCGAGTGCAAACCAAATACAAAAACACTCCCCTTAGAAAAATACCGAGAGTAAACCATAAATTAAAAAAACGGGCATGTGTTAATTGAATGTATTCGCCATTACTTAAGGGGGTAGTAATTTTTATTTTGATTTAAAACTATTTGCATATACCTAATCCTTATTTTGGTTTGATGTGTCGAAACTGGAATACATATTATTACTGCAAGCAACAGTCTAATCAAAAAGTAGTTTAAACCGATGTTTATGATTAATGTGTGTAAATAGAATTATGAACTCATTCGTAATGCCGCAATGGTATTATAACTTAATTAATTTATAAAATAGGCTCGAACACACCTTAGTTATACTTTGGAAAAAATGTATTGTGTTTGAAATTAGCCACGAACGCCAATTCAAAGAGCATCCAAAACCATCTACATCATTGCATTTCTCTTCACTCTAGAAATCCTGCATCGATTTTACTATAGGAGCACGGCCTCTCGAGCGCTATATGCCCAAAAACCGGAACACTTTCAAGTATAAAGTGTGGCGAATTGTGGTGTCAACGCCTTTCGAGTACTTCATTATGATGTTGATCGTGTTCAATACCCTGTTGTTGATGATGAAGGTAAGTTTATTGGTTTTAATTCATTTAGTTATACATATATTTCAATGTAACATAATCAATGAGCCATTGTTAGCTGTCGAATCCTTAACGTTTTTACTGCCTTATTAAAAAATATGTTGCATACTTAAAGGGGTTTGCGTTGCTTTTAATAACATAATCTTTGACTTAAAAATGTTTTCATTTGGAAAAGAGATTTGAAGTCATCTCCGTAACTTACCCTTATTTACATTTTTCTGCAACTATTTTGCCCAAAGTTTTGTTCTTGGATATATGTGTACATACTTTTACTTTAACCATATACAAATTTAAAATCCCAACAGTATCATAATCAAGGAGACATGTATGAAAAGTCGCTTAAGTACATCAACATGGGATTCACTGGAATGTTTAGTGTAGAAACTGTGCTAAAAATAATTGGATTCGGTGTTAAGGTAAGTTCTTCTGTTCACAGCTATTCTTATAGTGCTTAACAAGGATCTTAGAATTTGGTTTGAAAAAATACTTTACGTTAAAAAAATGAACAAACCATAATCGAAAGAAGGTTTAAAATTTTCTGGCATTTATAAATAGTTTTACAATGTAAATACTATTTTTATTTTATTTTTAAATTAAATCCAATATTATTTTTTTTTGTGAATTTTTAATTTTTCAAATTTGTTTATTACTGTCTAGGCTAATGAAATTAAAAAAGAAACGATTCGCCAAAATTACTTAAATTACATTTAGCTTAGTCCTTTATTCGCACACTAAAGTAATATTTAATTAATGGGATCAAAGATAATTACAGCAAGAAAATATAATTCTTTGATTAATAATAGGTCAATTTCCAGTGTATCATTGGACCAAGTTCCAAGTTAACAACATGAAAATGATTTTTGATGGTTAGTTTGAATAATTTGATTTTATTTGATTGCGTTGTAGAATTTCTTCAAGGACCCGTGGAACATATTCGATTTAATCACCGTGCTGGGCAGCATTGTGGATGCACTGTGGATGGAATTCGGGGTAATTATCAGTTGCTTGTCACAACACTACTCTGAGCATACATATTATTGTTGTGTTCGATTTCTGTGCCGTTATGCAAGACAAAAACAATGTAATCCAAAACTATATAACAAATGTATCTAGCTTCATTATTTTGCCAAGATACAAATATACACCAAAACTTCGACACACCTACACATTTACAAAAACACGCAATTAAGAAAGAAGAAAATATGTAATAAGTCTCTATATAATTATCCATGCAGACATGACGCATACGTCCATATGTGTCTGAATTATACTTTTAAGTCTATACTATTTCATAAACAACGATAGGTACATAAACATGGAGGTTGTTTCCCTAAAAATATATAATTAAAAAACATTCAGGAAATCAGTCAAACCGAGGACAAGGAATAAACAAATTAACTAATGCTGCATCCAGTTTATATAATAACAATAAATAATAATATAAATATTAGTCGCGATGCAAGAGACAACAGTTGTAGGACTTAGCACTAAAACACTTGTCTAACGATATATTTAATGAAAAGGAATCTAGCTGAGATGTCAAAAAGTCGTTAGATGCAGACTATTTTTACGAAGAATATCTAACCGTTTAGCCTTAAGATATATATTAATCTAGCGCAACAGTCAGGATTTGGCACTATGCACAGATGGCAAGGACAGTACAGTTACACTCACTGTTTTAACATGTTATTCTTATCCTTTTACATTCGAACACCTATACCTAAATTTACCATAATTTTTATATATGATATTAAAAACACACAAACAGAATAACCAAATCAAACAAAAACGAAACAAAACATCACAAATTACAAAAATTAATAATCATATTTCTTTTTTGATTTCCTTTTCCATATTTATTTATGTACGAAAACCAAAAACCAAATGTGGTTTCAAAATCGGGAAAACCCAATCCGAATCAATCCAAAAATATGTTTCGATGAATGCAAATAAAAAATATAAATTACATAAAATATATAATAATCACTCACGCAATGATATATATCTACACAATAATGACAAAAAACTGAAACCCACGCACACATCTAAACAAATGTGTAATTTCTTATAACTCACGCAAATCTCCACATCTATACACTGGTGTAAAATTATCCTATATATAATGTAATTATATATGCGAACGCAACGATTTATATGTCCCTTGCAATTGGCCACATCGGGAATGTATTGAAACGAATTCAAACAACGTTTAAACAATAAAAACTGCAACACAAACAACAACAACAACAACCATAAACTATACCATCTATGTAATTACAAATACAAAATGCAATGAATGTGCAACAAAACTCTATATTTCTCTCCCGATCACCACCACCACAACCACTGATCCACCGAACCACCGATCCACTGAACCACTGATCCACTACCACAATCACCAATGCCACCATTTCACCACCGAATTTGTATATGAAAAAATATATATAAACTCACTGAACCAATTAAATTCAAATGATTATATGCAAAATGTCAACTTGATACCGACCAAAAACCAAAACCAAATCGAATCAATCAAATCAAATCAATCGAAAATGGAATCCCCAACCGAATCAATCAACAAATCGACCAAATCAAATTAATCAATCAATCGATCAACAATTTCGATGAAATTAATCTATCATCTCAACAATCCCATGCATGTGTATGTGTATGTCCTGCTACTGTGTCTGTAATTCAACCGCGTGCACGCACATATACACATGCATTCGCATCCATACACGTGCACACACATATGTGGCACGTGCCCGTGTATGTGTGGACGTGGCCTCTCATCTACAACTACATCGAATTACAACATGAACAACCAAACGACACAACCTGCAGCACGATGTAAGTACGAAACACAATCTACACTGATTTTGCATTTATCCAAAAACGTTTCGATGTGTACCAATCAATGAACTTAGATTCCGCTTAAACTGCTAAGTAAATGGCCTTCCACTAAAAAAGCTTATTAATTACGATCCTTTATCTTTATCTTTCCTCTTTCCTTTTGTTCGCCTAAAACAGACCTAGTTTCGTTTTATTATCGACAGCAAAACTTCATATTTGCAAAAATATATCTATAATTATACTTAACTCACTACGAATAGCTATTTCTTCGTTCGACAATGTATACTTATTTATCTTAGTTAATCCATCTTCCTTAAATTTCGTACTTTCATTTCTGTTTTCGATTTGGCAATCAGTTTTCTGTTGCATAGCACACTACATTGCGATTTGTACTTGCTACTGTGTCTCTCTGTCTGTCTCTGTATCTACATATCTATATTTAGTTACCTCTTACTGTCTTTCTGTGTCTCTTGTATAATGTTGCGTGTAAAAGCTTACAGTGAAGCATAAGCTAATAGTGGAATGTACAGCAAGGGGTGGGCGGAAATATGTGTATATACTATATATTACATGAATATTTAACAGGAGATAATCAGCCCAATTTGAACTCTTTCCGAGTTAAGTTCGTCCAACAACACCGTAAAGTTTACAAATTTATTGTTAGCTTTCAGTAGATATCAAATTAATATTGTTAGCGAAAGAAAGCAATCTTTTTTTTGTCTAAACATTTTTAATCTTAAAGCGGCTAACGTTACTTGTAATATTTTGAAGATCCTATTGTTGCTCATAAACATATATATTCATTGAGGGTCACCTTGACTCAATCGAGTTATTATTAAATTGACAAATATAAACATCGAAACAATTTTAGCCAATATTAAATATATTCATAGTTGTAAATATACATGCATATATGTATAAATAAGTATGCAATCCAGAAAATAAGGATTCTGTATAAACTTCCTTGCAAATTGTCCAATTTGGGCCCAAAACTTTTTCTAGTTTGCCACAGATGTTCGCGATTTATGAGGTTCGCATGGCCAAAGTCAAGTTCTTGCCGATAAAGAGGTATAAATGCGTTTTATGTTGATCGAACTTCTAATAAAAATATTAAATATTATAGTGGTCAAAAAAACCTTTCCGTTATCAGACATTTTTTCTAAAATCAACACAGCCTTTCATACAAATAAAATGTTATGCGCAACTATAGGATTGGATACAAAGCCGTAATCAAAATTTTACCACAAATGTTAAGCTGATACATAATTGAGTTTGCTTATATAAAAACGAACAAAAATATAGTTCAGATTACATTCCTACTGAATGTGATTTCATCAATGTCAAGTTAAATATAATTTAGTACGTAACTTCTAACACCTATGTATACCAGATAGGGAATTTATGCTGAACTGATCGTGTCATACTTAAAGTTTCTCTAGAGTGCGTTGTTATAATGCAACTACTGTTTGAGTCTTGATCCACTTCCTTCCGTTTGGTTTACATTGCACATGGAGTCCTTGTTTTAACCGATCTTGCAATTTCACGACAAATGCCACACCAAACACACAGAAACTCGTCGCGGTTAATGCTCACTCATAATGTCATGCACACACGCAAAATACGCAAACCCCTACTGTAAACATAAGGTAAAAGCCACACACTCATACGCACCTTGAGAGTATCCGATATTGAATAATGCTTCGATAAATATCCGATATATAAACGAATACCAGAGCAAGATCAAAATCATTGACATCATTATCACATCGACCTTGCGCATCGGACGAAGTGTTTTATGAGCTGCCCAACAGTCTATCAGTAACTGTAAGTAGTCGCACCCGGCGAGGTCTGCGAATAATTGCATTGAGGCCAACTAATGACACCAAGCGAGGTACTTAAACAAGGCTCAGACTGGATAATCTTTTTATATACGTCTATCGAGTTCTGTTGATCTTAAACCATTCGTAAACTTGATACTTCAAAAGCATGATTTCAGTACTGTCTGGTCTTTTTATTGAGAACCCCCAGCCCATTTTCCATTCTACATTCTACATTCTCCATTCTCCGCTCTCCGCCTGCTCCTGCTAGTTTTCTCTATGGGTAATGTTTTCGCAGGTTGAGCAGTAGTTTCTCTATCATAAGTCCCAGGATGGCTTTCAAGATTTGCTTTCTCCCGCCGCAAATGCCCGAAACATAATTGCTCCACTTTCTATTAACACCGTCACGTTCAGTTTTGCTATGCTCACATCTTTCACATCTTTCTCATGACTGCAACTTAGAATGGCTCAACTTATTAGTTGGGCTTGGATTAGCTTTCCTTACATCTCCTGCATGACACACTCACACTCACACTCGCACTTCCAGATACATAAAGCTCCATACACTCAATCACTAAAACTTGCGATTTTGATAGTTCAATTCACTCGGAGTGTGTTTGATAAGTTTGCTTCCGCTTATTAACTACCGCAACCACAATGCTTTAAAGTTTAAACCGCCTATGAAGTTTTAATGCTGGAGTATGGTTAGAGTTGCTTGCCTTGGTTGTTTCACCTCAGATCCCGAGAGTCCATATGGTGTGTCTGGGTAAGAGAGGTAAGAGGGTGTCTCGGTCTCAGTCTCGGTCTCCTTCTCAGTTTCAGTTAACGCTTAAATGAAATACAGCTGTTTTATCCATTTGTGAGGTGACTTTCGGTTTTCCTATTTTATTTCCTCAATCCACGCCCTTTTGAGTTCTGTTAAATACATTTTTAAATTGAGTGATCGAATTTAAAAGCCCTCGTTGGAGGGTTATAAACATGCTTAGCATAGCCAAGCCATTCTGCGAGAATAGAAGTAACGACTTAGACCCTTGCTGAGCTGTAATTGTCCTAAGCAATTGAATTAGAAATCAATACATACACTATTACAATGACATCTATACACACACAGAGATATGCATAGACAACATAGAAAACTCTGCTTACTGATATTGATCTTGATCTATCTTTGTATACCTGCTAGAAACTGCAGAAAACTTGTCCTACTAATTTTCAACTCTACTTTATTTGTTTCTGTATTTTCCAAAAAAAAAAATCACAAAAACTGTGTAAAAACCATAACGAAAATCAACAAAAATCTTTTGAACGCCGCCCAACGAATTTCGTTTGACCTGTGATCGATCGTCAAACGTCTGAGTAAAATAAAACTGCATTGAAAAACCAAAACCAATCCAATTGAATACAAAAACCAATCATAAAAATTTCTTTGTTGTTATTCGTCTTGTAAATTGCAACGATCTGAACTATATCCGAATATCTGATTGCAATCGAATACAAACTGCTCAATGATAAATTCAACAACACCAACCACTACTACTACAACTAACTACAACAACTACATCAATGATTGAACAATAACCTGAGTCGTCCAAAAAAAATTAATCGTTTCTTATGCGGTATATGAGTTGTGTGCACATTGATTTGTCTCAAAACAAATCCGAAAATTTCAATTAAAAATGGTTTCTGACTAACAGGATGTAAGTAAACAAATCTATCCTAACAAGCTTTCTACTTTCAAAACTAATACAACTCCAACATCAACGATGACAACAAAAACAATACAACACTACAACTTACAAAATTCTTTGACTAATTAGCCAATTTAGCTAAACTTTAACTACTACCAGAATGTTTACCACGAATTGTAATTTCAATTTTGAATTCTTTATATACGAGTAGATCACATCGTCGAATCATCTGTAGATTCAACTTCCTTTTATTTGTTCGCCCACTCTCTACATATTTACTCTTAGCTAGTTAACCAAATATCAGAGAGCTTAGACAGGGTTGGGCCTGATCTTTGTGACTATATACATGTGTGTATTTTCCCGCATCCTTTATTTTCGATTTTGGGTTAGAATAGTCCAATTAAGTTACTTTTAAGTGCGTCGTCCCAAGTTCCCCAAGACTCACATCTTCGCGTGGAACAACAGCGTGGAATTGTTCTTCATTGTACTCCTCTCTATCTACCCGCATACCCCTCAGAGCCATTGCATAGCCAAGCGCAGAATCCCAGGTAGATATAGCCTTTCTGCTTAGCTCATGCCATATATCCCGTGTATATATCTCTCGACCAATTGGTAGTTACCAAGTTGGTGACGACAGTGTACGCGAGTTTCTTTTAACATATTTATACCCTTGCAGAGGGTATTATAATTTTGGTCAAAAGTGTGCAACGCAGTGAAGGAGACATCTCCGACCCTATAAAGTATATATATTCTTGATCAGGATCACCTCCTGAGTTGATATAGCCATGTCCGTCTGTCCGTCTGTCCGTCTGTCCGTCTGTCCGTCTGTCCGTCTGTCCGTCTGTCCGTCTGTCCGTCTGTCTGTTTCTACGCAAACTAGTCTCTCAGTTTTAAAGCTATCGGATTGAAACTTTGCACACACCCTTCTTTCCTTTGCACGCAGTATATAAGTCGGAACGGCCGGGATCGGCCGACTATATCCTATAGCTGCCATATAACTGATTGATCGGAAATGCCATAACTTCCGTGTTTGTAAAGTTAGGAAGTTGGGATTTTCTATGGGTTTTATATTTGGCCAATCAATCCGACCTACCAAATTTCATAAGGATCGGCCGACTATATCCTATAGCTGCCATATAACTGATTGATCGGAAATGCCATAACTTTGGTGTTTGTAAAGTTAGAAAGTTGGGATTTTCTATGGGTTTTATATTTGGCCAATCAATCCGACCTACCAAATTTCATAAGGATCGGCCGACTATATCCTATAGCTGCCATATAACTGATTGATCGGAAATGCCATAACTTTGGTGTTTGTAAAGTTAGAAAGTTGGGATTTTCTATGGGTTTTATATTTGGCCAATCAATCCGACCCACCAAATTTCATAAGGATCGGCCGACTATATCCTATAGCTGCCATATAACTGATTGATCGGAAATGCCATAACTTTGGTGTTTGTTAAGTTAGGAAGTTGGGATTTTCTATGGATTTTATTTTTGGCCAATCAATCCGACCTACCAAATTTCATAAGGATCGGCCGACTATATCCTATAGCTGCCATATAACTGATTGATCGGAAATGCCATAACTTTGGTGTTGTTAAAGTTAGGAAGTTCGGATTTTTTATGAGTATTAAGAATGCATCATATGAATAATTTTGGAGAATATAATTTACAGAGTATTCTGCAAGGGTATATCAACTTCGGCTCCGCCCGAAGTTAGCTTTCCTTTCTTGTTTTATTTACATATCCTACACCAATGTTGTGCAACAGGCAACGGCAGTCTTGTGTCACATCCTGCTATTTTGACATCTAATCCCTCATCCGTTCTAGACTCCGTAGTCAAATACTATTTGTCTCTATACACTTTCTAGCTTTAAGTATGTGCAAACTCATTAAATACTTAGACTAAAAAAAATAAACATCCGAACGGGATAAACAAAGGGTAATCCCGAAATGGCCTTAAAATTGGTCCGAAAGAGATTGCCTGATCTTAACAAGATTCTGTCAACTTCATTCAATCCTTTTCGAATGAAATTAAGCGCTTTTCCAGGACCACCCAATGTTCCATTCTGTTTCGGGGTAGAATGATTTATTGTTTGTTTCAGTGTACATATGCAATATTAATAACCACCAATAGTATATAATTCCATGTTCTACAGTGTCAAATCGGCTACACGAAGGTCCGACTTTCCTTTGTGACCTATCAATGCAGATCCCACGGTGAGGCGGTATGCGTCCTTAAATCAGCGGTTGACGTGTCTGGCTATTCATTATCCGACACCCAACACCCAACACCCGCCTGCGCGGATGCATACGGGGTACCATGATCCGAAATGGAACCCTGAGATGCGTCCGCCCATGCGAGGGTCTCAACAGCTGATGCGTAAAATATTTTGGCCAAAGCCCCAGTCGAAACGGTTATAACGATTCGACTACGTTTACATTATTTGTTAAAACTCAAAACCCAACGTGTATAAGCAACTAGTACCGCAACGTTCACTTTCTGCACTTGGAGTAATTGCCAAGGCAACTTAATTGTACATACTTACCTAACTGTTGTACTGTCTAATTGGTTTTCGGCAGCTTAGGCCCTTTACAAATTATATACGTAGAACACGCCTCGCATGTTCCACTTTTACCTTGGGACGATTAGTTTAGACGAAAAAACCCACGCACAAACATCGCTTTTCAAAATTTATTCCTTAGACGATCTAACAAATATGTGTGTTTTTCTACTCCGTACAGTTTTGTTATTAGTATTTGGCGGATGCCCACGCACAAATCACTATGTTTTGGGTGATAATCCAAAAACACAAAACACTGAAACAGATACACATAAACACACAAACGCTAACAGGCAGTGATGCGCACAAAATACCACTTGAATAGTTTTTTTATTACCTTTTTGACAAAAACATGATTCAAAAATATGTATATTACAATTATTGTAAAAATGGTTGCAAAGCCGAGTTTTTGTTTAGCATTTGGCCTCACTCTTGTGTACACTATTTACTACTATACTATGAGTAAAATTCCAATTCGATCGTCTTTACTTTTATTTTTTGTGATAGAGCGAATTAACTTACATAGCTTAATTGATTTATACAAATTGTTATTTACAACTAACCAATGAACCTACCGCCACTTCTATGTATGTAACTCTCTACCTATTACTAACTACTTACTACCTACTACTTACTACAACTGCGCCTAACCACATATTACTGCACTTCACCTAATACTACTCTTACTAACTACTAACGGAACGAGCTACTTACTAATCGATAGTTTAGATTGAAATGCATCGAATCACGTAGATCGATGGGGACGCCTTCTAGTTCCTTGAGCCGAGCTCATGGAATTCGTATGTTAAGACGGGAACGTTAACCAGTCTAATGCCAATTTCCTTATCTGTTCTGTTTTCTCTCTCTCTTTTTGTTTCTTCGACTCTCTTCCTTTGGCCAATAATATTTTACAGTCGAACTCAATCAACGTCGGCTTCCTGCGTTTGTTTCGTGCGGCGCGCCTTATCAAATTACTTCGTCAAGGATACACAATACGAATTCTCCTCTGGACATTTGTACAATCATTTAAAGCACTTCCTTATGTCTGTTTGCTTATAGCAATGCTATTTTTTATATACGCCATTATCGGCATGCAGGTAAGTCCCGGATTAAAAACAAAAAAAAAAAAAATTAAATGAAATGTGAATTTTTATGCTAGGGTAAACAGTTTGTCGAAGATATTTAGTTAGCTTGTGTGGGCTGGTTGTAAGCTTGCAGGCTCCACTCACTTCATGCTGCGAAGAGATCCGCTAAATACTTTTTGGGGTTGAACGAACATTCCTTGTTGCCGATGATCAGTTCTGGTGGTCTTTTTAACATTTAGAATAAGAAATTAGTATTTTTAGTTTGGTTTTGCATTAGTTATGTTTGAAACTTATAAAATAGTTCACTAGAATAGACAACATAAGAAGTTGGTTTTTTGAAAAAAAAAAAAAAAAACATGATTGCTGGACCAATTTAATGCCTCTTCAATTCAATTATAATGTTTACATCAAAACAAAAGGTTTTCGGCAACATAAAGTATGATCCGGACACGCAACTCAACCGCCACAATAACTTCCAGTCGTTCTCCGGTGGAATCATGCTGCTCTTTCGGTAAACGAGAAAAGTAACCTAGTTAGCAATAGTAATTTAATAGCGATTACCCAAAGATGGCACAACAGTCACTTATACTAAACATTAAACGTAGTCATATCTCGAGTCATAATTCGAAATTATCCTGCGAGTGCGCTTATACGAGGTCCTTTATCGTATAAACCCACTCCACAGTCTTCGATGGTGGATTCGGTCGGTGTAATTATACTAGAGGGAATCCGCTGTGGTCAACTTCCCATAACCAAAGATTAATTTCGATCATCAATCCATTGTCTGTTTAAACTTCAAACTTTAAAACCTATGCATATTCGCAATCAATCAATCAATAAAACAGTGTATGCGTTTAAAAGTTGTTTGATCCGTATTGTTTGGATTGAGATTTTAAATCGAGCTACATGTTCGTATGCCATTAGTAGCTTTGATTTGTAATCGTTCCATTATTCTGGACTCGTATTCAACACTTATCGAATGTGAATGTAGCTTTTCCATAGCACATTATGTTTTAATGTTGTACATAGATGCGCTAGTTAATCAAGTTAATTTCCCTTAATGTTTATGTTTTTGTGAAGATACCAGCCGTGTATTTCCTAGACTTCAGATTATACTGCTTCTCGAAACGAATCAATAGAACGTCAAATAGTAATCCAGTAAGCAGATGATATTACCGATCTATTACTACTTATCTTATTATCTAATTATATGTTTGTATAAAGGTCAGATTTATTCGGCAATGCTTCATTTTCTAATTTGATACTTAATCTCACATTTTGTATTGAACGAACGAGCTATTAACCATATTTGAAACGGGCTTTTTTTTATTTTTACTAAAGTGGAAAACCACATTAGCAGTTTTAAGCAAATACTATTTTATTAACTGAAAGTAAGTAAAAAACTTTGAAGTTGTAACAAAAATTATCAGGTCATTTTAACAGTGTTTTTTTATAAAAATAAAATAAACTAAGTGAAATCGAACAAACTTACAACCATATTTTGCTTTAGGTCCCAAATTTCTCATTAATCAATCAAATACAAATTTCAAAACGAAATTATTTAAACAGAAATTACTTCTTTTGTGGTTTTCCCTCAATAGCCTTGTGGCTTTTTTGTATGCAGTCGTACTTTAATTTCATATTATTTTTATATAAATGTTTTTTTGTTGGCTTGTCTTGTTATTTGTAAGTCCAGTAACCAAATTATTACTTAAAACTTGATTATAATTGTTTGATTCGAGAGCTATTGAGTAAGAGATTTAAGTGTTCCAATGTTGACTGTCATAGAGTTTTAGCTGTGCAATTCTCAAACTATCAACCCACACCTACACATCTACATCGACTTTGCGAATCGGGGGAAGTCGCCACACATTATATACGCATAGTGTATGCAACAATGAGGATTTCTGGTCCTCTTGGTCCACTCTCACACATGGATTTGCCGTTTTTAGGAGGAAGAAGCGGTATCGAGGGTTTTTCGTTGGTAGTAGAGACAGCATTGTGGAGAATAATGAAATGGAGGCGAATCTGTGTAATGTGTATATCAAATATAACTTAACCATTTCAGTTTCTAAATACAAATGAACAAATAATCAATGCATTCTTTACCGATATTTGAATCGTGAATAGGTGTTCGGGAATATCAAACTAGGTACGGTGGAAAATTCCATTACTAGACACAACAACTTCCAATCATTTATTCAAGGCGTCATGTTGCTATTCAGGTACGTAACTCCTAGATTTCTCCAGTCATTTGCAATATGTACTGTTATTACCCAACTAAAAGTTTCGACTCTCAGTAATTAAGTTAATAGTTATACATATAATACAAGTTAGCATAATTTAACTATACCACTATCCATATGCTCGCATCGATAGAATTTCGTTCAAGTCGCGATTTTATATTTTATAATTAATTGTAAAAACAATAGCCTAGCGATAGGGTCTTCAAAGGGGTGGATAGCACCTTGAAAGTGATAACCCTAGCAACGACAATATATTATGTCAGTTAGATTCTTAGAATTTAGAAGCCTTAAGGCGTTTTCAAAGAAACTCCAATTTTAGCTCATTCTTAGTTTCTTCTAAAACGTATAAAAAAATAATCTCAAGTTGTCACCACCATTGATGCCAAAAACATAATCTAGATCTTAGACTGACTTTCCTAGCACTTTTTTATATAATCTATGTTGGTTTCTAGTATGATAAAATATAACTTTCTTCGAGGTTTCCCAAGCTGATCATGGATCAAAAATGTCGAATCGATTGGATTTGAGACAACCATAAACGGTGGTAAATCCATAACTACAACTTAAAACAATCAATATAAAACAACTCAGATCTCCAACCAATTTCATTACATACATTCGTTTTGCGTACCAATAATTAAAGTTTTTTTGTACCTGTGTAAGTAGATTGAGTTCTAGAGTTGCGACACTGATTCAACAAAACTGGAATATACGTATACATAAATGTAATATCTATGTATTTACAAACCTGTAGAGCTATATTTAAAAATTACTACATTTGAGCGCAGCTTGATTTTTCGAAGTTTGCACTTTTCGTTGTTGCAGTTAATCAGTTGGGATTTAAATGAAAAGTTTAATAGTTTTATAGTATTGCTGGAAATTTATTTTATAGCTATATATACATACATACATATATATATATATATATAGTTGTCATATACTTGTACGACGCAAAACGGTTTACCCCTCCCTATTTATATTTCTTTATATCTACATATATATTATATAATGATAGTAAAGTTAATAGAACTCTCGGTTGACGTATGTCTGTAAAAACAATCATATCATTATTTTTCGTTATCTAGCTACTCGCCCTACTTTAATATAGTACACAACTACACTATGAATCTAGGTATGACAAGTCTGAATTGGTATAGATATTTGTCTGTCTTCCGCTAGCTACCAACCATAGGTATTTTTAAATCGTAACTTAGTCTGTATGTAAATCCATCTACATAGTGTGTTGAGAGAGAATATAACCATAGCAATTCTTATAAAATAACAAGAGTCAAAATGTACTAAATTTTTTAATTTAACATTTTTCTGTTTCTAAAATTTGCTTATAATAACGAATATAGCCTATTAATAAAGTATTATTAGAATAATAGTAATAGTTTAATGGTAATCATATTAATTTAAAATGAATGTGTAATCAATACATTTCAGGGACCAATAATAGAAAATAATAATAGCTTACATGCTTAATATATTTAATAAATTAACTTGTCAATATTCCTCTGCCAATTTATTTGAAAAAAAATAATATATACGCTGTCGTCCGATTTAAATAAAATTCAAAACGACCATATTTCGATTTATATGCTGTTTTATTACAAAACAGAAGTAAATCAATTTGACCAGATTGTTCTTATCGCAACTATACGATGTACTAAGTCTTCCGAACCAGTACCTCACTCTTTCAACATGAAATAGAAAGGAGACGATTATAAAAGATTTATCCAGATAATTTCAATAATATTTTAGTAGAATTCGTGTCAGTTTTTAGATCAGTAAGGTCCCTGATATATTTCCATACGAAAAAGATGTTGAGATAAAGAATGCTTTTGCCTATTTTATAACCTGGAAGTATAATGTAGATTTAAAAGACACAAACCCAATCTACCTCAAACTAAAGAACGCTAAAAAAGGAACGAAGATCATATTTTTATAATATAGTCATTATACATAGAGTAAGCTATACAACATACCTTTAACATCATTCAGTCCCCTGTATGTATATACACTCGTCATCTACTTATCTGTAAATACATAGAACTTGGTCAGTAGTAACGAACCGACACACTCATAAAGCGCATTCTCATACCAATTAATCATATTTAGATCTACCTTAACCAGATATTAACCATATTTAGACGGAGCCAGGCCCAATTAGCGTATTAATTATCTGTGTCATTCTGTCTAACCCGTGGACCGCTCTTGCCACATCCCACCATTACCGCGGATCTGCAGGTGTGCGACGGGCGAGGCCTGGCCAAACATAATGCTGGCCTGCCTCAAGGGCAAGGCCTGCGACGAGGACGCCGAGAAGGCACCTGGGGAGTACTGCGGATCCACGCTGGCCTACGCCTACTTCGTATCATTTATATTCTTCTGCTCCTTCCTGATGTTGAATCTGTTCGTCGCCGTCATCATGGATAATTTTGATTATCTCACGAGGGACTCCAGCATATTGGGTGCTCATCACTTAGACGAATTTGTGCGCATATGGGCGGAATATGATCCAAATGCGACGTAATTATCTGTTTAATATACACCACATTACACATATCCCCTTCAAAATCGTTTCGGTTATGTTTTTAGTTTCAATTTCAGTTTCATTTTCTTCCTTTTCTGTCATTCGAGAAATGAGCCGCGTGGGCGGCTTCTATATTATATTAAACGATTATTATTTGGTCGTATTTGACTCATACTCGTTGGTTGACACCGGTCCCGAGCGGCTTTGTGCACAAGTTTAGCTTAAGTCCTTTTACTTCAAAAGGATTGGGGAAATGCAAGGTCGAGTACTATATTTTATTTTTTGTTTGTTTTTCCATGCATGAGACGACAAGCCAGTGATTTATCGACCTAAGGTTTGTCCGAGATCAACTCAGTCTGGCCAAGGTTTTGGACTCATGCACGTCTTCGTCTGGGCCGAATATTTATTTCTAACACTATGAATATTTTAATAAACAAACAAACAAACAAACAAACCCGGCATTCGTAAGTGACTGCCGGGTATCGCATAGTCTGGCTCTTCGACTATATTATTTTTACTAGCTGCGGACTAAGTTTCGAAAGCTAAAGCACAAAAACATCCTACTAACTTTTGTTGTGTTCCCGGAAAAACTAGTGGAAAAATACACTACACGGAAATGTACGACATGCTGAAAAATATGGATCCTCCGTTGGGATTTGGAAACAAATGTCCCAACCGATTGGCCTACAAAAAACTAATACGAATGAACATGCCCTTAGACGACGAATTGAGAGTTCAGTTCACAACAACGTTATTCGCGTTGATTCGGGAGAATCTCAGCATCAAAATGCGAGCGCGTACGTATCACATTCACAGAGTTTTCATTAAAAAAATGTATGTTTATGTAGTATTATCCCATTTCTTTTTAAAATGTTTTGATAACGAGTAATTTCGGTAAAAAGCGTAAACTGGAAGAATGGTTTTCTCCTTTCCATAGCGTTACTCTTTCCTTTCTTTTGTTGGAAAGATGAAGCAAATGATGATTGATAAAAACGAGATTTGAGACTTTTGTTTTGTGACTTAGGCTTTGGTTAAGTCGTTGTAATGGTAACAGGTCTGTTGAATATATTCTGATCTAACTTCTTATCTCCCGTGCTCAGCTGAGGAGATGGACCAGGCGGACATGGAGCTGAGGGAGACCATCACGAACATCTGGCCCCTGCAGGCGAAGAAGATGCTGAACCTGCTGGTGCCGCCCAGCGATCAGCTCAACAAGGGCAAGCTCTCAGTGGGTAAAATCTATGCAGGTTTCCTCATCCTGGAGTCCTGGCGCAGCACGCGGTTCGGCCAGCTCGATTCGGGAATGCCGGTAAGCCACTCAAGAACACCACCCAGCCCCTAACACAAAACTACCGCACCACTCCAGTTGCGTAGAGTCGAAGATGAGTCGATTTACCATGGTCAATCCACTTGGACAGACATGCCTTTTAGTTTCTATGTTACCCATCCGAGGTGCGACCTGTCAGGATACTTTAGGGATATCTAATTAACAGTCATAGGCAGATATTTTTGGAGAAAATCCCTTAATTCTTACGTGGAGTCACCTTCCCTAATGTCAAGATAAGTCGAAGTGTACATTTAGACAATGTACTGTCAGAATTAGAGATTTATTAAAAAAAAAAACACCAATTATCTATGAGTTTTGTAAAAGTTAAAATCACCACAAGCTTTTGATGCACCTAAAAAAAACGCACTAAATGACTAAGCTCTTTTCGAAAATGTTTCAAAATGTAAAAGTTACTTAATTTTACACACTTAAAATTGTATATACAAATTTCAATGACAAAAACCAATTTATATTTATATTATTATACATTAATGATTAAAGCCTGTAATTGGGAAAACTACATACTTTAAGCTTTTCATGAAGACGGAAAACCGGCCTTAGTTTCAGAAAGAATTTAGACATTTAGGGCGACTTTTGTTTTTCGGTGTAAAAAAAAAAGACGCTCAGTTTTAATCCCTTTTCTTCTCTACCACAAACAATATACTTTAAAATAAACAACTTAAAAATAACTACGAATATTCTATTACATCTATATAACATGTGATATTATGATTTTTCTTCTTATACGATTGAATATGAACTCTCTCATTGAATAACAACAAATAAAATAAAAAAAAAAAACTGTAATCAAATTAATCGAGATAATGAAAATATGCAGAACTGGAAGGAGGTATATAATTAATTTTATATGCAACCTCATGTTTATCACATTTGTACATACAATACCCTATATATTGCGCACATACATGCCCGTTTGTATGTGCTACAACTAACCAAACCTTAGCAGTACACACTCGCATTTATATAACCACATAGTGGCGTACATATATGTACTATAACGTATGTGTACAAGCAGCTGCCCATAATTGGCCTAAGGCCCTAATCAAATCCGATTCCGGTCCTTGCGAAAACCATCACACTCTAAATTTGAAATTGTTATGGGCAGTCATGTGGGATCAGGGGCGGATCCAGAGGCGATTTTACGGGGGGAAGACTTAAATAAATAAATTTAATGATTTTATGTTAATATCCGTGATCATTAAGAACATTTTTTTTTTTCTTGGAGGAGGAGTTACCTGCCTTCCCCATACCCTTGGATCTGCCACTGTGTGGGATGCATAATTTTCTCGAGCGAAATCGAATAAAATGTATCTAAATCGGGAGCGGAAAATGTTGCAACCCAATAGGGACGACGGTTATCGTTAACTCGTGTAATGAGCAATGAAAATACCGTTCAGTAGAAGTCGAGTTTTTAAGTAATTACTTACTATATTCGTAAATATCGGTAGAGTTGACCAGTTCGTATTTTGATTCTCAAGTTGCGATTGTATGTTCGTTATAACTTATAAGTAGATACGACCAAACCAGAGTTAACACGTTATACAAATCTGTATTTATTGATTCTTAGATATTTATAGAGGTTTGTAATTTGTTTTACACAACGTCAACACTAAAATCTGGAATCATTCAAACAGCCACTCATATTTGGCACAATTAATTACTAAAGGGATGTTTAAAAAGTCAAGGGAGATCCTCACACCTTCACCCAATCTCCTCACACTTAGGGCCGGTTTTTTGATGTGCAGTTAACACTTTTTGAATCTAGCAATGACGATCATTTTATTAAATTAAAATTCCACTTTAACTTTAACTGAACATTAAAAAAGTGGCCCTATGTGGTATAAATACACACGTACTGAAGTTATTAATTTAATGTTTTATCTGTTATCTTGTTTTTGTGCACAACACACAAACGGTCAAATGACAACTCAAAATTGAAAATTAAAAATCTATAATTAAATTAATTCAATTTTAATAAACGTTAATAATAATTGGACGATGTAATATAAATTACATCATTGATCAATGATAGCGGAAGAAGCCGGAAGACGATGATGAGCATAAATATAGCCCAACGGCAGTCGAAGAGCCGGTATATAATATATTTACATATATATACCTATCTATATTTCGCTTGGTTTTGCTTTCGCCTATTAAAGCTCCTCCTCTTCCACCTGTTTTGCGTCTTCTACTTTTGTACAACTTTTCACCATTCTCGGCTAGAGGCATGTTTACGTACTCGCCTAAGAGTATTAATATCTAGGAAACCAGCATAAGCCTACCCATCCATAACAAAGTGCAACCAAAATCCAGTACAAACACACCCAATCCTATATTTATCCGTCTGTAGATGAGCACCCAACTGCAATGCCATGGTCATGTTTCGCTTAACACACTAGGCAACCAAACTTTTGTTTTAATAGCAGCCTGTGCACCTTCCACAAATTAAGGGTTCCCTATTTTGTGTACGACGTTTTGAACGTGTCAACTCTCTATTTTTAGAAAAATTTTCAAAGATCTAATGATGAATGTACTGTACTGTACTCTTAATATGAATCAATTTTTAAGCATTAGTCGAGCGCTATTTCGGAGTAATCAATAAATCTTTTATGGGTGTATACAAACTCTAAAAACGTTTAATTTCCATGAGCCGTAAGTAATGATTGTTTCTAATTTTTGTAATACAAAAATCAAGAAGAACTGTATTGTCCAAGATAACCAGTTTACCTAATACGTCTATAGTTAATTCAATGCAAATTTCAATGATGTACTGAAAACACGAATTTTTCGCAATAGGAAGGAAACCATTTGTTATTTTTATGATGGACCCAGCACAATTTCGAGGAAGTCAAACATAACCGTTCAGCAGAAGAACATAGTATTAAAAGAATAAGCATTCTGTAATATTATTTATTATTATAGGTAAATAGTAAAAATTTGGGTATGTGTTGTAATATATTAGATACCTTTACTCGAACTAAGTCTGCAGTCTGTCTTAAAACTTAGTTTGATTGGTCTGCAGAATCGCCTTGAAGAAGGAGGCTGGTTCTGCCCAAAAACTTAGCAGTATGAAATAAATTATATTTTTCGAGTAAAAATTCCTTTATTTCCTTCCTAAACTATCTCAATTCGCACGCGCTAGCTGCCAACAAAAACATATATTTTGTAGCATACTTTTTAATACCACTTCAGGTTTTAAGCACTTTTGATATATTCAAGAATGCACTTCCGGAAAAATGAATCAATTGGACCCATGACGCACAAAAATTACCTTAAAAATGTATTTTTATACTTTTACGATTTTTGAGTACATCGTTTCATACGAACGGTTGGGGAGCATTTTGGGCGTAAACTAGTGTATCTGACCATGGCTATAGCAGTGAATTGCAGAATTCCCTATTTACACTATGCTAACTATAACAAGAAAGAAAACCAACTTCGGCAAGCCGAAGTTTATATTCCCTTGCAGTTGTTACAAAACCACTACATTTCGATTTCTATGCCTATATTCCTAAAAACAATAAAGCTATGTCGATTTTGCGCTGCATTTTTGCTGCGATTGTTCCTATGGGAGCTATATGATATAGTCGCCTCGTTCCGACTTATATACTACCTGCAATAGAAAGACAACTTTTTGGAAAGTCTCAAGTAGATAGCTTTAAAACTGAGGGACTAGTTTGCGTAGAAACGGACGGTCGGACAGACGGACATGGCTTGATCGACTCTCCTGGTGATGCTGATCAAGAATATATACAATTTATAGGGTTGGAAATGTCTCCTTTACTGCGTTGCAAACTTTTGACTGAAATTATAATACCCTCTGCAAGGGTATAAAAATAAAGTCCAACCGCGAGTTCTTCAGGACTAGCTAGAACTTAGTTTTACATTCGTATAATAACACCCCTATCAGCATACCTGAAGCTTTATGTCAATAGCTCAGAAAATCCTGGATCTCGCTTTTAAACCTCATTAAATTCTATGCAGAAATTATTTTTGTCATGCATTATTTACAGGAAAATATTCCCTTGAATAGCTTAAACGGCTAGTACTTTCATATACAATGTTACTATAGGCAGACTTCTAGATTACTCTAGTTAAAACTTTATTTAACCCAAAACGATATTTTTGAGAATATCAATTTGGTTACTTAATGCAAAATCTAAATCAAAATAGTATTTATTAATCCCACGGCATATAAATAATATAATTTTGGGCAATGAAACAACTTCTTCACTATGTATTAGACCACCTTTTTATACGGCTTTTTGCCTCAAATGGAAAAAGCTTCCACAATAACCTGGACAGCTTTTTTAATTCGTTTGTTGCAGCCCCACTTCGAAATTCTGAGACCGAGTGGAAATAGATACGTAAATCTCTTTGACATTAGTCACTCATCGACAAGTTACTAGGCATAAACGCAAAAAGGGCCTATTTTCCTTTAATAACCAAGTGGGAACTAATCATCACGTAACTTTAGTGATAAAAACTAAAAGACTTGAAAGAACATTTTTAACAAATAACTGCCCAATATTATTGTATAACTTATTAAAGTATTTACATTTTTTTCTAAACATTTTGGCAACTCAAAATAAGGTGTCTGTTTAAAAGTTTAAGTTGAATACAACCCCACCTGAATCTGTTAATGGATATACAAGAAAATAACTTGAAAAAAGTCAATCGAAAGGTGTTCGAATCGTTATTTAATCCAATTACGACTACTCAAACCAATTCGATTGCAAAGTAATTTTACACACACTTTTTGGGTTTTAAAAAAGGGCTCGACGAAAAATATTTGTAAACTTCGGAATGATAAAGCCCTTCATATTGTATTTTAGTTTATTACACACATTACTGGACTCTTTTTTGAATAGCGCACTGTTTCTTAATTATGGATTGGACTTTTGCACTCAACCACAGAATGGCAAAGATATAGTCTCGAGTTAAATATATATATACTTAACCTTTTGTACAAATACCCTAGATTGATAAATGCGTAAATATCATGAAATTTAAAAAAATACAACAAACAATGAATAGATTCTATAAATTCATTATTTTTATGAGATATCAGGCAAATGTCCTATATTTAGTATTTTCGTTTTCTCGTCGAATCGCTATTGAATTTCTTGTAATCTTTACTGCTGAATAGGCATGCTTAAGGTAACCAAGGTAAACAATCTGAAGACACGAATTAAACCATTTCGAAATAAAAGCATGGAAGATATTAAAAGAAACGAAACAATCATTTTGTTATGCTTATATGCCTATATGACATTAGACTTATGAATAAACTAAATAATTCACAAGGATTTTTTAAAAAGGTAACAATTACGATGGGGGATCAAAAAGAATCCATGATTTGTAAAGCGTACCATTAAAAATACCATCTCCTAATTTGACTTAAATATAGGCACGGTTTAGTTGGAGAGATAATAAATTATCAGTACAAAATGATTAATCTTGGGTAGTACAAAAACATGGGCTTCAAAGACTCATTTATTAAAAAAATATCAGGTTTCGGTACAATTATCGCGATTTAAAAGGACCCGGAAAGAATTATAAAATGTTTAAGTAGGCAACTAAAAAGTTCAAAATTTTTTACTTTTTTGTCTTGATACGTGTCTAGTGACTTTTTAAGTTCAATGTCATATGGGTTATTTAAGATTTTAACTAATTTAAATGCCACACATATAATACAATTTTTAATTTTTGTATCTTTTGTCATTAATAGAAAATCTTTTATAAATTTCGTATTCACATGTTTCGTTGACCATTTCTATAAATTGGCACATAATAAAAATAAGAATAATATTAAAAACAATTTTAATAGTCTTGTCTTATAGCGGTACCTCTTAGATTTTCTTTAAATCATAGTGAGTTGTAAAAATGTTTGCGCATGCTTTTACCGTACTAAGCAAGCCTCTCTTTTAAGCTATTTATGAAATCTTAAGCGAAAGCATCTCTTATATATTGCCTCCTTTTAACCTACATAATACCGACACAATCCGAATAGAGCTTGACACATCTCGAAATGCTATATACTACCATACCTAAATGTAAAGATATTAAGCAGGGGCTATTGCCCCATTATTACATATGTATAAACCAATATATGCAACGCATATGTACATATATGCGAAAATAACAATATTTTTGATTATCATTTTTGTTCTGTAATCTACTCAAACTTTTTAATTATTCTATAATAATTCTTACATTCCATTTTCAATGCTTATAAAAACAAAATATCAAAACCAAAACCAATCCCAATGCGTTGCAATGTTACTACATCAATACTCACCACTCACCCAACTTTAACCACAACTGTGTCTACAATAAACAACAATTTAATTGAATTGCAACACTATCTGAAATCTGTATCTCTACAACTTAAAAAACCAAATAATAAAAAAACAATACACGAAAAATATTCATGCAAACGAACTACAACGAACAAAACGAAACCAAAACCAAACGAAACCAAAACGAAACCAAAACGGAATGGCAATTCAAAATAATATCAAAACGACTGCACCTTCCCGTCTACTATCAACTACCAACTGCCGATTGCCAATGGCAACCAAAAATCCGTAGAAACAATCATTCTTTAACTGCCTCCTCGATATGGCCGCCCTTGACAAAGGAGGATCGCGACAGGGCTCCATAAGTTTCGAGCCAAATGGGGAAGGAGCCGCCAACTCACAAACACATTTGTTAGCCAGCACGCACCACCACCACGCAAACGGTGATGCCGAACACAACAGTTTGGCAACACTAGCACGGCGGAGTACGATCAGAAAACGATCAGTTAGGTAATTTAAAACAGCTTCAATCTTAACTATAGTCCGTAAAGTGCAAAGTATCATTTCCAACGCCATTACCATCATTAGCACCACCTGCATTAAGGCCATCAAAATCCATTCCATTCCATCATTATTCCATTACTTTCATCACTAACCAAGATGAGGAGATGCGTATCTCATTGATTGTGCTTTAGAAACTCCAAGCTTACGACTCGTTCCAGGAATATTTATTCCGCTTTGCACATAACAGTATGCTAATATATCTTCAGCTCAATCTTCCTTTTCCCATTAAATGAACCAGTCAGTCAAAGTCAACGAGCGATTTAGATAGGGTTTGGTTCTGTCTAAATTCGGGACTTTACATATTCTATATCTTCTTAATCTTAAAAGTACTTAGGCTATGCCAACAAATTCCAATTAGAGTCCTGTAATTCAAGTCTTAAGTTAATAATACCAAGCCGTTCAGCGGTTTGTACTGCAGTCATTCTCAAAGATCTAAATTTTGAGTAAGATATCTATAATAATGTTTCAAGTATATTACACTTTTCAAGTCCTGTTTTTTCTTTCAAGTTTAAAAACTCTTTTGAAAGTTGGATGCGATTGAATTTAGTCAGCATTTTCTTTGATCGTGAGATTCACAGCATACATTAACATACATAAGCATAAAATACTTTCGTTTCACACACTATCAAAATACAAATACTACTAATAACACCTACCAACACAATTAGTAACTAACTACAAGATCTTTGTGCCTTTGTGCATTTCAACATTGACATAAGTAAATTGTTTTTCTTCTAATTTTTAAATATTTCAGAAACAAAAAGGTGAATAAGTTTGATAAACTCCAAGCGGTAAACCAAAACGAAATTATCAAAAATTTACTAATCAAAAATAATAATTAATTGTGTATTATATAAATATATGTGAATACTCTTTGTGTCCATACTCAGTTTCCGATATAAATGTTGTTCACAACCGATTAAGTCAAGTAAACTACTAGAACCTTTAAATACATACTCACTCATAAGTATATGTATAGCTGTACGCGCCAATGTACCACGTATCTATGACTATGTAAATTACTAAAATGCCAGATTGCCGGGTGCTCCATGCATAAATACATAGCTCATATATACATGCGCACATGTGTGTACTGCGTATTCAACCTACTTTAAATGTTTAATTTGCGTTTACTCAATAGTGCAATACATACTCGTACCTAAATGTTGCATAGCAATTTTTAAAAACATTAGAAACGCAAAACTTGGCTTAGTACTTGTACTCAATGTTGTAATTTGATCGTTTCTATAACCACTACATGTACTCCTATGTACGTAGGCGTTCGTTCCCTGGACAAGTGTTAAGAGTGGCAGCGAATAGTGGACGGAAAGGCTTTGGCAAAGCTCCATTCAACCTATCCAGTCCTCCCATACGAACCTATGTTTCAATCCTTCCAGTGCACAGTGGACCAGAAGGTTTTTTTTTTGCCAAGAAATGCTGAAATAAAGCGATTGACTTCCTAAACTACCAACTAAAGATAAAATGCTTTTAAATTTTTTAGTTTTTTAAAAGAAAACATCTGCTGACCAAAAACATAAAAAAAAACATTAAACTAAAAAAAAATAGTTCTTTTTAAATGAAATTATTTGTATTATAAGATGAGACCAAAAAATTAATTTAAAACAATACCTTCATTTTAGCTGAAGTATATTTAATAAGATGTCAAAGTAATTTCATCAATTTTTATAACAAAAATTTTAATTTTTGGGCAAAACAAGATTCTACTGGTACCGTGTGCAATGGTGGTTCTTTTGGACAGCTGTACATTAAAAATGAATTTCTTTAAAGTTGTTGAGTGGACAATGCAGGCACCTATAATTTAAGCAGGCTTAGTTGACTTGTAGTTTTTGAAAGCGGACTTGTAATTGTTTTTCCCTCAATGAGTATCCCTACACCGAATAGTTTGCCAGGCCGTAAAAGAAAATAGTGTAAGCAAAGGCAACTGCAATAACATCTTTTGCTTTCACATACAACATACCAGCAATGTAAGATTAACTCACCAATCCCAGTACAGTTGCGACCTAGACATATCCAGACACCTTCATTTTACACAAGAATGTAAGACGATCCTGCTCACAGATCAACTCGTCTCTTACGATGCCTCTGCCACATTAATCGTTAACTCGAATTCGCACCGACATGCCAGCCATGTGAAACAAGTTGGCGGTTCTAACTCTGTTCCCACTCCCAGTCTCTTGGGCAACGTCCGATTTAGCATTAAATCCATTAAGCAGAACAATCTTGACTGTTCTGGCGTTTACTTTTGAAATTTTTATTAAAATTTGATTTGGTCGGAATAAGTTTTCTATACAACATAGAAAACTTTTGGACAATATTTGTATGCCATTTGCAAGGTTATCGAACATAAGTAAAGCGTTAAAAAGTTAAATCGAAAAAGACCTGATAGACTTTTCTACATACACATAAAGCCAATTGCAGAAATAAACAGGTTGTAAAACAAAATAAAGAAACATTAACCAATTTCACATAACGTTTATGACAAAATTATGTCCCCAATCGTTCGGACTTATCGCCCCGAACATTCAATTCTTCCCGTAGCATTTTGTTTCACTTTTAAATGAGCAGTTTCCCCATGATTCCGAAAAATGTCATTGGCAAAATTTTCTAATTGTACTTATCTGGAGTTTAATTTAATTCCTTATTTTTAGGGACAATTTAGCAATGACATGTAACATTATTAGAAAATAGCGCTTTTCTCTTAGAGTTAAAGCTACACAATTAGCACATGATTTGTAATTTGGACACCTACTTTGATCCCTCCACTGTTTCATCACTCAATATATAATGGTTTCAAATTCAAAAGAGTCAAAAGTCAATTTGATTCTGGATTTCTAGCGAGTTATCCCTCTAGTTACACATATGTATAAAGGCGGCTTTATGTGTAGGTAGTAATTGTTTTCGAATTCGATTTGAATGTAATAAGTATAAAGTTTTCGTATTTAAATGTTATTCGTTAGTCCATCACGAATGCAACGCGGTTTGCGTACGGTAAGTAAGTTCGTCGGCATCGTCTATTATAAATAAATTGACGCCCGATGAAGCTGCTCTTCCCACGGCCCAAGCGAGAGCAATTGGAAATGGACTCAGGACCTGACCACCACCCATTACCCACCATCACACCACACATTTATCCAATATAATTCCTTAAGTAGTGCATGTAAACCAATACATTAGATTACGCCATTTGGTTTGCTTAGCTTTCATTGTTCCGCCTTGTTGTTCTATAAATGTTTATGCCGACTTAGCACTGCTTAATCAAATAGACGCTATCCAATCACATGCATGCAAAAGATCCTTTATAACTTGTAGATATAGTGTAGAAAAAAATCTTGCCAACTTCACTTACCAGATGCAAAGATCTATTTATACATTATATTCCTTCGAATTTTTGCGTTCCACTTTTTTTGTAGTACATCATTCACAATAAATATAGGACAATAAACCAAAATGAATAACGTAGTTGAAACTGAAAAACAAACAATTGGCGTAATAAAAAACGCAATGTGGCAGTCATATCATTCCCAAAATGCCCTCGAGTAAGAGAGACATCCAGTTATTTGTAAAAGTACCCGCAGAAAATTATTTACAGAAAGTGACCAAGTATATATGTATACGTATACTCCTGAGTAGTGTATGGAATTCCTTAAATGTTACATGCCCTAAAATAGGTTAATCAAAACTACAATCCAATATAATCCCGCATTAAAGAACCCTTCTATTGTACTAGATTTACAATTAAAACGCATTTGAATATGTATTTTGTTGCAGTGGAGTAATGATTGCTTTTGTTTACTTTTATATACCGTATACGTATACCCCCTAAATACTATATCCCTCAAAGTAAGCATACATGTCTCAATGTATATTTATTTTGTAGCATTATACAAGTACAAATATATATACATATATTACTCCTACGCTCCATTATGGGGCATTGGAAATCAATAGTTCTTAATTTATAAATACACAGATATACCTGAATATACGAATCCGTGCAATGAATGAATCCACAAGAAATCGGTCTGGAGGAATCCAAAACATTAAAATGCAGACAAAACCTAGATATTCGCCAAATTAGAATCGATTCGGACAGCTGGATGCACTCCCTCAATACTAACTTCCCTGCTTCCCCTGAACCTAACATTAGTTCTCAATCTTTTTGGACTGATTTCGAGTGGTGGCATTCATGGTGATACAATAAGCGTACTAACTCGCCTCATAAACTCTTTCAATCAGATGCTGGAGCTGCAGGACGCTTCGAGACATCCCTCGCAGGAATCGCTTACCGGTGCCGATGCTGGCCATTTACATCCTGGACATTCGTATATGAATGGTCATCGGCGATCGCCTAGCTTGAGGTAAGGATCGCGATACGGAAACGAAGTGCACTGTTTAACCAAATAACTATCTTTTCAGGCACAACGGCTCTCCACTGGCCAGATCTCCGAGTCCTCGACGGCGTGGCCATCAATACATACATCATGATATCGGGTTCTCCGATACCGTATCTAATGTCGTAGAGATGGTCAAAGAGACGCGTCATCCTAGGCATGGCAACAGTCATCCGCGGTATCCAAGAGGTATTGATTGGCTCAACACACGACATATAAACTAACCGCCCTTTATGTGTGCTAGTCGTAAGCCCAGTGATCTGTTTGGGAAGTCCCAGACCGTATTTTAAATTGGTTTGTCTGTATCCGATGTTGCCCATAACCATTTGTGATTAACTAAAGGGCCCTGCAATAGGCACACATAACCAGGAACTTGGCCAGTCCAAGGATTTTTGATCTATTTTGTAGAATCGTAGTTATATACATATATATATATATGTCTACAATTCCATAGCTATTAACAAAATCTTTTACTACAAATATATATTCCAATAATATTATTTATGTTTTGGTTAAGTTGGTCCTCCTTTGTTTATAATTTTGAAAACAAGCAATCTGAAAAAAAGAAATATGTTGCTAAAAACCAAATACGTAAAATGTTGTGCCCCGACATCCATAATTATTACTTTTTTATTATTGTTGTTATATGTACAATATAGGTTCATGGTCAGCATCGACAAGTCCGGCCCGTTCGCCTTCGCCTTCTCGATATGGTGGTCATTTGTCTCGCAGTAAACGCACTCAACTGCCTTATCCCACATATGGGACAACCAGTCTATGTCAAAGATCACGATCGCCGAGTCCCGCTAGACTTCAGGAGATGCGTGAACGAGACAGACTTGGTTATGGGATTGATATGGGTACATCTTTAGCACTTGTTATCTAAAGTCCAACAAGATCAACCAAAATCAACTTAAAACAATTAAACAAAACTACTCAACTTGTTTTCTATATATGCTAGTATTTTCTTCTACACAAATTTCTTCAACCATTTCAACTTTTACAAACATCAAACATAGTTGCCAACCATGCTTAACATGTACATGTATTGTCATGCCAAAGACGTTCAATCAGAAAAACATTCAGTCAATCATAAGCTTCAACTAATTGAATAGTTTTATTTCATACATCCCACACGGCTCTCAAATCATTCAGATCTCCGAGCTTCCACACCGAAGAATTCATAAATATGTCCTCAACTCAAACTCAACTATTCGTACTTGTACTCGTACTCTTGTTACAATAGCAGCGTTTATTGTTTTAATTTATCTAGATGCCATTCTCGTACCATCCACCTATATTATATTCACATCTCGTATGTATGGTACTGACATGTACAAACAGACATTCATCCTCATCCTTATACTACCACACTGAATCTCTGGCAAATTGACTGTTTTTAAGCAATGCTATTAACACATATAAGTGGAGTTTAAATCGAAACCAAAGTCAGGGCTAATTTTGACGGACTCTAAGTGAGACGAATTTACTAAGGGGTACACTTGTGTTGGTACTGGTCAAAACTAAACAAAACACAAAATAGAAGATCGTTTTAACAGGATTGTGAAGGGGTGAGATAAGTGAACATCATTTCCTAGTCTATACCCAAAGAAGGTGAAGTTCGTAAGCCATAGTCATAGCATTTTTTTTTCGCAATTGACCTCTGTCAGTCTGACCAGCACGGGAAAAGACACTGACCAAGAATCTCTATTTTAAGCTTGCTTCTTGATCCAAAAACCCCCGTAAAGTCCAGCCACTACCTAAGATGAACAGGCTATACACTATATACATTTTGTGTCCCCTTTTTCATGTATTGTTTTTTCCGAGTTCGGGTGGTGAAATCGACTGAGCTATTTACCAGAGGCAGTTTTTGGGTGTTTCAGTATCTAGACGTGTGTGCATATGTATCTATCTAATCTATCTATGTATGTGCGTCAATTGCATTCTGCACCATTTCGTATCCCATCCTTTTCGTTTCTGCATAAATGGAATCTTTAGATCAAATCGAACAGTCATGCATGTTGCCATGAATTATTTAGCTGCCGACCGGCCACTCCCTAAATCATCCAACTACTTGTGTATATTTATCTTGGAACATTATAAAGCACCGATGTTACTGTTCTATATTTTTATAAGTTTTATAACTCTGTACGGTGCTGAAAAAGTTGCACACGCTTATAAAAGTAGATACAGTGAATGCATTTTAGAATAGCAATGATTTTTTGAACACCATAAAAGTTTAATAAAATAGGTTCTTACTGGGACATGTTCATTTTTGTTTTATCACCATAAATGTGTCAAAGAAATCAACATCTAGCCAAGTCAGTCCGTATTTATGAACGTGAAGATTTTGGTACCTGCAAAAGCTGCCAAATTTGGGTTTACCATTAAGACACTCGGCGCAAGTTCGCCAATAAACCTTAACATTTTAAGCACTTACTTTCACGGTTGAGAATCATTTTAGTCTCAATAAGTTTGTATTAAAAATATGCACAAAACTTTTATTGGCGGGGAACTCGACTATTGTGTTTTTTCTTGATTGATATTTGTTTATAATACTCGTCTTCACACACTCTCCTGGTGTGCATCGTCACTAACTGTACTGCTGTCCACAGTGATATATTTGTCATAAGATATACCATATAGTCTATCCGTTTGTGGCTTAAATAGGGCCAAAGATTTAAACGATTTTATTTAAAAAATAATAGTGAATTTTTCAAACCTAATCGAAATTATCAAATCAAACTTTATTTCCGAACATGTCCCATTCTATTTTATGTTTCTTTTATTTGTATGTATGTTTTAAGCATTGTCAGTGTTAATGTCAATGTCAATTAAGAACAATTCAGGTACACTTTGTTTAGTATCATATCAGCAGAGTATTTTTGCAACAATTTATGCCCTACATAACACCTGCTCAACGCACAGGGAAGTAATGTCTTAAATTCCCACAGGTGCAGCGCACGTGCAGCACAGTTACCCAACTCTGGCGTCCCGTCGTGCTGGAATCGGAAGACGCCTTCCTCCGACTCCAAGCAAACCGTCAACACTGCAGCTCAAGCCAACCAACATCAATTTCCCCAAGCTGAATGCGAGTCCCACACATGTAGGTTCCGGACCGTATAATGCAGAGCAAAACCCCATTAATGATTTCCAATTTCTTTCGCCAGACACACCATTCAACGCCCCACAGTGTTCACTCGCTACCACACCACCGCGACCTGCTGCGAGATCCAAGGGATATGTACTATAGTAGTAGAGAACGCGAGCGGGATCGCGAACGCCTTAGGGATCGGGAAAGGGATCGCGATCGTCTGCACGAGTACGACCTGCGCTACGAGTACCGGGATCGGGAGCGGGAGTTGTACGAGCGCGAACGAGATCGCGAGCGGGAAGTCGAAAGAGAAAGGTGCGTATTGCAGTGTAATCATGGTTCCACCCGAGATGTAATATATAATCGTATCCCACAGACTGGAATATATAGCACCGCTGTCATTTGAACAAGCGCTGGCTATGGGCCGAACAGGTCGTGTACTGCCATCTCCAGTTCTAAATGGTTTTAAGCCAAAGAGTAGTCTGAACCCTCGACACTCCGATTCGGATGAGGAGGATTGGTGCTAGCAAAGGCTTTGATTGCGATCGCGTAATCGAAAGGATCAGATCTGGGTATAGCATCAGGCCATATGCTCCTCTTTGTCGGCACCAAACTTAGATCACAATTTTGATACGATACGACACAGATACCAACCCGAACATCAACCCCAACACCTTTGTCCACACCCACACCTGTACCGCAAGCAACACCTTGACCAAAGGTATAGCACGAATGTATCGACACCAAAACTAGGAACAACTATATCTGATATCAAATTGGCTAGAGAAAGCTTACAGGAATTAAACCCGAATCGACAACCGCAATCGCAACGGAAGCAAGAGCAACAATTGGAGCATCAAGAAGGGCGGTTAGGGTGGCTCAGATGGTGCCAGGAGCCTTATGAACCCCCAATGATGGCATCATTGCCCGAAACCAGAGCAACATCGCCCCAGTCTGATAACGAATTAATCCGAAATATAAGGAGAAAAGAAACTGGAACAACTGCAATAACACCAAGGACAACTAAAACTGAAGCAATGATATTAAGCGTACCAATTACAATAACGTCCCCATTAGCTATTACAAAGATATACTCAGATAATGACATTAATTATAATACCGAAAAGGATAATGGCGGAATAGAGGAAGCAGCCCACCATTATCACCAGCCAGAACTTACCACACCAGATCTACAACACGAGCCACCACTGCAGCAACACAGCCAGCACTATCCGCAGTATTCGTATCATACGCTATGAGGAGTACAGGATCCAGAACCAGAATCCGCTAAAAGTGCAACTTTAATTGAAACTGAAACGAGGTGTAAATGATGTGAGAGATAGCGTAACGAAAGTAGAGGGACATGTAAACAAAATAGAGCTACTAATTGCCATTTCTAGGCAGGAGTGGAAAACTTAATGTTAGATATGAATATGATCAAGTGTATTCTACTTTTTTTCTACTGTAAGGACAAGTCTAGATGAAGAGCTCATAAAAATGAAACAAATAATAACGGAACTTTTTGAAACAGAACACACATAGCTCTAGGTCTAAATACATAGAAAATAAAATTGTAGGTACTCGCATACATTGTAAGTTATCTAGGACATAGCTCGAGGAATCAGTAAACTGCAAGCGTTTTTGTCTTGTTTGTATTTAAAGTTAGTAATTCAATTCAAATGTGTATTTAAATGCGACGTTTTATTTATTCTTTGTACATACCAGATAATTGTAGATATCAAATTTTTGTATGTAATATATTTACCTACGACTACTATTATAAATACCTTCAACAAAATGAACGCGCTATTCGCTATAATAGCAATCAATGAGCGCATTTTAGTCCCCTACGATTTTTTATTCAGTTATGTATACTTGAGCGGATATTTTGTTTTGACTAAAATAACTTCACAAAACCGGAGAAGAATAAATCAAACATATAAAGAATTCAAATACAAAGCCCAACTACAACCAAATAACTCAATTATGACCAAAAGTATGTATCTGTAAAATTAGCATCAACCAGTGCCATGCGTGTGTACAGACTTTGAAATTTACAATAGCTTTTTTTGTCATATTTCTTCATAATAGAACGATCTTTTAGGTGTATGCTTCTGTTAACGTATTTCCGACAGAGTTTCGTATGGTGAAATTAGCTTCTTTCGATCAGTTCAAAAAATGTTTGTCTATATGTATTTACAAATAAAAGTATATGGCATTGTTTTACAATCGAACATCTTCAACAAAAACATGTGTAGATATAACACATACACCTCCGGCTCCTCATACTCTTTATAGAATGTGTATAATGTATAAAAATTGCAGAGCTCATAGCACATCAAACATAATATATTCAAATATATATGCCGGCACACAGCCCCTCCAACTCACTAAAAAAATGCAGACATCATGTGTATAGATAGACGAATCGTACATGTTGGACGACGGGATATCGAAGAGCGCACAATAATTGTAATTTAAAGAAATGAATCCATAACTTAAGTAAATAATTATAGCAGCTGAGCAGTATTGCGAATTTACACAGCAACTTAACTTACCATTACGATTATGATAATGACTAGAGTCGTAGAATGCATACGAAGGTAACAAACATTAAGCAACCGAAGAAACACTAACCCAAAGCTAACGTAACTGAGCTGACTTCAGCTAAGTACGATACTTAAATATTAACTGAGCAATACTGAATAGGGAAAACGACTAACCTAGAAATGATAAACCAATATATACACTGAAAAAAGGCCAAAATCGCCATTTAATTTAGAAATTCGCCATGAAAATAAATATATGGCGCTTAGCCAAAATTTTAAGAAAATCCTGTTCTTTAAAATATAAAATTTTCTAAATAAATCGAATGGCTTTCTAATCATAAAAAATAATCAATTTAAGACATTTTCCATAAATCCAGAATATTTGTACATTATTTAGCTCAGGAAATTTTCTTTGAAAAAAGAACTGATTTTTCTTAAACACAGAAAGAAAGTTTTTAAATGTCTTAATTCTAAAATATAGAGAGACCAAACAAAATGTATATTTTTTTTAAATAATTTCTTTATTTTATGTGTTATGTTGTTGAGTTAGCCTTTTAAATTTTATTACTGTAAAAGTGAAATATTGGAAAAAGCGTTTCCTAAAAATATTCTCGTTTTAATGTGAACGCATAGGTGCAATTTATTTTTTGTACACAAGTGAAATATGGTCAAAAACTAATGAAATGATCGCCATTTTTAAAACCAAGAGGTTTACTCCAAGTTATCAAGATATAAAAATAATATTACTTTTGAAAATATTTTGTTTTTATTTTACAAAATCCGGCAGCAAGAAATATTTCTAGTTAATTTTAATGAAAAACTTTTTTTATTTTAAAAACAATTTTTATAAATATGCTTTTTTTACGGAGAACATTTTCAAATGTGAGGAAAACATTTTTAAAATTTTTCTTAGATAAAGAAAAAGTTTAATTTTATGGCGATTTTCTAAAAGCTAGAAAAAAAATTCGAGTGTGAAAAGAAAAGCGGCAACCGTATTCTTCTAAAATTATCTTAATATCGGATGCAAATGAACATACATTCAAGAAATATACAAATGCCTAAATAGATAAATATACATACAATAGTTTATAACTAGTCTCAAAAAAAAAAAGAAACCGAATTCCATCGCTAAGGGAAAACAAAGTTCGCCGGTATAAAGATTCACTCTCCAATTAATTGTATACACACAGCGCACTACCGAGTGCTGTTGCACGTACTTACGATGTTCACTTTTGACTACTTCCAGTAAAAGTTTGTCCACGCGGCAGATGTTTCAAATCCTCAGTCTTAGGCTAAGATCAGATTTTTGAACTTCATTTGCACCGCTTGTTTAACATTAACATTCAAGTTATTACTAGCGATATCCTCACACAAGTAGAGTTCTTGGAAGGGCAGCTTAGGGCTCATTAGCTCAATTACTACTACTGAATCATTGCCCTGATGCCAAAACTAAAATAAATAAATAACAAAATCAAAAAAAAAAAGAACGAAACGAAACAAAACAAAAACAAAAATAGAAATGAGTACAAAATATAAATATAGTTTACTAATGTCGTTTCGATATTAGATGTATATCCAATTCATCAAGCCTTTAGAGGAAATATTTAGTTAGCAAATAATTGGCACACTTGACCATTTCAAATGAAATTAATCGCCATTTGGATCCTATTCGATCCGCTTTTAATGCTCACAATCTTCGCTTCGTCCTTCGTCCTTCGACTAGGCTCCAGCTTCCCCACTAAACTCTTACTTCTACAATAAACATTCTTACATACACACTTACGTGGTTGGGTGCCGAGTGCAGGAATCAATGAATATTCGATTTTTCGGGGCAGAACAAGTCGGGGCATTGGGAAACAGCTTGTGAACCACCTTCAAAAAGTATAAAGTATACGTAAACATATAATTGAAAGACAATGCCGCGATCGATAGTTCTCCCAGGCTCTTGTATTCCTCCCCTACATTGTTAAATACTCCAGATGCTTGAAGGCGGGGCGCCAGTCCATTCGATCGAAACCGCTGAACCGTGGAATCCATAGCTGGATATGTGGTGAAATATACTTGAGTGTGCATATAATCATTATAGAATGCAAACAAGGCTGCTGCCGAGCCAAGCCCCATGTGAAATTGAGGGTGACCCGAACGGCCAGGTCCGCTCCCTGTGTTCCTTGTCTCATGTCGTAGGTGGCTTACTTTCTTTAAACAATAAATTTAACCATAACTTTACGATTCGATTGTATATTTTGTTATTTGTTTACTGTCTGGTGTGAACGGTTACATGAAAAAAATATATGTAAGTAGATCGACTTTTTTTTACAAAGCAACAAAATATAGGATGTGCGAAGAGATAGTATGCAATTGAAAAGGAAAAAAATTAATGATAAAAACTAGTTTAAAATTAGACAATGTAACTGTTATGGCTAAACATTAATGATAAAACATATACATAAATATATAAAACAAAAGAAATAATTATAAATATCTTAATTTAATGTACTAAGTGAATAACGCAGTTAAAATAATTACTAAGGTACGCTAGAGATAATTAAACTACATTTAATAATTATGTAATTATAAATATGACTCGTAATTTATATACAAGATATACATACATAAACATATAATAACATAAATACCTGCCTTCAACAAATTTGTTAATAAAACTATTAATACTTTCTTATTTTACATAAAGTAAAGGAATACCATAATAAAAAACAAGAAGAAAATAAATGCAAGAAAAGTAACACAAAAATCGTGTTTCTCGTCTCTTATTTGCTAACCCAGTTAATAGAAATTGTACTATTTAGCAGATGTTTAGATGTGATTGGGACTTAAGCATGGGAAGTATTTGGTTTATTATGGCAATTACCGAAAGATATTAATGGAACTTCGTGTCCAAAATGTACTATAAATGCTAGGGTAATCAAACTTCGACATTTGAAAGTCGTTGAATTTGAAATTCAGATTTTTTCAGTAGGTCAAAGTATAATATGATACAAATGTTTCCCAAAATGGAAAACGGATCTGTTCATGAAGTGCATTAACCCCCCTTGAAAATATCCACCCCAGCTGGAAAAGGATTCCATTAAAGGGGCTGTCGAAAACACACAGGGCAGAACAGCTGGGTGCGGAGGTCCGGCTGATGGCAGGGCTCTGGATGGGCTCTGGATGGGCTCTGAACCAACCCCCAGGAAGGCCACCAGCTGATCCGGGGACATGCGCATTAAGGGCCAATGACAAAAAAAGGCGCAGCAACTTCTGCGAATACATATCGATTTTATGTCGCCCATGCAGTAGTTGTAACAGTTGTGAGTTTACAGCTACTACTGGCTGAAACCAGCCTCATATTGGCGATATCGGCAGAGGTGGCACCCAAACGGATGGGTCATCCAAGGCAGGACTCGTACACAGCCAATCTACGTGCAAACTGATACTGGGCGACAATGCGAGCACATCCAGAACGTAATTGAGAAGACTGACATCAGATAATTGGCAAGAAAGTGTCGGACTTCTAAGTTGGGTCCACCGAATCCTCGCCGAGGAACAGAAATTCAATTCGAAAGAGAGTTGCAAGCAGTGCCAGCATGGAGATACCTATTTCAAACATACTACTTTTGTGCTTGATCTTCCTGCTGATTGGAGGGGTGGTCATGATCCTGCTGCAGTACCTCATCTTCATCAAGTTCTCCAATCTGCCGGACGAGAGCGAGGAGCAGAAGCAGATGAACGCAAAATACACCCTGCCACTTGTAAGCTAAGCACCCTCTAAACCCCCTACACTGATTACTAATTTATGCCCTTTTTCTTAAACAGAACATCAAGCAAACGGCCCGAAACCTGAAGAGGCTTTCCAACTCCGGACTGGGAGCCGGCAATGGGTGCGAAAACCATCAGGAGAGTCTCCGCAGAGCCTCGGCCCTGGTCTCGCTTAACTTCGTGATGCAGTTCCTCTTCCACGAGTTCAAGAACTCGAACCGTGTGCGGAAGTGGTTCTACCGCAAGCTGTCCATCGAACTGGACGAACTGATTACAAAGACTACCACCGGCAAACTTCTTGATAAGCTCACGGTGAGTCATATGGTAGAAAGGTGCCCTTCCTTTCGTTTCGTTTTCGACCCTATTATAACTTTATATGATTTATATGATTGACATGCTCGTTTTCCCGTCCGCATAAACGCCCAAAAATTAGAGGAATCGTATTGTAAAGGATTTTCTTTCTTTGGGGATCCCAGATGATTTTATTTAGCGTGACAATAGCTTGTAAAGAAATCTATTTAATCTATTAATAAAATATTAGACTATGTATTTTGTAACACAGCAGTGAGTAGCGGATAACTAATGTTTTTCTTGTTATTTTAGATTAAAGAGCTTGAGTTGGGCGACCAGTTTCCAGACATCAAGTCCTTATCGGTGCACAACGTGGAGTTGGACAAGGACGAGCAGCGTATTGAGAACCTCGATCTTCTGCTGGACATAAACTACGTGGGCAACTTCACAACTTCCATTGATGCGGATATGGTGCTGGGCAAGAAAGGATCAATAACGCTCAAGGGTGAGTTCATAAAAAACTGAGAATGAAATTTGACTTGGCAGCTATATTATTATTTTGATTAACTTTCAAAACAACAATGTTGATTAAGACGTTTCTTTGCAGTTTAAGTTACATGACCCCTTTTAGTGATATCATTAAATTCTTAATGACTTTTACCATACAAAAAGAACACGAATTTTAACTTTGCATAGAAAAAGGGTTACTCCTACGTATAGCTGTATAGGATATCTATACTGTCTTCATAAAACTTAATATGTTTTTTCCGTCCTTCAATTTTTGTAACACGCAATGAGCAGCACAAGTGTACCGATTGAAAATGCCGTAAATTATTTATTTCTTGTGCTTCATTTGCTTTCTTTTTTTCCTTGGAAACGGAATTGATGATACTATTGATGAACTTCTATTCCAGTTAAGCAGCTGTCGGGCATGGCGCGTCTGCAGTTCACGAGGAAACCCTACACGCACTGGTCGCTGAGTTTCTTGGGGGATCCGGAGCTGATCCTGGACATTGAGTCGAAGTACCAGGGTCGGCAGATGCAGTCGAACATCACGAACCTAATATCGAACCAGATCCGCAAGGCGGTGCGTCGGAAACACACGCTGCCCAACTACAAGCTCCGCTACAAGCCCTTCTTCCACTGGACCGCCGAGGAGGACGCCGGCGATTGCGACATCCAGCCGAATGGCCTGCTCACGGTCAAGCTGGCCGAGCTGTCCCGCCTGATGGCCTATCCCGGAGCCAGTGAGACGTACTGCACCATCACCCTCGCCCCCGTGCCCTTCATCGAGGCCAACCAGCGGGACAGCCGGAACGTGCTCATATCGATGGACGTGTTCATCCACAAGGCGAAGAACCAGCAGATCGGCATCGTCTTCAAGCAGAGCGGCAGCCAGGTGGTCCGCATCGAGTCGGTGCTGCCGAACACGCCGGCCTGCAAGTCCAACCTGCTGGCCGGCGACGTCCTGGTGGCCATCGAGGGCAGGCCGGTGACCACGATTCAGCAGATCGCCAAGGTGGTCAAGACGCTGCAGGCCACCGTCTTCAGTCTGCGGATCGAGCGCATCATCCCTGGCATCATTCGCAACGACGCCATCCTGGAGGACTTTGACAAGTACGACGACCTGGGCGACCTCCCCAACCCATGTCAGTCGAGGCCAGAGCCCGACGAGCCCGCACCGGCTGAGCAGGTGCCCAAGCACCTGGTGGTGAAGCCGGGCTTGAGCGGCACGCCCACTAACTCACCCAAGAAGTCCAACCTCATTGCCAAGGCCATAAAGAAGACCATGAGCCGCGAGAGCAGTGATAAGGACAGGGACAAGGAGAAGGATCGGGACAAGGATAAGGACAAGGACAAGGATCGGGATAAGGATAAGGACAAGGACAAGGACAAGGAGAGAAGCAGGACGGATGAGGCGGAGGAGCCGGTCAACTACTTCTATCAGCACTCGACCATCGACTGCGCCTTCAGCCCGCTCATCCACATGGACGACGTGTGCAGCTTCCAGTTGGACACCTCCAGCCGCTTCCTCAACGTGTGCGTCTTCGGCAAGTCCGCCGGTGAGAGCGTACTCCTGGGGTACAACAATGTCCAGATTGGCCAGGTCCTCGTCGAGTGCTCTGAAACCAGCCTAAACCAGTGCCTCAAGCAAATTAGTCTCAACCCGGCATCGCTGCAGGCAGTGTAAGTTGTTCGGGATCCCTGGTTGGATCTGGTCTGTCTCACCCTTCCAATCTTTCCCACAGGAAGACTCATGCCCTATCCAATCAGTCCGGCTTCAATCCAAACCTCTGCTTTGGCGACATTCTGTTTGGGTTCTCCTGGATGGGCAATCCCAATTTGACGGTGGGCGATGTTTCCGCTAAGAGTAACTCCAAGTCACAGCCGCAAGCTAGGTAAGCTTCATTTTTTATTAAATATTTAATACGATATATACACACAGAAAGCAAATTAAATTAGCTTCTACTCGAAGATGGAACTTTGATTTTGAAGAAAAAAAGCTAATTAGTTAGGGTGATAACATCCAAATCGTATTTTATAGTCCAAGAAACGTTGATTTGTTATTTTATTATCCTTTTATTTCCTTTATTAATGCAGAAACTTATTGCCTGGTGACAGAGTGGCGCAGGAGGATCAGTCCCACGAGTCGGTGTTCCTGAAGCTGACCAGCTCCTTGGCGGAAAGCTCCTCATCCGGTGAATCCCCTAGTGCGACGGCTGCCGCCTCAAAGGCGCACAACTTCGTGAGGACCCACTTCCATCGGGCCACGCAGTGCGACTTCTGCGGCAAGAAGATCTGGCTGAAGGACGCCATGCAGTGCCAGGAGTGCTCCATGTGCTGCCACAAGAAGTGCATAGTCAAGTGCCAGATGGCCACCGTCTGCGGTCCGGTGGACTGCTCCGGCTCCATGCCAGCATCCTCCACTCCGGCGATGGCCAGCCGGCCGGAGTTCACCATCACGCAGGCTGACACCCCGGAGATCCTCGAGGCCAACCCGGGCCCTGCTCCTTTGGAGGCAGCGGCCACTTCGAGCGCGGATCAAGCTCAAGCTCAGATCCAGACCCCGACAGCGGCTGGCTTGGATGTGCACAGATCCAGCCTCACTGGGATGCTGGCCCAAGGCATCAAGCGGCAGGCGAGCAACCTGGACATACCCGGCATAGTGTCCTCGCTGACTGGCAGTGGTCAGCAGATTAACTCAAAGAGCCTACCTCCGAGTCCCCAGCACACGCCCTCGCGGTAAGTTTTGGGAAGCAATCCCCATCTGATTAGGAGTACGATACTAGACGAACTGAACTTGGGATACCCATACATTTATAAAAAACGGATAAGTATTTATACCCGTTCTTCGAATCTGTAAACTAAAATGTTTCCAGTTCGTTGTTATCTGTAAGAAGAAAAGGTTGTCAGCTTCTGACAATACTATTTAAACAGTGTTACATTTTTTAGTAAAGCACCATAATTTGGCAGTTAATTTACTTCCTGTGCACTTACTCACTCACTTTCGACCATTTGCAGAAAATCGTCAATTGTGGAAGAGGCGGCTCCTGTTCTGCCCCAGAATCCCTTTGAGTGCGTCACCCAGCATCTGGAGGCTCTACCATTGGACTGCACAGTACTCAGCTTCGAGCAAGTGATCGTCATCACCGAGCCCATCATTCGCCACACCCGCAACGAGGATCTGATGAACCTGGCCAAAAGCACCAGCAAACATTTATACGTTGGCTTTCCGCCCGACGAGCGAGTGGCCAAAATAAACGAGCTGGTAGGTCCACCCTCCCATCCACCTATGTATGTATTTTGATGGGCATCTTCCCTTCGCAGCTCACCAAACTGAAGGTGGCCCTGGACGCCGAGACCGAGGGCTACACCATGATGAATGATGCCGAGAAGGCCACGGAGTCGTCGGCCTGGAAGTCGGCTTCCGGCACGGAGAACAGGTCGGATGAGCGGGTCCAGGCCCTCAGCATCATCATGCTGTACTTGTGCACTGGTCTGCAGCATGCCCAGGGCGTGGTCCTGCAGTAGATCTGCAGATGGATCTGGTTCTAGGGGGATTTCTCAATGTCATGTTAAGGTTCCGATTCGTAATTTGTGAGAGAAACCTAACTTAAAGTCAAATTGTTCGGGCACACAAATGCGCTTTCTCAATGTGATGTTGAATTTCGAACGAAGAAACTTAACAATATCAGACAAGTCGGTATTATAACCTACAACCTAAAACATTGGCGGTAGTTAAGAGGTGTCAGTTAGTTAAATTTTAACACTATATTGAGAAAGTAAATGTTGCCGAAATTTAAAAATGCACAGGACATTGAGAAATCAGCCCTAAGAGTTGTAGATGCCAAACACTTGTGTATTTGGTGAACTCGTACATAATCTTAAGTAGTAGACTGGAAATGTGTTAGTGAACTAATGGGCATTTTTAATTCGTGTTGTGGCATACTTACCTAGAAGTATTTCAATTTTAGCCATTTGTTTCAATTAAAATACGCTTATTTGTCAGTTTTGAAACAGATTTGTAAATATCTAATATGGGGTTAACCCAAACTCAATACAAACATCAATGGTATCTATAGAGTTCAAACTTGTTTTTGGCGAATAAAAATTTTTAAACAAATGTTCTTCAAACTCTTTCACATTTTTGATGACACTTACTTACTGTTGTATAGCTACAATTATTATATTTATATAAACAACTGAAAACGTAAGAATCCAGTGTGAAAACTAAATTACATATTTTTGACGTTGATTGTAATATTTGGAGCTAACTACTTGTCATATCTAAATATATTTTAGTTAAATTCAGAGTTAAATATGATTATAACTTAATATAAACGTGTAAGTCGTGTCAACAATTTCCGGTTATCTCATGGAAAAAATCAAAACAAAATTTTATCGACACCAATTCGCAATTTTGTTCAAAAGGGAGTGAATTTTTAATAATATTTTAATACGAAATAGATATAAATACGTAGAAGAGTTGAGTGAGATGTGACATTTCTTGACTTTGCAGTCGACAAGAGCAAATTCCAACATGAAGGAAATCTTATTAAGTACGAATTTAGATTAGGGGGATCTTTCAGAATAAACATTTCGATCAAAGCCAACTGTGCGTATGAGTGATAAACTAATGTAACGTAATGTGCGGAAAAGAGTAGAAGTTTAATAGGAAAGGACTGAGTAACAGAGATAATAGAACATTATCTGAGGAAAAGGTTCCAAATTATTGACTTTGACTTTGTTATTTTACAAAAAAAATTGCGTAGGCTCTGGTCGAAGTTGGCAACTCTTTAAGTATTTAACTATTTAAAATCAACCCGGTAGTAGGCTTTGAAAAAATTGTTCCAGCTAACTTACCCCCATAACACCAAAAACTGGACATACTCAATATTTAGATTTATTTTATAAAACTTTAGGGTTTTAATGCCCGAAGTCACCTTCCACTTTTTGCGTGCCCACTTCAGTATACATACGTCATCTGCATATAGAAGCGAAAAGCTTCTCGTAACTCAAGAAAGTGCACTGAAATTTGTTTGGGAGCAGAACTTAAAATTGGCCTTGCGGCATTTGATTGATCTCCGATCGCTTGGAATTACTATTCTCTGCATGGACTCAAAAGCTTGAGCAACCTTGAAATTGGCCAATATATAAAGTAAGTACATGGTTTTACATACTGTTTTGCATTCACATATTTCACATGGAAACGCCGTGTCCAATATGACTTGTTCTGACGGGAAAATGTTTCGATTCGACCAAAGAAACAGCGAACGGCTGATGCGTAAAAGTCGGTTCTATAAGTAAATATAATTATTTTGACCGTTTTACACGAATCACACTAGTTAACAAATCTAAATTTGCCGTTTGTCACTCTTAAAAACGCTATAAACTATTTGTGTAAAGGTACGTTATAAAATGTCTGTCACATTTAAGCCAACAACTTCTCATTAAAAATAGTTTGGACAATTTTAATTAAAAACGTATTCAAAAAAATTTGTTCTTTACATTACAAATAATTGATAATTTCAAGCGGTTTGCGGTTTGCATTTAGATATATTTTAAAAATAAAACATACTTCAAATAATTTCGGTTTCATAATAATTTAAAACTGTTCAAATTTTTTATATTTTGACTTTTTTATTTTGTGAGCTAGTGTATTTTGCGATCCTCTCTCTTTTTGCATTGAACTTTTACACTTTTCCGTAGCTAGAACAAGCTTATTGGCAAGAGAAAGAAGGACTGTTTATATCAGAGGCTATTGCTCTTAAGATGACAAGACATTTTGTTACGATGCAGCGATACTCTTCCCAAGAAGTATACCTGTTTGTGAGACAAAAAAAATCCATTCCCAGATAATTTCTGAGTTTAGATAAATTTTTTAGAATTTGAGTTTATAAAATGTCAAAGATCAAAATAATCTTAGACTTATATAAAACAAGAAAGAAAAGCTAACTTCGGGCGGAGCCGAAGTTGATATACCCTTGCAAAATATTCTGTAAATTATATTCATATGATGCATTCTTAATACTCATAAAAAATTCTAACTTCCTAACTTTAAAAACACCAAAGTTATGGCATTTCCAATCGTTTAGTTATATGGCAGCTGTAGGATATAGACGGCCGATCCTTATGAAATTTGGTAGGTCGGATTGATTGGCCAAATATAAGACCCATAGAAAATCCCAACTTCCTAACTTTACAAACACCAAAGTTATGGCATTTCCGATCAATCAGTTATATGGCAGCTATAGGATATAGTCGGCCGATCCTTATGAAATTTGGTAGGTTGGATTGATTGGCCAAATATAAAGCCCATAGAAAATCCCAACTTCCTAACTTTATAAACACGAAAGTTATGGCATTTCCGATCAATCAGTTATATGGCAGCTATAGGATATAGTCGACCGATCCCGGCCGTTCCGACTTATATACTGCGTGCAAAGGAAAGAATGGTGTGTGCAAAGTTTCAATTCGATAGCTTTAAAACTGAGAGACTAGTTTGCGTAGAAACAGACAGACGGACAGACAGACGGACAGACAGACGGACAAACAGACGGACAGACAGACGGACAGACGGACAGACGGACATGGCTATATCAACTCAGGAGGTGATCCTGATCAAGAATATATATACTTTATAGGGTCGGAGATGCCTCCTTCACTGCGTTGCACACTTTTGACCAAAATTATAATACCCTCTGCAAGGGTATAAAAATGCTCACCAAAACTTGGTAAGCCATTTGGTATTCGGCTTCAAATTTAATTTGCTTTTCGTTTTTTAACTCGAGTAATGGTTTCTATTTTAAATCGTTGTGTTTTGGTAAGCAGTTGCTTTAAATTAGCATTTTAAATTTCTAAATTTTAATTAAAATTTTAAATATTAAACACGTAAAAAGAGGTAAAAATTCGCAAATAAAATGACTATAAAATCATAAACAATTTGCAACTTAAATTTAATCAATTCTGTTTTAGAACATTTAATGTGTTAGTTAAATAAAGAGTATAGGGGGCTCGGCGTGCCGTGTAATCTGACAATTTGTGTTATTATTTTTTGTTTTTCTTCCCATTTTATTTTTCATTTGTTTTGTTATGCGCAGCTTTTCTTTCTTCTTTCGTGCTATAAAAACCGAAAGTAAAAAGCATTTTCAATATTTCAATGCGGAAGAGAGTCACGTTCAGTTGGTTGCGAAGACGCTCGCGTTCAAATACTCCAAATAAAAAGAAATATATCTTGAGCCAGCAAACTTACAATAGTGATCGAATATATTTTTTTGAGTGATTTTCCAGTGAGCCAAAGACAATTTGATATCTGCCAAGAGCACATAGCGACATAGCCCAGTTAAAAAAGATGCGGCCTTTCGGCAACGATATAACGAACATTGCGGCCAATTCCAATGGTGGTGGTGGCAACAACGGCAACGCCAACGGCAATGGCAACGGGAATGGCAATGGAAATGGAAATGCAAATGGAAATGGCAATGGCAATGGGAACGGCAGCAACGATCCCAACGACAATGGCAACGACAATCAAAACAATGACCGGGACACCAGCATCACCAACACCAGTGCGGACAACGAGGAGTCGGGCAACTCGGACGATCCGAGCATTCCGCCACATATCGCGAGGATCGGTGGCATAGACACCCTGCCGCCCATCGCCGGACAAGGCGTTATCCGGGTGGTCCAGCGGTGCGAGGACGCCAAGGAGAACCACAAGCTGGGTAAGCAGACCAAGATCCCCAACTCACCCACCTAGTAGTTGAGGCGCAGTTGCCACCAGACGGGTTTCGTTCCTTCTGGGGGTCGGGTCGCAGTATGGACAATTGGCCAATAGCCAATTTCAGTTATTGCGCACTGACTTCCCCATACAAAAGCAACAATTTGTTTATAATTGAGTGCCTTCCCAACCCAAACAACACCCTCCCCTTCCCCTCACCACCGCCCATTTGCAAGTAAAGTGCGTCGCCGCCGATTTTATTGCACTGTATTTTGAGTGTGTTGCCTGAATTCTTTTCAGTTAACAAAGAAGGCAGTTTCGCCCCATTGATAAGTGCGGCGTTAATTATTGGCAAGACATCAGCCCCCATGTTGATTTTATACTGAGGTTTTTTTGACACGAAGATTAGAGTACTACACAATTTGCTTTTATTCCTGACTGTTTTCATATAAGGGAGTAGATTAAAGGCCATAATGTATTCTTTGTTTAATGTTTTGTTTTAGGAGTTGCGCAATGGTCCAAAGTTTCCGTATAAATTACTCATACGACACATTACTCATACAACATTTTCTGCTCAAAGGCAACTGTGCGTATGAGTGATAAACTTGGAATTCAATGCGCAGTTCCTTAAACTCATATTTACCAAAAATGCAGTCAAGCGCATAGTATAAGCTGTTTTTAGAGTAGAACCTTAAATTCTTTTTAAAAATTGGCACCACCCTAATGTACATGCGTGGGAAAATAAATATATATATTTTTAAAATTTTATGATTAATTATGATCAAAATATAAGTATAAGAGTAAGAGGCGCCAAGTGTGCCATCAATTGACAATCAACCTTAAAAGCCTTATACGTATTTTAAATAGGAATTTATACATATTAGCGTAATGTCATTCCCAATTCATTCACATATTTCAGACTCTGCCACATAGTGATATTTTAAAATTTCCAGATATTTTGTATTTATATTTTGTAAGAATTCGTTACAATTAGTTCGAAATTACTAACGCAGTAGAAGAGAAATTTACGATGTATAAGCGGCAAAGGCCACAGAAATTCCGAAACAAAATTTATAAAAACAACGCAGTTTACTTTTTTAATTCTAAGGTCAGAGCTATAGGAAAATAAAATTGTTTTCTGAGATCCAAATATAAGCAATAATTTTTGATATTTGTTTTGATGTTTTAAAATAATTTAAAATGTAAGAGTGATTAATTTTATTAATCAAATTTGTTTTCCTTAAAATAATTAAGCATCAAATAAATGTATTTTCTGTATTGTTTTATTTAATTTATTTCAAGTGCTGGTCAGAGAGATTAATGCACCGTAAAAGTATAATATCGTTATTGATTTAATTTAAAGCTACATAACTGTGTGTTTTTTGATTAATACATGATAACACAGAAAAAAATAATAAAGTAGTACATAAAATGTAAATCAATGTTTCTGTTTTAACGTCAATTGCATTTTATTTGTTTTCCCGAAAACCATTTCGTAGTTCTCTAGACGCAATTTTCACCGAATAAACCATTCCCCACTCCCTGCTCTTATACTCACCATATCCGAAAAGCTCAGTGACTCACTTATAAAGAGAGTGTAGAGAGGCGATCGTCGCTCTTTTCGCATAATACGTATACGTTGCGTGCGCACATAGGAAATGTCGTATTTATATTTAGGCCGTTCCATTCACGTGCTCAGTGTTGACCAAGTGTGCTGTGAGCTAACACAAAGAGCGAGAGACTAGGAAATAGGAAAAGAAAAAGATAAATACTTTGATAAGGCTGGCAACGACCGATTATAACCATTCATAATTCATCTGATCGCATGGAAACTTGGAGATGGCGCACTTGGTGGTGAAGGTGATTGAGCGTTGTGAGAGTGCTACCGAAAATGCTCATTTGGGTAAGAGTTGTTTTTAATCAAGTTGAAGTATGTGCATAAGGGTGGTCCCAATTTTAAACTAAATTTAAGGTGGTATTTTTTTTGAAAATATGTGTTTTAGAGTCTGCGCATTGGATTCAAAGTTTATCACTCATACGTATTGATGCCATTGATCAAAAAATGTATTCTGTATGACTAACGTGTCGTATGGGCAATTTTTACAGAAACTTTAAGATCATTGCGCAACTCCTAAAACATAAAATAAAATAGTTTGGTTTTTGAATACATTTATTACTCGCTTCACATTAACTGGTGAGAGTATGGTTTTTTTTGGACCACCCTAATGTACATATAAGTCTACGAATTTATATGTACATCGATTTTGTGGAGCAAAAGACCTAGTGTTCTGTCATCATTTGAAAGCTTTTAGTATATTCATTTGTTAACACTTTATTTCTTATTTGTATTCTTTTAGATCTTTCAAAATGTGAACTGATGCTAATACCAGATGCAGTCTACCATCTTATGCGAAACACAGAGTTGCAGACCTGCGATCTAAGTGGCAACGTTTTGAAGAGCGTTTCACCAAAATTTTCGCAAAAGTTTAGCCACATCACAGGTGGGTCCTCTGCGTTGATATCTTAACAAAATTCTATAATGTTCAACCTTTCCAGATCTTAATCTTTCACACAATAAACTTTCGAGGCTGCCAGAAGAATTCACCAACTTGATCGCGTTGACCAAGCTGAATATCTCAAACAATTCGTTCATCGTTCTACCACAAGTAGTCTTTAAGCTGCAGAGTCTTGCTAGTCTGGATGCCCAGAACAATGCCATATTGGGTGAGTGCGCCTTATCCCTTGCTTTGAGTTCTTTATAATGATCTAATCCATTCACTCATCAGAGATTGATACGGATGAGGCTATAGCCAGCGACTGCTTGGCTCTCGTGGATCTTCGCAATAATCCGTTGAGCAGAAACTGCCGACGCAAGCTACAAGACTTCAAGACCTCCTTTGTTTTAGAGATCTCCAATGATGTTGAGGACGACTGGTAGATGAACATTTTTTCCAGCACACCAAAAACAAATCTCTCGTTATCTCGGAAGAGAGCGCTCAATGCGGCCCTCCTTCATCTTATTTATTCTGTTTATAAAATTTATATATTAATCAAAAAACAGTGAGTTGTTTCAAATTTACGTGGGCAAAATGTTGGAGCCAATACATTTGCAACTAAAAAGTCAATTCCTTGTGGATCAGGGAAGTTTATAGTCAATTTGATCAAAGTTAATCAACAACGAAAAAGAAAAGCACACCGAAATATACGTATGACAGCTATATGTTATAGGTCAACCTAAGGAATAGATCCGAAATAACGAAACGATATAAAAAATACCGGAAAATAATGCTCAATAATTCGCAAAAAAAATTTGTGGTATCCCTGAATTTTTTTATTGCGATATTCTTTTTCTTTAAATGGGACATTGTTGGAAATGCCACTCCTATTTTCCTGGAGTTTTTTTTCGGGGTTTTAACGATGTTTTGTTTTTTGTAAATGGGACTTTGTTGGAAATTTTATAACGAATTCAACAAGGTATGACATTCCAACATTTGATCATTATTTTCCAGGGGTTTGATTCTGGCCTTAAAAAAATCGATAAACGTATAAAAATACTAACAGCCAAAAGAATGACTGGGTCGTGCAGCTAATGCCTGAAGTCCCTATACTGAGTTTTTAAATTGTACCCAAAATTGTAATACCTCCATACGGTTATAAAAATGCTGGTTTCGGCAGTCAAATTTTCCCGCCCTTGAGAATTTTGCTTATCTATTCCCAAAATACGATTTTACCATATTAAAATTGGGTTTATCGATTTATAGATATACAGATTTATACTATATAGAAAACCACAGTTTTACTGATTTGTCCATAATCTTATTACTATGTATAATTGTGTTTTTAAAAAAATAATTATTATTAATTTACAATATTTGTTGTTTTCTGATTTTTCATTCGCATGAAACTTTTGTGTAGCTGCTCAGTGCCTGCAGCATAAGCTTAAGATCCACAAAGCTGTTGTAAAGCTCTGAGATAAATAAATTCGGGAGAGGAGATCGTTGGCTTACTCTACCACTTGAAATGAGTAAAAGTTAGGGAAATACCGCCATTAAGCTCAATTGAGAATACACTTAGAGAATTTGTATACAAAAAATTTTCAAAATGCAGTGCAACGTTACTTTAATAGAAAACTTTTTTGTTGTCTCTTCGTCTGTCCTGTAATTGCAATGTCATATTTACAGTGTTTTCGGTGTTCACAATTCAATTAATTGGCTTTATAAAAATTAATATTTGCATTTTTTAAATTCTTAAGCATTAGATTTTGGCCGAGTTCTCCGTCGATTTTTCAATCTGTATAAAACAGGTTTTGGCGGCAGTGCGCTCTATCCGCACTCGGGTTTTGGCCGCCGACTTTTGAGGCCCTCCACCGCCGAATGAGCGGGTTTGTCGTGCATCGCTGGGCCAGCAAAGGCGAACATGGCTTAAACCGAATACCAAGTTGGCACGAAATAGAGGGAGACAGCCCTGTATAAGCCCTGTATTTAGTGGCCAAGTCGCAGCTGCCAAGCTATAGCCAGGCCATCATCTCTGGCAGGCCAGAGAGCCGGAAAGCCAGCTGGTTGGTGGGGAGATAGCCAACTGATGACTGCCCAGACTCAGCCACAACTTGGCTCGAAAGCTGTGGGCCGAGAAGGCCGACTCAAGTCTGGGGCCAGCGATTTGGGAGCAGACACACCAGTCGCCAGCAAGTTATCCACTAGAGCGCGTTCGGGCACGGACAAGTGTTAGAGACAAGTCTGGTCTCAGATCACAACAAATCGGCATTTAATAACTCCAAAAACAACTAGGCGTCGGAACGCGACTCAAACGAAAAAAAGTATATTCGCTTTTTGTTTTGCCTAATATTTCTATTGTATTTTGTATATATTATTTCCCGTAACACATTTGCGAAAGCTCTTCCCCTCTGCGTGGCTTAACTAAATGGCCTGAGGCCTAGCACTCTAGCTTGCAAACAAAATTCGTAATGGCTCACCAAACAACTTTTGTGATTTTCTGGTGAAAAAAATAAAAAATTGTCGGTGATCAACATTTTTTTAGAGTGCTTTTATTGTTTTAAACCGTTGCAAGTGCACGTCACATATTCAGTTTTGTTAAACTGATTAAGTCAACTAGGATAATTGTTAACACGTTTCGTAAGCCCTTTTATTCTGTGGACTAAACTGGTAAGAATGCCAAATAACTAAGAAAATCCAAAGAAAAAGTTCGGTCCAAGTCTGTAACTTACTGGTAAAGTGCCAATTTTGTTTGGTATATTATTTGTTGGACATGATATTTTGTTAGGACCACCAAATGTGTGAGCCTCGCGTTCGCGGGCTAATCACTTAAAACCAACAACCTTCGAAAGAAAGCATATATTTGTTTTAGATTTCAAATTGATCACCTTACAAAATGCAGCTGTGCTAATTCGAGACAAACTTAAATGTATGATGCATCTAAAAAGTATTGACATAGGTGTGAGACTTTTATTTTCTGGGTATTGAATGTAATCACCGTCGGCATCTATCAACTCGAGTTCTCGGAACTAGCATTACTAACCAAATGCGATTGGAATCCCAATTCCACAGGCAGGTAAAGAATTTAGAGGGCTAGACAGTGCCGTCAAGTGGACTATGGCGCCCTGCTTCCGATAGCAGGGCATTTACAAAAGAACCGATCTTTGGCTTTCTCCAGAAAATGTACAGTAATCCACTGACAGAATAAATTGCTTTTGATTCTGATCTGAGAAAGTTCCATTCAATTGTGTTTGACCGTGTGCGGAAGTGTGGCAGTGAGGAGAGTTCTCATCGCCTTGATGATTTCATACAAGTTTATTGTGATCATCATCGTGACGTCTGTCTTCTGTGGATGGATGCTGCACTTCAATTAGCTGTTAGCCGAACATAAACTAATTGATTTATGGGGCTTAAGAAGCCATTTATCTGGGATTTACAAATTGCCTTAAAATTGATCGAAGACTTAAACACCTGCTACTATTTTGATAGTTGGTACGGAACCGTAACGAATATTAACAAATGTATAATATATTGATGCAGTCCAACTTCCATGACAGCATCTGCCACCAAAAATGTTTGAGTTATATAATTATAATCTACTTTAGGTGCACTTATAATCGTTAAAGTTATAACTACTTAGAGTTAGGGAAGTTTGAATTGTGGATGATGATTAACTATGTATTATATTCAATATTATATTTAATTAAAATATTCGAGTTTTGTGCAAAACCAAAATCTAGGTACAATTAATTGGTCTTCCAGTACTGATGGTACATGGGTACACATGTACATGGGTATTCATGGTTAGTGCGTGGGTATCTCACAGTTGGAATGTTGTCGCAACGCCGCCGCCAAAGAAGCTATAGCCTATAAGCTGTTGTTTTCCAGAGCTTGAGCACTGACTCTGACGCTTACGCATGCCGATGAGGCAAGCTCGCTCCAGGAGCGAAAGAGCAAGAGTGAGTGGGATAGAAGGAGAGCGAGAGAGAGAGGGACAGCTTAATAAGCGCACAGCGCATGCGCAGCCCGAGTTCGCGATACATACCGGACGTACACGCAAAGAAACAAGTTACAAGAACATTACAGTCGAGTGTAGAGTGTCGAATTCACGAGGCAAGAAATCCCTACTGCAAGTTAATCTGCATATTTGGACTAAGAAGTTTATGTAAATCCATAAGGCACATGTTTTTCATTTATCGAGAACAATGAAAAAACAGTCCGAAATCAGTATTTGGGTTCTTTAAAATCCGTTTAGGCTATTAAATTAATAAAATTAAATTATAAATTGGTTAACCATTTGTATGATTTGTTCTATTGCTAACTTTTATTATTTTTTTAATTAACGAAACCTGATTTTTGGGGATTCAAGAATTGCTTTTAAGCAGAGCTCATAAAAATGGCTATTAATGAGCAAAATATTTTTTTCTTTTAAAAGGGCGGTTATCTATATATTTGCAATCGTTTTATGGACCAATACACTTTGTTTTTGTTTTAAGTGCTGAGAATTGAGAAATATATTTTTATGAGTGCATTATTGACAGATAAAGCTTGCATGTCCAATTTGTATTATTTTTTATTACTATCCCTTTGGCATTGATAAATAAAATTTGCAAGAAAAACCAGATGGCTGTTTTTAAAGACTCACATCTCCCTCAAATGCAAAGAAATTATAACACCAGAAGCACTCTCCATAGTTTGTAGGACTTTTGCCAGCAACTCAAGGTGTTTAAATATACACCAAATGGACATACTTATAAAAACAAATAATTCCTATTTTTCCAAACGTCACTTATAATAATTTCAAATTTAAGGGTTGTTTTTGATATATTTTAGTTTTTGAAAAAAAACGTAAAACTTAAAACTTAGTCATTAAAAAGCATTACGGTAAAAAAATATAAAACAAGAATCCTTTAGTGGATAGATTTGAAGAAAGTTCACTGTCCCAACTTAAAGATCGACCCAAAGTACAGGCCTCTCCCCTATGTATGTCCTAAATGCAAGGAGATGATTGCATATCGTGTTACAAACTTCGAACGAGGGTATGCAAACATATTTTTTTTCCGTGCATTCGTATTTGAACTGGTACCCATACCTAAGCAACTCTCAGTCGTCGCGTAATCATTAAACCATAGCTTGGATCTGGAGGGAGTGATGAGGGGGCGGAATTGTGGAGTAAGTCGAAGCGACCAGGGGTGGATTGAAACGCAGAGCGAGCAACAAGTCAAAATACCAGTTTTTTCCGAGCTAAGCGAGCTGAGCGACAAAGCGAACCTATCTATAGATACCTTCTTGTGTGTGAGTGTGAGTGTGCCTGTGAAGCTGCATACAAAAGATACTCACCTACCTGTATGTATCCACATGCCTACATGAGTAAAGGTGTGCTTATGTACATCGATCTTGGCTGTTTGTGTCGAGACTTTTTTACATGAGAAAGAACACTAATGCAATTAATTTTAAGTTTTTCGCGACTCCCAGTAGACAAATTTTTAGTTAATTGTACAACGATGCTTCATAAAAACTTTAATGATTTTCCGGTGCAATTGGTTTTTTTTTTGTTCGAAAAGTGTGCGTAACTTTTTGCAATAGCAAATTTTTTTTTGTGTTTCTAAACATTTTTTCTCATGTTCGTGCATATTTTATTTCCTATCTTGAGTTCTGGTTAGAAGATTTATATCGGTTACATGTAATAAAACTTGTTTTACTTATATATATACTTATGTATTTACTTTTATTTATTTATGTCAGTCTAATAGCAAAAAAGTAAAAACCGAATTCATCAATAGCACGGATAATTTTATAATTATAAATCAATATTTTTTCCAAGGGCAGGCATTTGCACCATTGAAATTGAACAAGCATTTACCAGCATGGAAAGTTTGATTTAATTTAGCCTCTATAAAAACACATAACATTAATGATTTCGTTGATAGAATTTTGATTTTGTTTCTCGCAACAGCCTTCTATCTTCCTCTTAAAAAAAAAAGCAAGTGACACAAATGAATCATTGCATTTTTTATACTTGAGTCAACATCTGCCCTAAGCAACGTCGGCTCATAGGACCCTGCAAAATATTTGTATTTGTATTCAGCTATAAATATACCCAAAGCTGCAATATTAAAATTTATATATGCATATACTCTAACATAACATTTTTAAAGTCCAGAGTTGAGAATACTTAAGTATATATTTGCAAGTTCCGATTGAAGTTAGCAGTAATCTAGCGGCTTTCCGGTAAAAGCAAAACAAGTTCTTTTCGCATTTAGCCAGATCCGTGACTCATTCGAATGATAACAGTTGGGTTTGTCTATTGAAACGTGACAGCAACCTTGACAAGTACATATTTCCACTGCAGTACTGGTATTGCAGTATTGCTCACTCGAGCAACGGCAGCAGGATTAGGATTGGCCCAGGTGCACCAGAAGGTTGCCTTGCCAGGGCTGTGGTGCCAAAATGCGCTCCTACGTGCCACTGCTCTTTCCCTATAATGTATCTGAATCTGTATCTGTATCTGTACCAGTGCCCATCTGAGTCCAAATCCCAATCTGTGTGTTGGCTGGCTGGCTGAAAACCCGTTCTTGCAAAAAATGGTAAGCTCATATCGAGTAGCATTTTAGCCAGTGCTGGTTTTGCTATACTTGTGCCGTCGTCTTGGCCCGACTTGAACTGGCTTTTGGCTTGGCTTTGTCGCAATGCAGTCGGTACGGGAGATCCGCTTCAAGGCGATCGCCTGACAAATATGGAAAAATTGTCGTAGGTGTCTGGCTATATAAATCTGCTAGCCTCTACTTCTACATCGGCTCTTTTGTATTGCGTGAACCAAGACACTTTTATGCAATAAGTGTAAGTGGACTGGATGCATACATATATGAAACTAGTTTATACTTTTACTAAAATCAATTCTTGTTAATCTAAAGCAAGCCCTAAAGATAAGAAATTAGATTTGTGCCACAGAAAATAATGTATTTCCTTAACTGGAGTGTCCAACTACTCAAATCATTTGGTTTTTTGCAAACCAGTGTAGTTTGCATGTATCCAATGGCAGTCTCGGGTCTCGTTAAGTCTGAGTTTTGTGACCTATCAATCTTGGCATTGAACATCTGTCCATCAGCGGAGGTCCAAGCTTGTCCATCATAGCCATATTTAAAGCGCGAAACAAAGATACATTAGAACACAAGTCCCAGCGAAACCCGCTTGAAAAATAGGTTCTGGTAAAAGCTAAGCCGGGCTCCACATGAATCACGTATGTATCTTTGTATTTTCGTATCTCGTTGTTGAGCTTCAGATATTTGGGGCGAAGGTCGTTGACAGAAGGCCGCCAAGCACAAAAGGCGAGGTGGAGTTTGTTTAGTCAAAGACAGAGCATTTTTGGATAGCGCTACTTTGCAAATACCTTCGTGACTTTCTGCTGCACTTGGAGTCACTGATTGGGGAAATATTTAAAGCTATGGTGGTTTCATTTTGGTTATTATAGTGCTAGGAAACAACAACAAAATAAGAAAATGTAAAGAAATCAACTTACTACGCTTTTAAAACACCATAAATGTAATTTCTTTTTTAAGTTGCCATATTGCATATTATAACTCATACGCCATGTTGTCAAGGTCCAATCGGAATTAAGCGTGCAATGTTAAACCTTTAACTGTCTTTTGGTAAAAAAAATGACATGTTTATCGGAACGCTGCCGCAATTCGATCAACTAACATTAGTAGCAATATGTATAAACATATATAAGATATGCGATTTCAGAGCTAAATGTTTCAAGTTTCCCTAAAAGTTTTAAGAATTGATTTTTTCATAACCTAATTTTGAAGCTCCAGAAAATGTGTATTTATACTCAGCCATAATGCTTTCCTTTTTGAATGCAAGACTAGCGCAGTATTTTTTATTCTTTTAGCATACTTACTAGTGAGAGTTCAATCATTGGAGTCCATAGCACTAATTGTACGTACTTTTCCGCAGCCCGAAACCCATTTTGCTGTTTTTCTGGCTTTGGAGTGCCCATCGAGGAATTAGCAAGCAAAATGATCTCGGACCAGGGGCCATTTTGGGCCGCTCTCCTGCTGCTTTTCCTCAGCGGACAGACAGTGGCCCAGTCCAATTACGTGCAGCACGGCGATAGCGGCAACTACACCACCAATGGACTGCCCGAGGAGGCGACCCTGGACGGCAAGGTAAGCACTTCAACCGCACTTAGTCTAACATTCCTTGAATTGCTAGTTAGCCAATCTAGTTGGCCCTCCGTCAATCAGCTAAGCTTATCCGCTTAAACGGCCGTCAGTGTCGGAGAGTCCATCTTACCGCACAAAGGAGATTATACAGAGAAAATGTATCACCGAAGCTATATGTCCTTACCGTTTTCCCTATACACTTCTCTTAACAGTTAAATATTCAAATTAATTACTGCCATTAAGTATATGTTTTTGTAAATATAAGGAAGATATCAACATCGGAACATAACATTCTATTGATGTTTTAGAGGATTCTCCCCTATAAGTCCCTCTGAAAAGATAAATGTTTAAATGAATTACTGCCATTAAATATATGTTCTTATAAATAAAGATTTAATTTTGAGGAATACATCAAAATATCACTTTCAAAATCCAATTTAGAGGATACTCCCCTATACACTACCCTAAAAAGTTCAATATTAAAATTAACTACATCTTTTAAATATATGTTTTTGTAAATTTAGATTTGATGTTTAAAGAAGATATTAACATCGGATCATCACATTCTATACCTGATCTAGCCAAATGATTTTTATTGACCATAGTAACGTTACTACATATTTTTGCTAGTGAAGTGCACCTACAACAGTCAACTATAAATGCGTTTGTGGAGCGTTTGCATATATTTTTTTGGTACGGTAGTGTTATATCAGTAGCTCGTTAGCTCTTTCGACTGCACTTCCTACACAAGTGGCTGCAAACTCACAATGGCTGTGCGGTTACACCCAGAGGTGCCACAGATCCTAGGGAAACTCACAGGGCATTGTTTTGGGGCGAAATGGAGCACGAGCGTGACAGAAAGTTCCCACTAAATATGCATGAACCAGCCACCTACTTTGCGATTGAATGTGTAAGCTCATAAGCTCAAGACATGGCCACTTTTTATTATTTGCATTCCAAACTACGAGTATTTAAAAACATATTCATTTTTATATCTGCTTACTCAGGTCAAAAAATTTAAGAGAATGTGTTGCTTTTGGAGCTAGAAAATGTCTTGCTTTTTCATTCAGTTTTAAAGAAATCCGATTTATATTTTTTCATTCCCGATTATGATTCGGCCTTTTTCGGTTACCGGTTTTGGCTCTAGTTTTAATTTTTTCAAATCCAAGCAGATAAAAAATATGGAACTATAAAACGGCAACCCTATTAAAACATCTTATTCCTAAACTCAAAACAAAATTTCAATCAATTTACTTTGACGAAAAATCGGATATATATTATTTTATTTTTTAGAATAATTGTATGTGTATTTGGGTTTGGATACACAGTATTTTAAGACAGTGTTGCCTTGTCGGTCCCTCAATGTTTAAATATTTTAAATATTTTCTTAAAAGGTAACCAAGCTGGACGACATCAGTCCGCTGATATTTCTGAACCGAACGAAGGCTGCTCTCAACTGTGCCGCGGGCTCCATGCAGGTGATTGCCATTCCCGCGGGGTAACTTCCTCCTTTGGCCAGTATTTATCGATTTTCCACCAACAGGTCGACCTCAAGTTCAACGATCCGTTCCATGGCATCATCCAGGCCGACTACGATCGCAGTAGTGCGTGCCGCGTGAGTGGCAAAGGAGCACTTAGCTACCGACTCGAGTTGCCGCTGAAAGGATGCGGTACCATACAGGTGGGTGCCCCAAATTCACATCGTGTGGGTGAACCTAATCCATTGCTATCCCCTCCCACTTCTTCTTGCAGAACCCCACCCGTGTGTTCACCAACAACATCATAGTCCGCTTCCACGCCAATCTGGAGATGGACGGCGACGAGATCATCACGATAGTCTGCCGCTATCCACCGCCCGTGCCCTCACTTCCGCCCGCCCTACCGGCGCCAATGTAAGTCCTCCAACATTTCATAGAAATGCCTAAGACCCTATCTAAAAATGTAAACAAGAAAAAGTCCATTAAATGCATCCAAGAAGAAAGGCAATTATGTGGAGGTTAAGTTATTCACTAGCATAAAAAGCCATAGACAAAGTTCTTAATTTAAATATGTGTTACCTGATTCATAAAAAAAAACGTTCTAATTGAAAACCCTTCACACTTGGTTGCTAATAACAAAGTAAAATTAATTTAGATGAAAATATAAAATTTAAGCCTCTTAGCACCTATGTAAAAGGACCTGAACAATTTGTGTAAAAATTATACAAATAAGTTACATGGAAAATAGACTTTCGAGGTTAATCATTACCTAACTTGAAAGTTAGCAAATTAAATTGTTCCTTAATTGATTTCTAGGAAAGAATATCTCAATAAAATAAAGTTGGTGTGCTAAAGCAGGCTATATATGTCTAAACGCCCTTGAGAATTTTATAGGATGAAATACAGTTTTAAATATGACTTAATATTCTTGAATTATATTAAACTTAATAGACAAGCGAAAGTTATTAACATGCAGTTATTTAGGTTCTTACTATTGTTATATTTGTGGCCAGACAGAGTGGTAAATATCCTATTATGATAGCTTGCTCCTGTTTATGCCTGAAGATTTCTTTGGTCGTTGGATGGATGTTTGGGGACTCAGTTTTGAAAATTGGAAACATGTTAACCCTGGTTTCTCCCACAGCCTGAACCCCATTGCCACCAGTTCCGTGCTGCAGCCGCCGCTGAAGAGCATCCAGATCCTGATGATCATCTGCGCCATCATGTTCCTGACCCTGCTGCTCCTGGGACTGGCGGTCTCCTACTACTGCCTGCGCAGTCGCTCCATTCCGGTGGTGCGTCGCCTGCCGATGAGCATGGGCAGCGGATCGGAGATCACCAAGCTGAGTGGCAGCAGTGTGGGCAACATCAGCGCCTTCGAGGGCGTTAAGATCCCCCGCGCCCACGCTGCCCTCCAGGCGGTCTACAGCTCCTCGGGCAGCGAGGGTGCCCTCATTCCCTCGGACTACCCCAGCGAATCGCACTCGGAGATCGAGGAGATCGACACGCGATCGCTGCCCTTCAGCTCGGCGGGCAGCTTCGAGAACCGCGCCTTCGTCCACGAGACCTCGAGCATCTACAGCGACCACTATGCGCCGGCCCAGGAGATGCCGTCGGCCAATGCGGTGATGACCACCACGGCGGTGACCCGCCATGCCATTCCCCTCCAGGAGGCCGTCGCCGCCGGGGCCGCCGATTCGCCCAAGTTCGATGTGCAGGTGCGGGTGAAGAAGTCGCCACCGCCGCCGCCCTCGCCGGTCACCTCGGATACGGAGAGCGTGGCCACGCTGCGTCCGGACCGCAACAACCTGTCGACCATCATGGAGGCGTACGAGGACCGCGAGAGCGTCCTCACCCTCGACTCGCTGCCGCCGCATGTGGAGACGATGCACTCGCAGTTCACCTACGTTCCGGAGCTCCATCCGGCGCCGCAGGTGCCCCACTCGATTCCACTGCCACCGCCGGCGGTGGCCGAGCCGAAGTTCTCCGTGTACACGCGCACCCACCACGAGGTGGTGGACGGACGACCGGAGACCTGGTCGGACTACACCGACGGCCCGGCGCCCAGCGAGATCACCGACCTGTCGTCCGAGGTGCCGGACATGACCGTGGACACGATGCACTACTACGAGGACGAGTTCGTGCCGGCGGTGCAGCCGCCGGTGACCTCGCACACGGTGGACGACGTCTACCTGCGGACGGTCACCGAGAAGAAGACCATCGAGGACATCGAGAGCCACAAGCGCCGGGTGACCGAGTACAAGAGCAAGCCGCGGGCACCGCTCCCGCCGCCGCCGGTTGATCCCAAGTTCGATGTGCGGGTGCGCAACTATCCCAGCGACCGGGAGCAGCAGCTCTGGGAGAACTTCTCGGACATATCGAGCGCCTCCGGGCTGACCCTCACGCCCAAGATGGAGCGCAGCGAGCTGAGCCTGCCGCCGGCGGAGCTGCCGGCCCAGATCCACGACAACAAGCTGAAGCTGACCAGTCCCGAGCTGGTGGGCAACATGAAGCCGATTGAGGTGCCACCGCAGGACAAGGATGTGCCCAACTGGGACGTGCTCATCCGCATCCTGGAGGAGCCGGAGCTGTCGGAGGTCGGCGGCGACGATGCCAGCTCGGTGCACAACCTGAGCTACGACGACCGGGCCAAGTGGAAGGAGATCATCACGACGCAGTCCTCGCTGCGCACCATGCTCACCGAGGCGGTGGTGCGCGAGGACTTCGAGCGCATCCGCCAGGACACGCGCTACGAGCGGATGTTCGAGCCGCAGACCTGGGACGTCATCATCCGCATCCTGGCCCCGCCCGGCGACGATGATCCGGACGTGGAGCTGCGTACCCCGCGACGCGGCAAGAAGGCCTCGCCGCAGCCCTGGGACACCCGCTCGCGCCGCAGCTCGCTGCCCACGCTCTACGAGTACGACAGCGACGGCGGCTCCAGTGTGCGCACCATTCGCAACGACCCGGGCATGCCCGGCATCTTCGTCGGCGGACCTGGAGCCGGAGGACCCGGCGGCCTCGGCGGACCCTTCAACCTGCAGCGCTCGCGCCGCAGCTCGCGCACCTCCTACCAGACCGACCACAACGACTTCCGCTCCATGTCCGAGGTGACCGTCGACTTCGGGCGTCCCCAGGTGGACCATCCGGACAACGCGAGCGACGCCAGCAGCACCTACCGGATGCACTACTACGACGACGACGACCGGCGCTCCTTCCACCGCTCCCTCAGCCATCCCTCCCTGGCCCGATCCGCCAGCGAGTTCACCGAGCACTGGACCGCCCCCGACGAGATGGAGGTCTCCTCCCCGGAGGGCACTCCACACACTCGCCGGGCCCGACAGGTAGGGATTGGGAACTGTGGGTCGGGGGGATCGGAGATCGGGGATTGAAGATCGGGAATCGGAGATTGGGGATCGGAGATCGGGGATTGAAGATTGGGGATCGGAGATAGGGGATCTGAGATCGGAGATTGGTGATCGGAGATTGGGGATTAGGAATCGGAGATCAAAGATCGGGTATCCCCAACTACTTTCCTAGGGCTCTTAGTATTGGAAATTCTACGGATTTTAAGTGGTTAAAAAGGCACCTTTTTTAATTTGGCTTTTATTATTACAAACAATATGTTTTGCTTAAATGATTTAATTTATGGCAGATGCGTGTTGGTTTAATATTCAAAAAATTATAGTTTCGTTCTTAATTTTTAAAATCCCTAATTGGAAACAGTACATGTTGTAAAATTGAATAAGTGTTGTTTTGAGGAAAACGCAATTGAACTGAGATAAATCAGGGTAAATGACCTGAAGGGCGCAACTTCCAAAACCTTAATCTACGAAAGTATTGATCCGATCAATTTGAGTTTGTTTTAGGCATATTTAACCAGTTTAAAAAACATATATTCAAAATTAATATTTTTCTTCGTAACTTTCATTTTAAAGCATCTTTAAGTTTAAAAAGTCACAAGTTCTCAGAAAACTCAGCCAGGGTTTAAAGACTTTTCTGCAATTTTTAAAATATAGTTAAAGAAATAAATCAAAGTTTATTTGAGGTTATTTGTGTATCAAAAGGCTTTACCTTCATTCCAAATATTCTTGACTAATTTATCAAACAAAGTTTAATGCTAAAACATTCAAACGTGAAGCCCAATTGTTATATACACAGTTATTCGAATTTTGTACAATTGTGATTTGAAAATGTTAAATTTGATCTCTTAGAAAATATCTCTCCCAGATTTATGTGAAATGTGAGGTACATTAAAGCATTGCAATATACATTTAAAAATTCGTATTTCTTATTTCTCCATACCTACACATTTATTAATTATTATTATTTATTAATTTATCGCTATACTCACCCATTGCAGCCCCTGACGTCGACTCACCTGGCTTTGGCCTCTGGAAGATCCGGCGAACGCGTTCTGGCCCAGACCCAGACGCAGAGTGAGTACGTGGAGACCCACCGAAGGGTCTACCACGCCGAGAAGGAGATGCCCCTGCCGCCGAGGAAGTGGTAGAAAGATCGGTGGACGTAACATACTGTTAACCTAATTACTGTTAACGTAACGTAACACGAAACGGGGTTTCAGTGTTAAACTCTATGTTGAAGATGTGTGTTCCGGAAACTGCTGCAAGCATCAGCCTCCTCAGGAAGGAGGGCAGATCAGCCTGTTTCGAGAATGCCCCTTATATTTCATTTGCATTAATGGGTCGTATAAGTACTTAACCTTACAATAATTAACAAACGTGCCAATTACAATTGCCTGACAAAGTAAGCCACCATAAAAACAAAAATTAACCGTCAGTTTGAAGCGGATGAAGTTGATGGACGATAATCAGAACGGACGAGAGGAATACCTACCAGCATTTTGGGCCTGCTCTTGACTTTTTTTGATACTTTAATTTGCGAAAGGTACTAACTAACTAAAGGCATTTAAATTCCAAGCTTAATAGAAGTAGTAAGAAAATGGAAACTCCATTCGATTCGTGTGTTCTGAACTCCCAACAGAAATTTCGCATTTACACAAACATGTTCAATAGAAAAGAAAGGGATAGATAATGAAAACATAGAATGTGAATGTTTTAAATTTAGTAAAAAGTGTTCTTTAGGTAAACACGTTGTCGTCGTTTTTTTTATAGGACATTCGTTTGAGCAGTCACAACATGAAGCCCTTTTATACTCTCTAATATAATGACTTTTCTAATACATTGCGAATGCTTACATTCTAATTTCTAGTTACAAATGTATATATGTATATATACAAAGATCAAACTGCCACATGCACACGATTTTGACCAGATTCGAAGATCATTACTTTTGAAATATACTCTCTAGGTGGAATAGATACACAGGTTTGAAATAAAAGTATTACTACAGATTAGTGTTCCCGAATGCAACGTCTTCCTGATTCATATATATTGGAATTGAGTACGAGTAGGCTAAATGTTCGGGACGGAAAGCTGCAACCGTATCCTAATGAAACAAAGACATACAGATCGATAATATACGGGGCCTCAATTGGATTCCTTTCAAAGGATCACACAATACTTTCTCATGATTATCAATTTTTTCGTAACATAGTACTAATCCGTCCAAGACATATACTTTAAGTTTAATTGATAAATAATGATAATACGCAAATAGACAAACTTACATATTTAATTCGCTTTTTGGTTAGGCAAGCCTTACAAAAATGTGTCTAACCTAAAACACTTGAAATAAATTATAAATAAATATACCCACTAACAAAGTATGGTTTGTTTTTATTTTTGTTATGGAGATAAACAATTGCTCTCATTGCAAGTTTATTATATTAGTAGTAGCAAACCGAAAAAAGGGAATTTAAAATACTCTCTGCTGCTGTTTGTAAGGTTAGGAAGTTGGGATTTGCTATGGGTTTTATTTTTAGCCAATCAATCCGACCTACCAAATTTCATAAGGATCGGCCGAATATATCCTATATAATTCATTTTATGACCGTTACTTGCACTCCCTTGCATTGTAAAATAGCCTGAAAAGGGTAGATATGTCAAATTCAAAAGAATTATGAGTTTTAAGAATGCATCATATGAATAATTTTGGAAAATATATAATTATTTCTAATTTTCCGATGTGTTGTAAAAGAGTGACTCAAAATTGGACTTCGAGGGTCCATAACTTTACCAAATTTAATCCGATTCCAAAGTGGCATACCTCTAATGACTTGTGGTTCGATTCTCTGAAAATCTGCATTCAAAATTTTCAATTTAGCGTTTATCAATATTTTGACCCATTTTCATGTTGGTTATTTCTAATTTTCCGATGTGTTGTAATAGAGTGACCCAAAATTGGACTTCTAGAGTCTATAACTTTACCAAATTTAATCCGATTCCAAAGTGGCATACCTCTAAAGACTTGTGGTTCGATTCTCTGAAAATCTGCATTCAAAATTTTTAATTTAGCGTTTATCAATATTTTGACCCATTTTCATGTTGGTTATTTCTAATTTTCCGATGTGTTGTAATAGAGTGACCCAAAATTGGACTTCTAGAGTCCATAACTTTACCAAATTTAATCCGATTCCAAAGTGGCATACCTCTTAAGACTTGTGATTCGATTCTCTGAAAATCTGCATTCAAAATTTTTAATTTAGCGTTTATCAATATTTTGACCCATTTTCATGTTGGTTATTTCTAATTTTCCGATGTGTTGTAATAGAGTGACCCAAAAATTGGACTTCTAGAGTCCATAACTTTACCAAATTTAATCCGATTCCAAAGTGGCATACCTCTAAAGACTTGTGAATCGATTCTCTGAAAATCTGCATTCAAAATTTTTAATTTAGCGTTTATCAATATTTTGACCCATTTTCATGTTGGTTATTTCTAATTTTCCGATGTGTTGTAATAGAGTGACCCAAAATTGGACTTCTAGAGTCCATAACTTTACCAAATTTAATCCGATTCCAAAGTGGCATACCTCTAAAGACTTGTGAATCGATTCTCTGAAAATCTGCATTCAAAATTTTTAATTTAGCGTTTATCAATATTTTGACCCATTTTCATGTTGGTTATTTCTAATTTCCGATGTGTTGTAATAGAGTGACCCAAAATTGGACTTCTAGAGCCCATAACTTTACCAAATTTAATCCGATTCCAAAGTGGCATACCTCTAAAGACTTGTGAATCGATTCTCTGAAAATCTGCATTCAAAATTTTTAATTTAGCGTTTATCAATATTTTGACCCATTTTCATGTTGGTTATTTCTAATTTTCCGATGTGTTGTAATAGAGTGACCCAAAATTGGACTTCTAGAGTCCATAACTTTACCAAATTTAATCCGATTCCAAAGTGGCATACCTCTAAAGACTTGTGAATCGATTCTCTGAAAATCTGCATTCAAAATTTTTAATTTAGCGTTTATCAATATTTTGACCCATTTTCATGTTGGTTATTTCTAATTTTCCGATGTGTTGTAATAGAGTGACCCAAAATTGGACTTCTAGAGTCCATAACTTTACCAAATTTAATCCGATTCCAAAGTGGCATACCTCTAAAGACTTGTGAATCGATTCTCTGAAAATCTGCATTCAAAATTTTTAATTTAGCGTTTATCAATATTTTGACCCATTTTCATGTTGGTTATTTCTAATTTTCCGATGTGTTGTAATAGAGTGACCCAAAATTGGACTTCTAGAGTCTATAACTTTACCAAATTTAATCCGATTCCAAAGTGGCATACCTCTAAAGACTTGTGGTTCGATTCTCTGAAAATCTGCATTCAAAATTTTTAATTTAGCGTTTATCAATATTTTGACCCATTTTCATGTTGGTTATTTCTAATTTTCCGATGTGTTGTAATAGAGTGACCCAAAATTGGACTTCTAGAGTCCATAACTTTACCAAATTTAATCCGATTCCAAAGTGGCAAACCTCTAAAGACTTGTGATTCGATTCTCTGAAAATCTGCATTCAAAATTTTCAATTTAGCGTTTATCAATATTTTGACCCATTTTCATGTTGGTTATTTCTAATTTTCCGATGTGTTGTAATAGAGTGACCCAAAATTGGACTTCTAGAGTCTATAACTTTACCAAATTTAATCCGATTCCAAAGTGGCATACCTCTAAAGACTTGTGATTCGATTCTCTGAAAATCTGCATTCAAATTTTTCAATTTAGCGTTCATCAAAATTTTGACCCATTTTCATGTTAGTTATTTCTAATTTTCCGATGTGTTGAATAGAGTGACCCAAAATTGGACTTGTAGAGTCCATAACTTTACCAAATTTAATCCTATTCTAAGGTGGCATACCTCTAAAGACTTGTGGATTGATTCTCTAAAAATCTGCATTCAAAATTTTCAATTTAGCGTTTATCAAATTTTTGACCCATTTTCATGTTAGTTATTTCTAATTTACCGATGTTTTGTAAAAGAGTGACTTAAAAGTGTACTTCGAGAGTCCATAACTTACCAAATTTAAGCCGATAATGCAGCGCAAAATCGACTTAACTTCATTGTTTATAGTAATATTGGCATACAAATTAAAATTTATTCGTTCTGTAATAACTGAATGGGTATATAAACTTCTTCTTGCCGAAACTGCAAAATTTGAAACTATGTGACAGTGGAATCAGATTTAAATTGCTTTATTTTTAGTATATTTGTGGTATATCGTTTAATGTTCCGGCGTATTTTTTGGAAGCCCCTTACGCGGTCACACTGAACTCAGCCTGGTGATGGAAAATAACAGACGTGCTTTCGATAATTTTATTGGGGAAACTATCGATTAAGCTATGTTTAAAGTGTTTATGTTTATTTTAAAATTCAATTTTGGGGCATTTCCTGTACAGGATAGATGCATTTTTCTCGCTACCTGTTACCTGTTAGGCAGGGTACGGAATAAGAAGAGGACATATGTGAAAATGCTCGATGTCCCCTTCCAGAAATGCATGTGCTAGAACGAGATGGGGAATAGTTGCAGCTGCCGCACAATAAGATTTTCGAAAGCATGATTTTTAGCAACAAGGTGAAAATCCTTCAGCCAAAATAAAAGTATTACGAGAAGGCTAGAAAATTTATTCGGTACACTTGAAGATATTATGTCCAAAATAAATATTTTTGAGAAAAACGCAGAATAACAAAGTATACTGCGGCAGAATAAATGAGCGGCGACCTATTTTTAGCGCTTTATACTGAATTTGAACTACAATTTCAAGACTGCTTTTTTGTTTTTGAAAACCAATCTAAAAAAACTTTCCAATTATTTATTATTTTATTTTCGAATTCGTACTGAAAACATATCGATAGTATCAAATGAATATCGAATTTTGTTCCAGCTCTATCGCAGCAGGCCGGGCAAATTTGTTGGACAAGCGACAATTCTTTCCTTTTTTCTATCCTACGTGAGCCCCTCGAACGTGAGACTCTCGAACGGACTTGATTCAGAACACGCAAAAGCCGCGGTTTCAAAAGCGGCAACCGGCAGGCTTCTGAAATCGGAACGCGCCAAACGCACACGGATAACCATAACCATCTCGGACACGCTCCGCCTGGGAAATATCAGAAATCAGCCCACTCTGGAGCAAGCGAATCGTGTTCGGGCGGGAACTGAAAGTGAGTAGTAGTAGTGAAGCGGCGATACATCGATCCGTATTAAGATCCACATCTAGATCCAGGCAGAATCCCAACAAAATCAACAACCTTGGCTGAGGCACAGGCGCCATGAGCGTGGACACGTACGCGCCCAGCTCGGCGCTCTCGTTTTTGGACATGGACGACAACGAGTTGCTGCCAGGAGCGGACACGCAGCCGACGCAGTACGATTACCGCGACTTCACCATGCCCTCCACCTCGCAGAGCCAGACGCAGGGCGACCAGCTGGAGCTACACGTGAGTTTGTGCCCATGACCAATGGCCCAATAGCCACCACAGCTAATCCACATGTCTTTCCTCCCTCCCTTAGCCGCGCCGATCTGGTGGGGACTCGCATCCGCGATTGGCCAGCATCACCAACGATCTGGCCGACCTGCAGTTCGAGGAGGAGGACGACGAGGCCGGTAGCTCGTACGTGAAGGAGCTTCCCGCTCACGCTTGCAAATACTGCGGCATCCACGACCCGGCCACGGTCGTCATGTGCAACAATTGCCGCAAGTGGTTCTGCAACGGACGCGGCAGCACTTCCGGCTCGCACATCATCAACCATTTGGTGCGGGCGAAGCATCGCGAGGTGACCCTGCACGGCGAAGGACCCCTGGGCGAGACCATCCTCGAGTGCTACTCGTGCGGCGTTCGCAACGTCTTCGTGCTGGGCTTCATCCCCGCCAAGGCCGACTCTGTGGTCGTGCTGCTCTGCCGGCAGCCGTGCGCTGCCCAGAACTCGCTGAAGGACATGAATTGGGACCAGGATCAGTGGAAGCCCCTGATTGCCGACCGGTGTTTTTTGCCCTGGTTGGTGAAGCAGCCCAGCGAACAGGGCCAGCTCCGGGCGCGCCAAATCTCGGCCGCCCAGATCAACAAGTTGGAGGAGCTGTGGAAAGACAATATCGAGGCCACGTTCCAGGACCTAGAGAAGCCGGGTATCGACTCGGAGCCGGCCCAGGTGCTGCTGCGCTACGAAGACGGCTACCAGTACGAGAAGACGTTCGGGCCGCTGGTTCGCCTTGAGGCCGACTATGACAAGAAGCTGAAGGAGTCGGCTACCCAGGAAAACATCGAGGTGCGCTGGGACGTGGGCCTTAACAAAAAAACCATCGCCTACTTCACGCTCGCTAAGACCGACTCGGACATGAAGCTGATGCACGGCGACGAGCTGCGCCTGCGCTACGTGGGCGAGATGTACAATCCGTGGAACGAGATCGGACACGTGATCAAGGTACCGGACAATTTTGGTGATGATGTCGGCCTCGAGCTGAAGACCTCTTCAAACGCTCCTGTTAAGTGCACTAGCAACTTCTCGGTGGACTTCATCTGGAAGTGCACCTCCTTTGACCGCATGACGCGTGCGCTGCGCAATTTTGCTATGGACCGCAACTCGGTATCCAACTACATCTACTCGCGTCTATTGGGCCACGGCCGTCCAGATGCTAACGACGAGGTGCTGTTCAGGGGCTCGCAGCCCAAGCTCTATAGCGCCCCGCATCTGCCTGACTTGAATCGCAGCCAGGTGTATGCTGTGAAGCACGCCCTACAGCGTCCGCTCTCGCTTATTCAGGGACCGCCCGGAACCGGAAAAACGGTGACCTCGGCCACCATCGTGTACCAACTGGTGAAGCAGCACGGCGGCACAGTGCTGGTGTGTGCGCCCAGCAACACGGCCGTGGACCAGCTAACGGAGAAGATCCACCGCACAAACCTTAAAGTGGTGCGTGTATGCGCCAAGAGCCGCGAGGCCATCGATAGCCCCGTCAGCTTCCTGGCGCTGCACAACCAAATCCGCAACATGGAGACCAACTCGGAGCTGAAGAAGCTTCAGCAGCTGAAGGACGAGACCGGCGAGCTAAGCTCTGCAGATGAGAAGCGCTACCGTAGTCTGAAGCGCGGCACCGAGAACCAGCTCCTGGAGGCGGCCGACGTCATCTGCTGCACATGCGTGGGCGCCGGAGACGGGCGGCTGTCGCGCATCAAGTTCACTTCTATCCTGATCGACGAGTCTATGCAGTCCACGGAGCCAGAGTGTATGGTGCCGGTGGTGCTGGGCGCCAAGCAGCTGATCCTCGTGGGCGACCACTGTCAGCTGGGACCGGTGGTCATGTGTAAGAAGGCGGCCCGTGCCGGCCTCTCGCAAAGTCTGTTCGAGCGCCTAGTGGTACTGGGCATCCGTCCGTTCCGACTGGAGGTGCAGTACCGCATGCACCCCGAGCTGTCCCAGTTCCCGTCCAACTTCTTCTACGAGGGCTCGCTGCAGAACGGCGTCTGCGCGGAAGACCGCCGCCTTAAATTGGACTTCCCGTGGCCACAGCCAGAGAGACCAATGTTCTTCTTGGTCACGCAGGGCCAGGAGGAGATCGCTGGCTCCGGAACATCGTTCCTTAACCGCACAGAGGCGGCCAACGTGGAAAAGATCACGACACGATTCCTCAAGGCGGGGATCAAACCGGAACAAATTGGAATCATCACGCCTTACGAGGGCCAGCGCGCGTACCTGGTGCAGTACATGCAATACCAGGGCAGCCTGCACTCGCGACTCTACCAGGAGATCGAGATCGCCAGCGTTGATGCGTTCCAGGGCCGCGAGAAGGACATCATCATCATGTCGTGCGTGCGCTCCAATGAGCGCCAGGGCATCGGTTTCCTTAACGACCCGCGACGTCTCAATGTGGCCCTCACTCGGGCTAAGTACGGCATCATTATCGTGGGCAATCCCAAGGTGCTTGCCAAGCAGCAGCTCTGGAACCATCTGCTCAACTTCTACAAGGACCGTAAAGTGCTCGTCGAAGGGTCACTAAACAACCTCAAGGAGTCGCTCATCCACTTCCAGAAGCCCAAGAAGCTTGTTAACAGCATGAACATCGGTGCGCACTTTATGTCCACCATGATAGCCGATGCCAAGGAGGTGATGGTTCCGGGCTCTATTTACGATCGGAGCGGCGGCTACGGCCAAGGCCGCCAGATGCCAGGTCAGAACATGAATGGCGGCCAATTCGGCGGCGGTCCCTACGGCGGCTCGCCCCTTGGCTACGGTGCCCCTAGCTCCAACGCAATGATGGGCTTTGGCCTGGGCACGGGCGGAAACGGTGCTGCCGGTACCAACAACAACTTCGGAGGCGCCGGCGGCACGGGACCCAGCTGGGCGGCTGCTCACCTGCACCACGACTCCATTGGCTACATATCCAGCGAGCACGGTGCGGCAGCCCTGGGCAACATGCCCGTCCCCGTTGGCATGTTCATGAACATGAGCAATCTTCCACCGCGGTTCTACAACCAGCACCAGCAGGCGATCATGGCGGCCAAGCAGAATCGGGCCATGCAGCAGCAACAGCAGTCGGGTAACTTCTCCTCTGTGGCTAATGCAGGAGTTGCAGTCGCTGGAATTGGAGGTGGAAGTGGAGGTGGGGCATCCTCGTTAGCCGGCAGTAAGAAGACCCAGAAGCCGGGAAAATCGCGTGCAACGGCTGGCCAGGCGGGTGGAGCACCGGCGGCTGGAGGTCTTGGCGGACAGATGAGCACGGGAAACGCCACCACTCCATTCAGTCAGCAGCCGGCACCTTTGTCGCTACAGATGACGCAGCCCAGCGGATTCGCTCTTTCCCAACAGCCGGAGCTTTCGCAGGACTTTGGGCAAATATCGCAGATGGATGGTTTGCTCTCCCAGGATGTGGCCTTCAACGTGGTGAGTGAGCAGATTGATGGAATGCATAAACTCTTTATTCCATAGTGTAAAATCATGTCGACAGTTTTGGACAACTTTTTATGATCAGTTACATCTTAAATTAGTAGGGTCAGTAAATACATAAACACGTATCTTCCGCCAATGCGAAATTTACGACTTTATAAAATGAATACATATTCGTGATCAGTATCAGTATGTATATCAAGCACAAATGCCGATTGCCAACGTCAATATTTTTAATATTCCTTATAAATGAAATTAGAATAATACTTTTATGCTTAAAATTTGAAAAAGTTTTGAAATTTTGAAGAGAGTCTTTTAATTTAGACCCTAAACTACCAATTACAAAGTATATACCTATGAAAATATTAACGTTATGAAACAGGAAAAATGGATAAAAAGGTTAGGTGCCTATTCTGCTGTCTAAATAATTTAAGCTCAGGCATTTAACTATAGCGTTCTTTTTTGTTTTTGTATACACCTTGCTACCCACCAACCCAAGTAATCCCCATCCTAATTAATCTCTTTTTGTGTTGCAGTCGGGCGAACGCAGTTTGAACCAGTTCTCACAGCCTTATTGAGAATCCGGCTGGAGGTGCACCAACTACAAACGATTACAAGCAACCCAAACGAAACAACAACAAACTCAACTTTGAAGTCATCATCAAGGAGTAGCATCAGTAGGCAGCAGGAACCAAGCAAAGAGGACTATCACGGGAACAACGACAGATGCGGGAAACAGCGCGACCTAGGAACATGAGTACGAGCGGGACATTGAAGACGGCGGGACGAGACAGTGAGAGAGACGGAGATGGCGAGATGAGGAGTGTGTTTCGGAGGCGGAGAAATGTCGAGAGATCGAGAGCACATCAGTGTAGGCTGCCAGGATGCACTGCAGCCACTGAACCACGCAGATGTTCCCGAATCGCCGCGGGCCATGAAGTCATGGCCAGGCGACTGGCCACTGGCCACGAGTGCGCTCCGAAGGAGTGCGCCCACGAATGAGCCAACCAGCCAGCAAGGCGCCACACCAGATGCCCTTGAAATGACTATGGACAACTTCTCGACACGTTTCCTTTGTTTTGCCAACCAGGATTCGCAGCCGGAGCCTTAAACGCAGACGCAAACGCAACCACTCCCGCCCAGGACACGTATTCACCAAGTGGCTTACCTTCCAACCTTCTTCTGGCCTCCAGTGCAGCGGCCAATCTTTTGCTCCTGTTCTAACCTTATTCCCCAAACGGTTTACTCACACCGACCCCATGCTCACCGTTGTACATTTCGTAAACTTTTGGACTCTTTTGTTTTCTGTATGCATTTGTTATCCTAACAAACACACAAAAAAAACCAAACAAAAAAAATCAAGACGAAACAAAATCAAATTCAAAAATATGGAGACACAATTTTTAATCGCACGGGAACGCTGGCGCCCCCAAAGCGGATGCAACTTTCCAGCGCAGATTGGAAATCGGATGATTGATAAAGGAAACGCGTTGCAATTTTCCGACCTTAAATACAACAATACACACACAGTAATAAACATACCGAACCGAAAAAAGGAGGACTATGATCAGAAAAGGTTAATATTAATTAATATTAATGCAGTTACAGATGCCTGTTAATTGTTTTTAAAACGATATGAAAATGGTATATTTTTTCTATATATTGTGAGTTAATTCTTTCCCCACGCAAACTCTTTGATTCAAGAAAATGAAACATTTTTTTTGAAATTCTTAATAAAGAATTTAAGTTTTCCCTTGCGAAAAACAAATAAGGGATGTTGCGTATTTTCTTGAAGAGGGTATAACATATTTTCTAGAAAAAATGTTTTTTATCTCTATATAATTGGTGCGACAAATTAGAAATAAAGCCATTCGCTGGACGAAAGGGATAAAGTAACCTTCTGCTATTAAAATAATTAAACATACTTTTGGCAAAATGCGGGATATATATAAATTGCAACTTACAACGAAAATAATTGTTTAGGAATGCAATTTCCAATATTAAAATTATGTTAAACCGAAAAACTCATATGGAAATGAAAAGAATGGACTTTATACTCGTGGGGTTTGCATTTTTTGTTTTATTTTACAGAACTTGGGTTTACATTTTCGGGTGACATTTTGTTTTTCAAAGAGATACATACACGCCACAGGAGGGACGAACATCGCACACCTCCGTGAATGTTTACAATAAGTAATGAAATCCGATAAAACATTTTGAGTTTATAAAAGTATAAATAAATGAATATAGTAACATTTAACAAGATAAGGATGCATTAAAGTTTGTTTGAAATTCTATTTCAGCCGGGTTTTCACACTAATCTTTCGTAATTTCGGATTTTTCGAATTTCATTTTACAAAATTTCTTGTTCTGATTTAACATTGTGGGACATATTATTTTATTATCTTCATGTTTTGGAAACTACCTGAAAGAGATTTTTTTATGGCTATATATGGATGGCTACAAAAAATAAACGAAAACTGATTAAGGAACTCTACCGACCTGAAAACTCAAGCATTTAATCTGTTCCAATCAGGCGACGTGCGCCGCAGTGGGTTCGGCAAAGGTGGTGGCTACATCCGGGGTCAATTTGCTGGACACTGGAGCGGCACCACCTGAACTACGCGTCTGACTGGGAATCGGGTAGTGCAGCTGCTGGTCGAACTGCTGTTGGGGGAAGCTCTCTGGTGCATGATGGATTGGCCGGAAGATGGTGGCCAGGTCGAGAGTATGGTCAAGCCGTCGCGCCGAGGCCAAAAAAACGGCCTTAACCCGCTCGAAGGTGGCATAATCGTAGACGGAGCGCGCCGTGTTGGACAGATCGAAGGGCTCCTCGATGTTGAGCTCCTTCCACTGGTAGACATCGTTCTTGGGGCTCTTGGCCATGCGACATGTGGCCACCGGCAGGACGCCGCCGGTGCGTATGGAAATGGCAAAGTTCCGAAAGCTGCAGCGAGGCAATCGATGAGGTCTTGATTGGGGTTACGGATCACGAGCAAGACTCACTCAAAGCTGCTGTAGTACTTGAAGAAGCCGAGCAGGTGCTCGCCGAGCGTCTGGGTGTTCATCGCCTGGTAGGGCTCGATCGGTTCGATGAGGTCCAGGTCCAGGCAGTCCTGTTGCCCCAGCTGGAACTTCTCGGGATACAGAGTGTGCAGGCAGGGCAGGACGTGCGGCACGCAGGCGTGTTGCAGGTAGTGCAACACCATGAGCACCAGCGAGTAGCTGGAAATGGTCATGCGCTTGGCGTCGTTGATGTCGTGGTACTGCGCCCAGAGCTTCACAACCACCACCAACGGTCGTGTCCTCCAATCCACTAAAACATCATATTAAATGTTAAGGAAAGGGCCGCATAACAAACTAAGTACTTGGATTTAATACATGTCATAGGTTTGATAGACTTAACAAAACACCAGTAATGATAATGAATTAATACAATTACAATAAAGAAAAACACATTTGACCATCACCTAAACAACTTTTTAACAATAAACAAACAAATTCAATATATTTAAGGACTAATACTGAAATGTAAACGAATTCTAATGAGATTTGAATCACATAATTAGTAATGAATGAAATACTTTTCGCAAATAAATTAAATATAATACAGTTTCTTCAAAAAGCCCAACTTATTCACAAAATCTAAAATTGTTCTCATTCCTTTAAATTAAATTATTACTGTCATCCAAGATGAGCGGAAGGCCTTAGCTGCTAATGCTCTTATTATAGTTAGTTCATAGTTTTAAAACTTAAGCTAGCTTTATATAAATAAATAAATTAAATACAAATAATACATTTTCCACAAAAAATCTCTTTAAACACACGTACGAAATCGTTTTTAAGTTTTTTAAATTTCTGAAGCACGGAATTATAACATGATTTTCTTTTTTGATGAGTTTGGGCTTTTATCATAAGAACGATTGTAAAGCTTCTAATTTAATAATTAATTTTATACAAAAAACAGTCTAAAGAATATACATTCTATCACTCAAATTTACGACTTCCGTGTTTCTGTGCTCGATTTTTTACCAACATCGTTATGGAAGAAATGCTCGCAGGCAAACATACACCAAATTTATTCATAACAGCTGTTTAAGACGATTTTGGGGACAAACAGGAAAATAATATATATAAATAAGATAGAGCAGACATTTTGTTTTCTAAATAACATATCATATTGCTTACGTTGGGCGTAAAGCTGCAGCAGATAGGTGTTTTTAATACCCACGCAGTTGTTAAAGTTCAGATCGACTTCAATCCCATTGATAATGTCCTTGAAGCGCAGTATCGGCACCCGCGCCTCAATCAAATTGAAGTCCTGGAAAACCTCTGCAAAAGAGAGACACTCTGTTAAGGAGCATGCCCACCAGATTTCCTTACCTGTGTCCTTCAACACCGCGTTGAACATGGTGAGGATAATCAGAGCCTCGGTGCGCTTCTCATTGTGATAGTGGTGCTGGTGGTGGTGGTGCTGATGCTGGTTGGGGTGCAATCCCTGTTCGGGCAACAGGCACATGTCGATGTCAGAGGAGTCCGTTCCGAAGCCCGTAATGGTCGACCCAACTAAACAGATGCGATACCGCTCGAACATTGGTTGCTGCAATTACACAGATTGACGGTGTTATAAAGATACATTTTTGAAAGCTGCAAAATGTAACAGGCAAAAACATTTTCAAATATTATAATGTTTTTGTTTACTAACATCTAGGGCGGTGCATTATAAAACTGTAAGCTTCCGGGACTTTTAAAGCTTCATCCAGTAACTTCAATCATTATTGTGGAATATTAATCAATTGGTAACAGATCGTAACCATTTTTATAGTCCAGAAAGAAATAACTATGTGATTACGTGACAAAATTACCGACGAAGTCCCATTTACAGAAAATTAATATCGTAAAGACAATTTTTTCGCGAAAAAATCATGGGATACGCTTATAAAACATATTTTGCCTCTTTTGAAAAAATCAGCTCTATTTTTTGGTTTTTTAACCAAAAGAATGTCATAAGTTCACTTATTTTCTATACCTCAAAAAACTTTTTCATCACAAAAATGACTTTAACTTACGTTCATCCAAAGGAACAGGTACCGCCAGAGACGCATCTTCAGCTTGAACTTCTTGTGCGTCTGCTGGGCTCCCCGGAATCTCTTCCAGATTTCAGCAGACAGATTGTCGTACTTGCACATGCAGATCAGCTTCTCCGGCTGGACAGCGACCTCCACGTTCCGAGCTTGGGCCATGTAGCGATCGGGGGGCAGGACCAGCTCGTACCAGGGTCCTCCTGCCGTAGCACCTGGCGCCGGATTCGGCGATGAGACTGGTGGAGGTGGATGTGGGCGGTGCGGGACATAGGGGGCCATTGCATGTCCGTTTAGCTGCCCATGTGGGTGGTGGTTGATCAGCGGGGGAGGGTGTTGCTGGTGCAGCGGATGTTGAACACCCATCTCGGCCAGATGCGGCGACAACTGGGCAGATCCTAGAGCGCTAGGAGTGGGTGAAATGGAAAGTTGGCCTCCATGGCCCAAGCTAAAAATGGAAATTTCGAAATGCGTCAATCTTCTGGGAAGATATGTAATACAGCTGAAGGATTGGTTTGGTTTTACAAAAGAAAAGAAAAATGGTAGCAAAATCTTAACTAAATTTGGTTGAAGTTAAGCAAGAATTATGACTTTAGGTATTGCAATCAGAGGATAAAATATTTCAGTCGATTAGAGGAGAATATAATATAAACCTTAAAATAAATTGAAAAATGTATCAATAAATAAAATTTGAGTAAAAACATTCGCAACTCCAATATTATTATACATATCAGTGCATTGCTCACAATTGCCAACTGTGCATAAGAAAATCTGTTTGTTGTATTTTTCAAAACCTTTTCAATTTTCTGTTGATATTTATATATTTATCTAGTATTTGTACATTGTACAAAATTTAGCATTTGCCAAGGAAGTACCTTTAAAAAAATATTTAAGTCATTTAATTTTTGTCACGTGAACAAAATAATTCATTTTTTTAAATTGATCAGTTTGTAATACTTCATTGCTTTTAAAATGATTATACATATTTTTTTCATACGTACCGACTCCGACTGCTTGTCCCACTCCAATGGGATTCGCTACCCAGCGAGGAAGTGGAAAGCGCGGGCGAGACGGACCGCAGTCCAACCGCATTCACATCCTTGTTGTGGGGCGAATTTCCGTTTCCGTTGAGGCTGCAGCTGGATCCGTAGGAGGACTGGTAGCAAGGCGACCTGGAATGTGTCCACACGGGAGCGGGTGGCGCCTGGTGACCCTGCCCCGGGTTGCAAAACCCTTCGGCGAAGTGAAAGAACACCTGTGGCGGCGGCGGAGGAGGCTGCGACGTGCTGCAGGCCGGGATCAGATGCGGCGGCTGCTGCTGCTGCTGGGGTGGAATAATAAAAGGCACTGTTTGGTTGTAGCTGGGACTGATCGCTGACTGGTCGCCGCTGGCAGCAGCAGTCGTTATGGCCTCGTCCAGCTGGGCGCAGCTGATCATTTTGGTGGGCGTGTTGGTGGTCACCGGGGAGAGCAGGGCGTGGCCCCCAATCATGGCCAGCGTAGGCGGTGCGAACATGTTCCGGACGTGGCTCGCCGGTGCCGGCAGAATGGAACCGGATACCGGAGCGGCTACGGGGCGAACCGCCTGAGGCATTCCTCTGTCGACAATGGTTGACGTTGAGGCCGGGGCCGGTGTTATCGAAATGCTCGGTTTGCTCTGCAACGAGGGTTTGATCGCCGGTGTCGATCCCGATGCTCCTCCAACGGCGTCACTGGATGCCTCCATGTCAACATTGATGTAGGTGAGGTTGTAGATGTTCTGGTGCTCGGAGCGCGTGGGCGTGGTGCCACCATCGCCCCCAAGCTGATGATAGTTGTGGTGGTAGTATCCGTTCTTACCACCTCCTCCTTGCATGCGGCGATGTACGGCGTCAAAGTTGCTGCTAGACAGGATCTCGATTGGCTGCTGATGTGGGTGATGCTTCTGTTGTTGATGACCAGAGGAGGAAGTCGGATCCCCATTTTTTCCCCATGGACTGTAGTGCATCTTCTTGTTAATGCCGCTGTTGTTGTTATTATTATTATTATTATTATTGTTGTTGTTGTCGCTATGCTTCCGACGGAAATGCGAGCCGATCCCTTGCTGATGAGGATGTTGCTGCTGGGCCTGATGTTGCTGCTGGTGCTGGTAGTGCTGATAGACACTCTGAGCATTGCGGTAGCGCTGCTGCTGCTGCTGGTAGCCAGTCCCAACAGACTGATGCCCATATTGCTGCCGTGAGAAGCTGCCGTTGCTGTTGCCGTTGTTGCTGTTGCCGTTGTTGCTGGTGCCGTTGTTGCTGGTGCCATTGTTGCTGGTGCCATTGTTGCTGCTGTGCTGGCTGGTCTTCTCGTTGCTGTCGGGCAGTAGTTCCTTCTGCAGGAACGAGGCGATGGTCAACTGCTTGGGCTGTGGATAGTAATATTGATAGTAATTGTACTGCTGATGCTGCTGGTAGCCCGAGTTTCGCTTGTGCTCGAAGGACAATGTCTGCTGTTGCTGTTGTTGCTCCGATGCAGCTGCCGCCACTGCGGCCGCTGATACCACTGCCGCGACCGTCTCCTTCTGAAATTCGACAACCAATTAATTTAAAATGTTTCCTTTGATAATGTTCCTAACTTAAAGTTTAAATGGGTATTTGTACATTTATGTGCTTAACAGTTAAAAAAGGCAAAATGTATTTAAAAATAAAAAAAGAAGGGAAGGAAAAAAAGACATATTAAAAGACAAGAATTAATCGGATACTAATTTGATTAAAATAAAATGGGCTACCTCACTTATGTCCACACCGATTCATTTTTAAAAGTTTATAAAGACTTTTTGGAATATGTTTATACTTTAAATGTATATTTTAGTCGAATTGGGATGAAACAAATTTCGGCGATACCACCGATAGAAACTTTAAGTTGAAAAAAATTGTGGTTTATATAATTTTAATTGTATGCAGTTTAAAAACCGTTTTGCAAGCTCTCTTACATCCTTTTGTTGGCAGGCGGCTGGCTGCGGGTAATTAGTTTTCCAGAAACTAAGGGGTTGCTGTCGGGTTCGCTGCTTCTCCGGCTCAGGGTCGTGTCCCTGATCCTGAGTCTTAGCCATGGAGGTTTCCGTTCCACTTTCTGAGCTTGACCCTGTTGTTGGGGGGCTGAGTTTGCAAGACACTACATCCGTTTGCGTCGATTCTGCTGCAGCATCTGTGCCCAAGGACTCTGAGCACTTGCGATAGTAGGCAGCAGTTGCATCTGCCGATGAGTTGCGCTTCTTAGTACTAATGTTATTGGTGTTGTTATTTCTGCAGCCGATGCTATTGTTATTTATGTTTCTGCTACTGTTGTCATTGAGCCATTTGGCTGGCTTTGCCGCCAACCTGTTGCTGCTGTTGCCGTTGATGTTGCTGATGTTGCTGATGCTGCCGTTGCTGCTGCTGTTGTTATTGCTGTCGCTGGGCTTGCAATCGGTCATTTGTGGCTGAATGATGTTTTGATTCTTCATAAGCACATTGTTGTTGTTCAGCGGTTGCTGTTCTTGTTGTTGCTGCTGCTGTTGCTGTTGCTGGTGGTGCTGCCGCTGATAATAAGACTGTTGCTGCTGCTGTTGCTGAAGACTGCTGCCGTTGCTGTTGCCAAAGTATTTTTTACGGGCCCACGAGTTACTGTTGCTGCAGTACTGCATCTGTTGCTGCTGTTGTCCCTTGTTGGTCTCAGTACTGCTACCATTGCTGGTGTTGCTGCTGTGACAGCTGTTCACTTGGCGCAGAAGATTGGCCGTCTTATTGTTGTACTTCCCGAACTTCAGATGGCACTGTCCCGCCTTGCAACCCGGCGATCCGGCGGATATTCGCGACCGGAACTCGATTTGCTGCAACTGCTGTTGTTGCTGCACTGGCGAACTGCATGTTGCTGTCGCGCTGCTCTCAACAACATCTGCGGTAAAGATCTTCATGTCGCCAGATACTCGAGTGGCGTACATAGCCCAAAATTTGGGGGAATTAGAGTGTGGCTAGAGTTTTGGGTATAAAAAATTGCTCCGCACGTATAACTCAGTTGCTTAGGACTAGGTTTAATTTATGGTAAAATTATGGTTAATTTTTTTAGTTTATATTTTCGAGTTCGTAAACTTTTTTATTTTTTTTTTTAGTTTGTTATTTATGTTTGTGTATTTTTATGTTTTCTTTTAATTTTTTTTCCTTATTTTATAATTGGCTAGCTATTGACACGTATTTAATTTCAGGATTTAAATATTAAGTCATTAGTTGCCTTTTCAGCACTTTCACTTTTTACGCCCACCAGTGTAAAAGTACCGTTTTTCCTTTTTCGATTTGTTGCACTTCCAAAGCAGACACACACACTTCTTTTTTCGTGTATTCGATCTATTGCGATCTCCACTCCTCTCTTTTCTCTCGATTCGTTGTGTGTAAAGGAGGCGATAAAAAAGCACCGTTAGATTAGATGCGAGGAGATCAGAAAGTGCAACGCAAAGTGGGCAAAATAAAAAAGGAAATAAAGCCCTGCAACTGGATACAGGAAATGGGAAGAATTGCATTTAAAATAAGAATCAGAAACTATAAGGATACCCAAAAAACTCACCGTGCCGAAAAGGCAAAGGCGTTGCAAATTTTCCGATACCAAGATCGGGACCAAAAACGGTGCTTATCTTGTTGAGCGATTCTCGCACTGCTCCGTTTCCATTAGAGTCCAACACACACTTTCCACATCAATTCTAACATTAATAAAAAAAACTAAAACTGCGCCTGAAACGCTCTGAAAGCAGCTAGCAACTACTGTACTATTCGGTTATCGATCCAGCCAATTCCTTCTGGGCGGGATTTGATCACCTGTCATCGATAGTATTTATTCCAAAGGCAATTTCATGTAACGTTTCCTGTGATACGTTAAGGGGATACACTAGCCCCAAAAAAGAAATGATACAAATGTTTATTTATTTGCTATCGCAAAATTGGAATGCCATTAGGGTTAAATTAAAATGTTTTGATAAGATTATCGACACTTTTTATGATAAATATTAATATACCTGAATATAATACAAGTAAAAGCTTTATATCCTTAGAGTCCTTTGCTGCTTAGCTCCTTTGGAGGGCACGCTTAATATCCTTCCTTCCATCAGAAGGCAGGCTTTAGGTATTCTTGTTTCGAATTAATTATACCAGCTCCTTAAAAAGTAACCAAGGAATTTAGGTGCTTCTAACTACATAAATATGTGTTGCTGCAATTGATATTCAAAGAGCCAGGCATTTAAAAACAAAAAATGGCAAACGTTTTTAATTAAAGAAGTCAACAATAATGCATTAGGCCTAGTTACATATTAACTAGTATAACTGCTATCAGTACCGATTTAACAGCGACTTCCAGAATAGACGTGCCGGCAGCATTGAGTCGCGTCCTACGCAGCTCTTGTGGGTTAGCCTATAAGATGGACATAAATATTTGGTAATTATTTCATTCACAAATAAACAGGATCCCTTTTAAGAAAATACAAGAAACGGGTATAACTGTTATGCATACAACTTGAGATAACATCGCATTCTTTGTTATAACTGCTTGCCTAGGCTGGCTTCATTTCTTGTTTTTCTTAATCGCAAAGAGATACGTGAAACTCACAGGAAGTTAGCGCGACGCAAGCGCTCCAGATAGGCATCCGTGGCCACAGCAGAGAGGAAAATCTTGCGCACCTGGGGCGACATCTGTTCGTGTTGCTGTCTGGCAAGCTTCAGGTGATTGTTGGCGGCACTGGCCACCTCGAATATGCACTCCTCGACGCCCTTGTCGTCGCTGCGGCCGCGAATGATGCGTTCCTGACTGACGCCATGCCGCACGAGCACCTCGAGAGGAACGCAGACTGCCTGCTGACGGCCCGTCAGCGGAATGGCACGCAGCAGGGTAGCAATGCCTTGGGCCTTGCCCAGATGTGAGGCGGCGTGGTCCACCTGCAGGTCACGGACTCCGCCCACCTCGAGCAGCAGGAGAAGCAGCGAGGAGAAGGTCTGTTCGGCGTACTCCTCAAGCTCGCGGATCGTCTCGAACCCATGGTTGGGCGGACGTTCTCGTGCTGTGACCAGGCGGCGTAAATATACCTTATTCAGCTTGCGACTGCCCACAGTGTGCTTCAGTTCGCGCAGGACAGGCTGATCCTCCACGTAGGATCGTTTGGAATCCGATTCGAAGCACTTGTCTATGGAGTCATGCCAGAACTTAAGGCGCAGCTTTGCTATTTGCGGTTCGATTTGCTGTAAATAAATGAAAAGAAAAATCAACGTAATGCACCGAAAGACTTCAGAAAATGAATAAATATAATAAACCCACTAAATTCTGTTCAAGGCAAAAATCATTTAAAAAACAGAGTATTTGAATAGGTAGAGGTGTTAAGACTCTAAGGTATTCTTTCACAAATTAAGTAGGGTAGCACAAGTATTTCTGTGTGATTGTAAGATATCTTAAAAAACATTGATGAATTATATTCAAACCCCTACTTTTTATATTTTTAAAATTACTGATGCAATCTCTATCATTCATGGAAGACAAAATAATTCAACTTTCACAGGACGGAGGGAAAATTCCACTCCTCCGAGTTATAAATCTGCCAAGGCAACAAACCCCACTCACATGTCCGCTGACCGATCTGGAGACCTCCACGTTGAATGCCCGCAGGGCGAAGGCTGCTCGTCTCAATTCCCGGGGCAGCAGCAGGGTGCACAGGTAGTTTTCGTAGTCGTATTTCCTGGTCAAAGAACATAACGATTGTAATAGCGAACTTAAGGGACCGTTTCATACCACCTACTCCACAAGGCTCATGCAGTGTTTGGCCCCAAATCCATTCTTATCCGCTTCGCCAGCTCCATTCTCCTTGGAATCGGTCTTCTGCTGGACACTAGCATGTCTGACGACTCTTTGGCCGGAATTGGCGTTGAGTAACGATAGACAATTCCAATTTCGCACCAGGCGCCGCATCTTCTTCTTCCAGCTGTTCGACTAAACAGATGTTTGGGGCGACGTTGCCAGACTGCTGTCGCCGGCAGTCTTTCGTAACGTCAAGGTATTGACTTAATGATTTGAAGTTCTAACTGTCAACTCATGCCTTATAATTAAAATATAAAGTATGTTAAAAAAAATTAATAACCAAGTTGTAATTACGCATCTTTCTATAACAATAACACTACAAAAGAATTGGTTAATAAATATTTCTCATATAATTAGATTTATTTGCGCATTTTTATCATTTTTATTCAAGAATAACAATTAAAAATTTTATTTGAATTCGCAAGACTAAATAAAAATGCTTTTGAAAAGCAAACCCAGTACTAGCCCGACATGTCTTACCCAATTTTTGAGCTATTATGCTTGTACATTTCCCGAGGTGTCAAAGTTCAGGCAGACAAACACTTTCTGTTTGCCCGCCAATGAATATTATTTTGATTTATGTTGCAGGATCAATCAATGTGGTTGTAAATTAGGAAATTAGGGAGTTTATTAAAGAAAATCTTATATTTTAAATGTTGGTCAATGAATACAAACCCTTAAACTTAAATCAAACCACAATATATTTAAAACAGGGAGTAGTTGTTGTATCATGGAGGTACAATAAGTTTTTAGGGATGAATATTCGAGGCGTTTGGTGTATCACTTCTTTAGACCAAAACGCTAATAAGATTTTGCTAACCACAGCATCCACCAGCACTGCAAGATGTTGAGGGCTGTATGCGGCCGATTCGTCGGTTCGGTCTTAATCCTCCTCCGCCATATCCACCGCCGTTGCCTCCACCCCCACCACCACCTCCTCCGCCGCCACCTCCTCCTCCACCTCCTCCCCAACTACTACTACCCCAGCCATTTCCGCGTCGGGAGTTATCGCCGTTGTTGTCGTTGCCACTAAACGGAGCTAGGAATGATGCAAATCTGCGGGGAAGGTGATGAATTAGATTCCGCTGGTTGGAGAGATCGTTTGCCCACTTACAACTGCTTGATGGCGAACCAGATGCCCACGAATATGGCCAATACCCGACTTAAATCCCAAGGACGTTTCTCCCAAAGACGACCATCTGCAAAACAAAGAGTTTAAACCACCGGAGTCTAGATGTATATCCATTTTCACTCACTTTGATCGACATACGCCATGTTGAAGATCAGTCAGCTTACAAGATCCTCTTGTTTTTATTTTTAATATTTCCAAACGAAATACGAAAACAGGCGAGCGTAAATTTGTAAATTTGTATACAACTTGACGTGGTGTTAGGGATGGGCAAGAAAAGCAGCTGACGCATTGAAACTGGGAACAGTGCCGTCACGATATATCGACTGGCCCACCTTATAATAATACCCTTTACACACAGTCACTTTAAATTGCTACATCCCACATCTTGCTATATAAATTTGTTTGTTCTAAAAAATATTAGCATACCACGGTATTCTCATCCACGGTATAATTTTTACCTTTTTTTGCACTTAGAGCTATGATAGTTTCCATTTTCAGCATGATATAATTATAAATCTCGTTGGCTTGTGAATTACAATGCATTTTAATTAATATTTTGATTTTTAAACTTTAAAGAAAAAATGTTTTTATAATGAAGTTGTACAATTTTTTTCAGCTTGGAAAACCTTTTTTTTTTACCTTTTTTTGCACTTAGAGCTATGATAGTTTCCATTTTCAGCATGATATAATTATAAATCTCGTTGGCTTGTGAATTACAATGCATTTTAATTAATATTTTGATTTTTAAACTTTAAAGAAAAAATGTTTTTATAATGAAGTTGTACAATTTTTTTCAGCTTGGAAAAACATTAAAAGAGGTGGCTTGCAAAATATATAGTTGGTTTTTATTTATTTATTTTACCAGAAAAACAACATATTTCTATTGTTACTGTTACTTTGAATGTTAAAATTGTACTTTCCGTTACTAGACATTATTAGGTTTCTTATAAATAACCTGAAAGACGATTGTAAAAACCTGTAACTATATTGGAGCTAGTACAATGTAAACCGACGACGGCCACGTAAGCAGCGGACTCAGAAATCATCGATCCATCTTTCGGCAGTGCTCCGCTCGAGTCCGAGTTTAGGAGGGCTGCGTCATAAGTGCCACTGGGGCGGGACAGATCGTGATTTCTGGGTAGGTTCTGGGGTTATGCTTGACGTGGACAGTCCTAAGTCGGCGCGACATCCGCCCACAAGTGTGGGACTGGATGTCGCTACTATCGTCATCCGCCTCCCGCAGGTATATTGCAGCTCATTGACGGCTGTATGCGTCCTATTCTGCGGTTTGGTCTCAATCCTCCACCTCCTCCTCCTCCTCCTCCGCCACCTCCACCTCCTCCCCCTCCGCCACCGCCTCCTCCACCACTACCCCAGCCATTACCGCGACGTTGGTTGGATTGGTTATCGGTGGCTGTGAAAGGAGCCAGGAAGGTCACGAATCTGTAGAATAACTTTCTTTATAAACCACTTTTCAATCATTCAACTATGTACTCAACTCACAGTTGTTTGATGGCGAACCATATCCCCACAAACAGCTCCACTATCCGTCGCCAGTCCCAAGGCCGCTTCTCCCACACGCGCCCATCTGCCAAAACAAACAACATATGGTCAGGGCTTGGAATGTCAGGGTACGCCTAAATCCAGTTTTACTCACTATGGTCGATGTACACCATGGTGCATCCAGGATGCTTGAGCCACGCTCAATTTATTGCGCAAATTCAACAAAAGATCTTACAAATGTTTCCAGTCTATCAAAACATGACTAGGTATGGTCAAACCGATAGGTTAGTCACTTCAATCAAATAAAATCCGTCTACTGTTTAAATAATGGGAACACTTATTCATACACTTTTCGCACTGAGACACATCTACATTTTAATTCCCATGGAATAGTTTATTAACATATGCACTTTATAAAGGACTGTGAATAGATAGATTGATGTTTTCTTAAGAAAAAGTCAAACCATGATTGTAGTTAACACTTTTTTCGAGTGTCTTGTATTAACAAAAAAAGAGTTGCAAAACTTTCGTTTAAAATAAATATGTATATACAAAAAACACAAGAAAATATAATTTAATTTTATTTAATAAGTACAGTCTTTGGCTAACATATGCACTTTATAAAGGACTTTATAGATTGATGTTTTCTTAAAATACAGTCCAACACTTTTCAATTTAAACTGTAAAGTGGCTGTTTCGCGGGTCTTGTATTAACACAAAAAGAGTTGCAAAAAATAGTTTGGAAGTTATAATACGATGGTTTTGCACATCCAGCAGCGGTAGCCTAAGCTACGATTTTTATAAATATGACTGACATTTTATAATTAAATATTAAATAAGATTTAAATTTAATTTAATTTAAATGCTAACGGTTAACCAACTAGTGCCCATGCCCAGTAATGTAAAACGCCCAACCAAACAGTGTGACCAAGCCGCATGGCCTAGGCCAACATCTAAATAATGTAGGCGGATGCTTTAATTGTCAAGTGTTATGAGTTCTTTGAGAATAAGGTTTAATATCCATTGTAAAACGAAAGTTTTGAGTGGCATAGCAAAGTAAAAACCACATTTAAATTATCAGAAATCGTGAATAATTGTTGCAAAAACATCACGACGGTCACACTGCTATTTAAGATAGTGTTGGTGCCACCGCTCACACCCACTGTTGCATTCCATTTGCAGTTCAAACGGCGTTTTTGTGCGCGTCGTTTTTTTTGTTGATTGATTAATAATTTTTTATTGACAATAAGCGAACATACGATGGACACGCCGCGCCGCAAGCTGCGCAATTTGCACATGGAGAACGTGCAGAATAGCAGCACTCCGATTCGCGTGCCACCGTCGCCGATGTTAAAAACCCTGGGCCACGGAACCGGCGTCAGCGTTTACCGCCTGGACCGCTCGCCGCGGTGCGGCCAAATCCGCTCGCCATGGGCCGTCAAGCGGATCACGCAGAATATGAGGGCCAAAAAGGACACACTCTTCAACGAGCGGATAGTCCACGAAGCGGAAATCCTGCGGTGAGTTTTGGTCCACATTGCAAATTTCTATCGTATTCCTCTTCCAGAAACGCTGTCAGTGTGTCAGTGTCCTGCGTGTGCGTGTCGTGGAGTGTGAATGTGCTAGTGCGAATGCTGCATGTGTGGTAGGGTGGCTCGATATATGGGTCATAATATTACTAGGGTGGTCAAAGCTAACAAATACAGGCAATGTAAGGATAATAGAATTATACCTTTTTATGAGATTGCGTTGGTTACAGAACCAATATAGTAGATCGATGCAGTAAATCAAATTATTTGTGTTGATCTTCATTATAAGGGTTTTACATATTCGGTACGGTCAAGATAATGAAAATGGGTTCAAAAAAACTTTTCTTAAACTTTAATATTAAAATAACCCTAGTACCAAAATGTAACTTCGCGGGCTTTTAATAAATATTAATAGGTCTCCCGAAACATTGATAACAGTGTGCCTTTGGTATACCCACCACGCAGGATGGGTTTTACAGCTGCCTCTTTAAGCATTTCAAGGAACTCCTTAGAACTCCTTACATCTGAAGTTCTCAAGAAATTGTCAAACAAATTTAAACATATTCTTCCATCCCAGCAAACTTCAACATCCAAATATCGTGGGATTCCGTGGTGTTGTGACCAGCGACGAGGGCGTTAACACCTTGGCCATCGAAATGTGCACCACCTCGCTGGGTTCCATACTCGAGGAACGTCACGACGAGGATCTGGGTCCGCTGCCGGCCAAAAACACCTTTAAGATGATCATTGACGTCGCACTTGCCCTGGATTTCCTTCACAACGAGGCTCGCATGCTGCACGGTGACCTCAAGTCTTTTAATGTCCTGGTTAAGGGAGAGTTTGAGATCTGCAAGTTGTGTGATTTCGGGGTCTCCTTGCCGCTAGACGAGCAAGGCGAGATTAATTTCCTTAAGAATCCAGGGTTGCGATATGTGGGTGAGTTTCCCTGAGCATTGTTTAGCCAAGCTGTAAACGATGCAGTCTTAATATCTACATTTTTGTTATATAAATATTTAATTTAAAGATCCATAATCGAATGGGAAATGCGTTCTTAAGACATTTCAAATTAATATTGCCAATTGAAACTAGTGGTCCCAAATCACATATAATTGAGAATTACTAAGTCAAATACATTTTGGTTTATAACCATGATATTGTAGCCAACAACAACTATATTACAAAATTTAGAACCCATTTCATTGGCTATTATAGCCAAAGTAAAAGAAATCATTTTTTGTTTTTACGTTATGAATTTTAAAAAAATTTAAATGCTCGTTTTTTTTGTCCAATGGAATGGACCTTTTTCTAGTACATATGTCTCAAGAATGTCGCCTCTGCACCTTTTACAGCCAACTATTAAACCAAACCAAAGAAAATACATAAATACTGATAATTACCAACACGCTTTTGTTTAAGGAACCAGCCTTTGGTGCGCTCCGGAGATAATAGACGATGTGGATATCATTGACAGCAAGGCAGATATTTTCAGCTTCGGCCTGGTTATCTACGAAACTTTGGCCCTGGTGCCGCCACACACCTTGGAACTCGATGCAGCGCTGGGGGAAGATATGGACAGCTCACACGATTTGGCCACCGACGCAGAGAAGCTGCAGCGCAAACAGCTGGATTTCACCAGCGGTGAAACTAAAGCCGGGGTAGCTGCAGAAATCGATGGGGAACACACGGACAACGAGATGAGTCAGGAAGTGATTGAAGAGGTCGAGGTGGACGAGGAAGAGGATGACACTAAGGAGAACGAAACCAAGGAGAGCGACCTTTCTGACTTCACACTGAACAACCTGCATTCAGCTTATGGTACACGCCCGCCACTGCCGGTTGCTTTTCAACTCAGCGACGATTACAACTGCATCGTGGAGCTGTTCTACCTGTGCACAAATGCTCTTAGCGAGGATCGTCCGGCGGCAAAGACCGTTTGGCAGTGTCTGGAGAACAATGCCGCGAATGTGGCGACGGGAAGCGATTAGACTGATCATCATTCTCATCCTCCACGCTCCACAATCTTCTTCCATTCGGATATTAGCTCTATAATGTAATTTCTCTAGATGTCTCATTTTTGTTTGCATGTATGGGTAACTAGATATAATTTCAACTCTGTATAAAAAGACAAACGAAGATTGCATACACATATATACAAATTTTCAGATTGGATAAGTTAAGTGTACATATTCAGCAACCAAAAGAGAGATCGAATAAATCGAGTTTCAACTGAAAGAAAACTGCGTTGATTTTAATTATTTAAGATTGTGTGAAGGTTGCTATCAATTAAATTTGTAATTAATTGGTAACTTTCGCAGAAATCAATTTGAATTTACAATTAAAAAAAAATGCACTCAAGGCTTAAGATTGCTTTTCAATAAAGAAAGATTTAAAATTTTAAAAACATACTTGGAGGCCAGGCTATGTTTTTGGCAATCATTTTATAAAAGTTTTGATTGTAAAATTCGGAGTATCGATACTTGTTCTTACTATCAAAATCGTAGGTGTCACAGAATTTCGCGATTTGTGGGCGTCAAACTGCACTAGATTCCGAGATCTTTTAAACAAATTTGCTTTGTCTAGATATTAACTCATGAAATAATTATTTACCAAATCCATTTTTTCTAATACTCAAACCTTTTTTTTTCTTTTATATTTTAAATAACAACCTTCAAGTTCCAACGTCCCAGAAAAAATCATTTTCGCCACAAGGGCACTTACAAGTTCACTTAAGTTTATTAAAAAATAATAATACATACATCAAAATATAATTTTTTCTTTCGTATTTTTGCTTTTCGTTCTTTCTCAGTTGTTTAGCGCGAATTAACTTTTTCTTTTATGTATATATATGCGTGTGTTTGGAAATCGGGGATTGTGGAGACTGTAAGTGGCTCTTGTTCGATAAAAGATCAGATTGCTTTTTAATACGACATAAGGATGAGGGCTGTGGTTGGTCTAAACGCATAGTTTTAGATTCGATGCTGTCTCTAGCCTAGATCTTGCTATCTATCTAGGGTATTTTACATTGTTAGTAATGCCTGTTCCGTCCCATTAATATGGGTTTTGTTTACTTCAAGTCCAGCAGATGGCTTTGCATCCGCCTTGAGTGGCTTTTTTTATTTAAATAAAGCGTATACAGACTTCAATTTCGTCTACAGGGATACGTATTTAACATAGGTTGTATTAGTGTATATATTCGTTTGTATATATATATAAAGTATCGAATTGCTCTCTTAAAGGCGAAGGCGCTGTTGGTGTTTCGTTTGTTTTCTTCCGTTTTGTTAACTTTATCTCCTCGTTTTTCTGACTTTTCTCCATAACTCTAAATGATGACATTTACAACAAACAACTTGAACGAGTATTGGACACTTTTACGAAAAACAAAAATTAAAATTACAAAAAGTACAATGTTTAAAATAAAATATTCAAATATAATGAGTAAGGCCAAAAAAACACGAAGCTGGACTAAAAAATTATCGTCTCTAATTAAAATATGTTTTGCAAATCATAAACCATTCGTTTTTGGGGGTTTTAGACTTATCAAAGTACATAAAATGGAATGCTTTGGGTATAAATTAGTTGTGTTCGTATGTGTGATTTTGTTTACAATTATTGCCTTTTCAGAATCGTTTAAGTCGAATGGTTTAGTAAATTTCTCTGTCTTCTGCATTTTATGCTCGCTCTCTCTATTTCACTCTCTCCTCTATCTGTCTCACTCTAATCTAATGCAACAAGCAAGAATAATAACAAGACATAAATCTTAAAAATTTAAATACACATATATATATGCCAAGGAAAAAGTTAAAAACAATGGACTGCATTCAAAAACGTGCAAATGAAAAGGTGTGTTTTGTGTGACTTTCAGTGTGTTTCGTGGAATGTATGGGGAAGAGTCGTATGATTACATGTATAATCGTATTTTATATATTGCTCATCTACTACATAACTGGGAATTTTGTAGAAATAGCGTTTACAAATTTTAATTTAAGTAATAGCTATGATAATTTAACTTTTACAGGATATGAACCAAGATATTGTTCAAATTTCTACATAATTCACTCAATTAATAATGCTTTTTGTTGAATCCCTAAAGACTTTACAAATATTTTTTTCAAAAATCTTGTGTCTTGAGCTTTGACAGTCTTTTTAGTAAGTGAGCTATATATAATCGATTGGAATACATGTGATTAGCTCGCCTAACTTGAATAACTTTAAATAATTGACTTGAGTTTAACGAACTTATCCGATCTTAAGGAAAGTTAAGTCTGATAAACTGAAAATCCTCTCTCTCTCTTCTCTGCTGTGAATTCGCGTTTTCCGTTGCTTGAGTCCTAGATGCCGCTGAATGGCTGTAGCTCCTGGGAAATCTTACAAATGCAGCACTCCATCCTTCACATCGCTGGCCATTATCGTAGACGCATTGGAGGCTGCCTGCTGGTGATGCGAAGAGGGTGACGAGGACAGCGGTGGCGCTTGCTGCTGATGGTTGTGATTCCCAGCTGAAGTCGACGTAGGACTCTCGTCTAGTGTCACCCCCGTTAGGTCCACGATGTCGTCGTGATCGTCGTGCTCGATTTCGTCGGAGGTGTTGGTATTATTGGTGTGATGCGACCCACTGGACAGTTGGCTGTTCCTCGAAAAGGAGCCGCGATGTGTGGACGTCAGCGTACGCTGATTGGCCGGTTTCACGGTAATGATCAAATTGGAGCTGTTAGCCACCATCATGTCTGTTACTTGGTCGAGAGTTTTTCCGGCCACTTCGATGCCATTCACCTCAATCACCTCATCGTTAACGGCCAGCAAGCCCGTACTTTCAGCCAGGCCGCCCGGCACCAAACGGGATATAAAGATGCCCGGCTGTTTCTCCAGTCCACTGGCCGTCACCCGCACGGAGGTCCCATCTCTTATGTAGAATCCCAGGGGCTTATCGCTGCCATGCTTTAGCAACCGCACCCTTCTATGCGTTTCCGGCACAATATCCACATCTATAATGGCCGAAACCTGGCGAAAATCGTGCGGTATGGATATCGATGGGGCCTTTGTCTTTACGGGCGTGTGCCCCATCAGTATGCTACCGATTAGGTTTCTCGGTTTCATCGTCCCAAAGCCGGAGTACTCATTTAGATCATCTATATGGAGAAGAGGCGTTTGTAAGTGGATAATGGGTCTTACAATGAGATAAACTTACCTTTCCGCTGAACTATGACCCGTAGAAGTGGACGTGCTGTTTTCAGTGCCCTGCCAAAGTTATCATCGTTGTTGATCGGCAACAAATCGTTGTCCCGCGGATCGATGTACAGAATGAGAAACTGGATGTTGGTTAGCTTGTGCAGCTGCTCTATAAGGGCTGCAAATTTGTCGAAGCTCTGCTCCGTTTCATTTCGCTTAAAGCTCCACCGCCGGAACTCCGCATCAAACTTAAAGATTGGTTTTAATTAGTAAGTTTTTATATTAAATATTTTTGTTTATATTCTGTGAATACGTTGTTTACTTAAGTATAGCCTGTTGATCCACTCGTAAACTAACTCAGTCGCCATTATTACTCTATCTTTCCATAAACCTCAATCTTGTTGCTACAATATTTAATGTTATATGCTTTTAAAGAAGTTATCAATCGTTTTGGGAAGATCTTATGAGTGTAATTTAACATTGGGGAACTTATGTTCAGGTATCGAATACCTTACATGAGAACAATCAGCCGAATTGAGCATAACAGGGTAGGTTTTGGTGTTAACGTATTCAAGCGCAACAGATAGTCGTTTATAACGTTTGAAAAGGAATCCTCCAAGATTTTTCCGAATTTCCTTTAAGAGTGGGATCTCTCCTAAATAATTTCCCATTTTAGAACCCAGCATTTTCTACTAGTTAATCCTATTTCAATTTTTATTTATACGGTAAAGCTCGGAAAATCGGGATCGCTATCAATTTAGGAGGTTTGCAAAGATGGAAAACACTTTTTCCATAGGGATTAAGACCTATCCAGGGTTTTATTTAACTTTTTATCTAATAGCTCTCGGGTTCAAAACTACTTTATCCATTTTCTATGCGCATGAATCAGCAGCGCAGCGCCGGAGAAAGGGGCGTGGATGTCGGTGGGGACGCAGATTCCAACGTAGGACTCACCTTCGATTTCACCTCGATCAGATTCGTATCGCCGCTGGCCGCCGTGCCGGACGTTGTGTTTATCTTGTTCTTCGACATTTTCCCCGAGCCAAGTTCACACAATTTTCCTCACACACAACACAAAACAAAGCAGTTTCTCTGATCTGATCTTCAGTACCGAACCGAAACGCCCGATACAAAACGAAACCGAACCAAAGTGCAGCGTAACGATGGCGGGGGGCAACGATTGTGAGGGGCTGCCAATAAATTAGAGTTAGAAATCTAAATTAAAACTAATTAAATAAAAGAAATGGATGGAGGTTGATGGTATGGTACTTTGATGAACTATCGCAGGGCAGGGCTGCCACTTTTATGATACAGTGTTGCGTTGAACTATCGCAGGGCTGCCACCTGTTATCGTAAATAAAGCCTAGTACTCAGATCTGCAAACGAGTTCGCTAGCAAAAAAACTTGAATCTTTCCAGTGTGACTGCATTTTCGAGAGTTCATCAGAATTAAAGCCTAGTACTCAGATCGACGAAAACTGTCCGCCAGTCGTGAGAGAGAGTGAGAGGCAAATAGCTGGCGTAAGCTTTTCATCACCTCGCTACTCCGATCGACGAAAAATATACAAGAAAATTTAATAGCGTTGCCAGTCTGCTGAAATTAACTTTGGGTAAGCCCTAGCGAAAAGAATAAATATGTAATCTCACTGAATATTTAAAAAAATGACGGGAAAACATCAAAAGTCGATTGCAGGAGTTTTCTTGTGAGGGTGGTTATCTTTTGGGGTGCCTCTTGTCAGAGCAAAGTGTTTCTTAGGTCAAATATTTACGAAAGAACACAATAAAAATCTTAGAAAAATCGTCTGTTAGAACTAAGTGCAGCTATGAACTTTAAATTAGCAAATAATTATCAGTAAATAAAAAAAAACAACTGTTAAATTTAAATTGTATTGTTTTTTAATTTCTTTGTACAGCGGCAGACTTGTCTTGCTAAGGTAGTTGATAATATCTTTGAAAGGCTCTTTCCCGCAAATATGATTTTTAAATTTTTGAACTGCTTGTCAACAGGTATCATAAACACCACAAATCCAAGTGTCCCAGACTCACCTGGCCACACTGACCAACAGCTGTTTCGAAGAAGAAGAAGCAGCACGTGCACGTTGTTGTCAAATTTAAATTCTTTTTGTTTTTAGCCATATTTTAAGTTAACAACGCCTTGCTGATCCTTAAAAATGACCAAAACAGCGCCAAAAGGGCGCCCCAAGGCCAAGACGCCCTACAAACGCTACTTTGAGGTGGAAAAGGACACAGAAAAGGACGGCGGCGGTCTAGAACATGTAAAAGTGATGAGCAAAAAGCGGCAGAATTTCACCGGGGACTTCGTCAGGATGCACAATAAGCCCAAGAAGCCGCGTCCCCAGAAGGCACTCGCCAAAGCGAAGCAGGAGGAGCCGGAGCCCAAGCCCAAGAGGAATCCGATTCCCGAGGAGCTGCTCAAGAAGTACTCACGTGGCGAGCAAGTGCAGCCGAAAGGTGTGAAAACACGCCACTTCAAGGAGCAGCAGACGCGCAAGGAGGTGTACCTCGAATATGCCACCGAGCAGGCGGCTCGTACGGAGCTCCTGCTTCAGGAAACCGCCGGCCAACTCGAGGCGGATGAGGGTGAGACCACCGCCGAGTATAGGCAATCCCAGATTGCGGACAATGTGGACCTGCAGTCGTCGGCCAAACATTTTAACCTGAACATGGAATTCGGTCCCTACCAAATGCGATACACCAAGAACGGCAGGCATTTGCTGCTTGGTGGCAGACGCGGACATGTGGCGGCCTTCGATTGGGTCACCAAGCGGCTGCACTGCGAATTTAATGCCATGGAGAGCATCGAGGATGTCCAGTGGCTGCACGTGCCTACCATGTACGCGGTGGCTCAAAAGAGCTGGGTCTATTTCTACGACAAGAAGGGCACCGAACTCCATTGCATTAAGCGACTGAACCGGGTCAATCGCCTGGACTTCCTGCCCTACCACTTTCTCTTGGCCGCCGGCAACAGTGCGGGCTATGCCTCCTGGCTGGACGTCTCCATTGGCGAGCTGGTGGGCAATTTTAACACGGGCCTGGGCGACATACGCCTGATGCGCCACAATCCCAGAAACGGAGTGCTTTGCATTGGCGGCGGACGTGGCGTGGTGTCCATGTGGTCGCCCAAGGTGCGTGAGCCACTGGCCAAGCTGCTGTGCCATTCCACAGCCATGACAGCCCTGGCTGTGGACCCAAAGGGCCAACACTTGGTCACCGCTGGTCTGGATCGTGCTGTGAAAGTGTGGGACATTCGGATGCTGGTCCACGACAAGCCGCTCACTCATTTCCAACTGCGTCTGCCCGCCAACGAGCTGGATGTCTCGCAGCGCGGCATGTTGGCGCTGTCGCAGGGCACCTATCTAGAGACCTATTCTGATCTGCTCTCCGGCGGCGGTTCGGGTGACGGGCAAAGGCTGCCCTACATCCGCCAGCGCTGCGATGCCTTTGTCCACGGCCTGCGCTTCTGTCCGTACGAAGATGTGCTCGGTGTGGCCACTGCAAAGGGCTTCCAATCTTTATTGGTGCCTGGCTCTGGTGAGCCCAACTTTGATGCCCTGGAGGACAATCCTTACGAGACCTCCAAGCAGCGACGCGAACACGAGGTGCACTCTCTGCTGGAAAAGATTCCGCCTGAGCTAATCACCCTGGACCCGCACGAGATCACCGGCGTGGATGCGCCCACGCTGCAGGAGAAGATCGATGCCAAGAGGAAGTTGTTCCACGTGAAGGCGCCACGCATCAACATGAAGACCCGGCACAAGATGAAGGGACGTGGCGGCACTGCAAAGGCGGCGCGCAACAAGCAGATCGTCAAGGATGCCAAACGCAAGGTGAGTGGATGGTTCATGTTTTCTCCAAACCAGAATATAACAACTCTTACGTCTGCAGGAGTTCATTGCCGAGGTAAGGGAGGCCAAGAAGGACCTGATCAAGCAGCACACAACCAAGGAGGGTGCCAAGGGCAAGGCCAGGGCACCGCGCTCCGTCCTAGATCGTTTCAGACCCAAGCCTCCCAAGAAACAGAAGACCTAAACAGAGTTCGTCTTAAGCCAGAGGAATATAATGTAAACATTAAACTAATTATAGAAGCTATACAAAAGTATGTGTGTAATGTGGACCCGGAACTCTAGTTAAAGCCCATCACTGCCTTTAGGTAAGCACTAATGGCGTCGTGGTCCGCTTTCTCCTCCACCTGCTTCAGGGCCCTCTCCAGCTTTCCCTCTTTGTCCGACTCTCTGGCATAGTAAAAAAGGTTGAGAACGCGCTTCTGGTTCTCGAATTTGTCCTCGCCTTCGGAATCGCTCGTGACCTGCAGATTAACCAAGTGGCAGACCACCTCTGGCGCAACTTGGATCAGGGCGGACATAAAGACGCCATTCAGTTGGCGGCAGAGCGTGGCCATGGCTCTCAGAGTGCCCTCACCCACTGTTGGTTTCAGCAGCAACTGCGGCAGATAGCTTAGGAACGGGGCGAATCTCTGCTCTCCGCCAAAGCGGGCATACAGATCCGAACGCTCTACAATCTCGCAGAGAAGACTTAGCACTCGAGTGGCCACGCCTTCGCGGGTGGTGAATCGCTGACCCACATAAGCATCGATGGAGGCGCTCAGCAGGTTGGTCAAAGGTTCTGCCACGATGCTCTGCAACGATGTAGCGTATTCAAGGAGCAATGGACGTAGGGAAGCCACTACTGAGAGCTGCTGCTCCGGCGGCAGAGAACTCAGACGCTCCAAGCTCCGTTGCATGTAAGCAACCACATGGTTAAACAGTTGGGCCTGCTTCTCGTTGGGATTCGGAAAGAACTTGCAGGTCAGCTGGACAATGCCTAGGTTTTGGGGCAAACAAAGTTCTCCGCCATCCGCAGGTCCCTTCTCTTTTGATGACTTCTTGGCAGCCAGCGGAATCTGCTGGTAGGGAAAACGGCTGCCGTCCTTGGCTAAAAAGTTGAGCAGGAACTTTTGCGCATAGTTCTTCCTCAGCCAATCGCTGAGATCCCTGGTGCTATTTTCTGATTCATGCTGTGCGATTAGAGTCCAAAGCAGGCTCATTAGACTGATGACCACATGCAGACTTGATGCCGCATCCTGACTGAGCAGCGGCTGTTGTGGCTGCGGACGGACCTCTAGCCAGTTGTCCTGTAGGAGGGGTAGCAGTTGCTCCACGTAGGTTTGCAGTCGAGCGCCGTCGGCACTTAGTTTGGATTCGTTGAGAATGGCATACAGCTCCCTGTTGTCCTGGCGAACGGGACACAGCACATTGTAGTACTGCGGACGCATTGCATCGAAGTGAACCACTCGGGCAACGGCTGTCTTGGAACTCTTGGAGCCGACCAACGTGCCAAGAATCTGTTGCAGGCGGAGGAGCACCTTGGTGCGCCACTTCACAGTCGTCTGCTTGCCCTGGCCCAGGTTCAAAGTGAGAGTGCGATTCGAGCGCTCGCTGTCGTGACGGGCGCGGGAGATCATGTCGATGAAGTTGCCAATGATGGTGCTGGCACTCCGCTCCGCCAAGAGAGCCGGTGGCACACGCTGCAGCAGGACGTCCAGCATGAGGAGCGAGTCCTCCTGGATGGCGGGCAGCACGTGCGTCATGGCACAACGCAAATAAGTGGCTATGACATGGAAGAACGGGGCCACTGCGTGCGGCTGGAGCGCCTCGAGCAGGACATCGAGGGTCTTGAATGATTCCTGTCGCGCCGAACGCTCCATGTCCAAGGCACCGGCTGCAATGCCCTGGAACAGCTCGTTTAGATGACCGATTAGATGATCTGCATTCCCGGACTTTAGGGAATCCCGCACATTGCGTAGGGCATCCGTGCGAAACTTGACGCTGTGATGCTTCAGCCGCGAGAGTGTCTCCTTGAGATTAAGCTGCCGCTGACCGGTTGCGGAGTAGGAAGACTCCTTCAGCTGCTCCCGGATCTCTATTTTGCGCACCTTGAAGTCCGTCTTGGTCACATTTAGGCCCTTGGGCAGCTTGGCGCCCTTAAGCTTCACCTTCGCCTTTTCCGCCCGCAGGTTCTTCTTGTGGTGTCCACCCATTTTCCAGATTCTGGAGAAGATCGGGGGTAAGTTCGAAATCCAAAAGGAAAACAATCAAAACATGTGCGCTCTCCAATCAGCTGGCAGCAGTGTGACCAAACTTGCCAAAGTGTACATCTAGTAAATACCACACAAATACTATTAATTTTAAACAAGACGTAACAAATAAAAACAATTGTTTCTTTTATTATTTATTGAAAAGGACTATATTTATATTTCTTAGTGGATTCGCTTTAGATGTAAATTAGATCCTAATTAATAAACAAATAATAGACAACCGTTTCAAGTAATTAGTCCTGAAAATTAAATAAATCAATTATTAAACCGATTAAACCAATATAAATATATAGCTATTTTTTTAGTTTTACTAAATGTATATTTATGCGGCAAAAATAATAAATTAACAATACCTTTAACACCATCAAGCCTTGTGATTATTTTGGTTAAACCTGGTGCCGTTATTTTTGCAGAATATCTTAAACTTAAAAGGCCATGTTAGTAAAAATATAGAGAAATATCCTTGCATCAGAATATACAACAAATTACAAAATCGTATATTTTCCAATAACCTCAAATTTCAAAGCATGGTGAAATAATAGACTCCAGAATGTTCCATCATGTCAAAACCGTTATTTATTTTTTTTTTAATTCAAGAAGTGGGAAGTAGATTATCCAGTTGAAGCATACTTTTTATGTTATTAAATTTGCTTACTAAAAGCTTTATATGTAAAAATACAAGTGTCAAAAAAAAATGTATTTGAGGCATTTATAAAAATTAAGAGCTAATTAAGAAAATAAGAGGGATCTAAGTTAAATAGGAAATAAAATCTAAGGCACCCAACATTTAAGAAGGCATCAACTAGTTAAAAATTAATTTTTTGAAATGTCTGCACGTGGTGTTGTGCCTTGCTAGTTATCGATAAGTAAAATGCTCAGTGCTTGACCCGTCAGTGTTTCCGGCTTTACCCCAGCTGGGCACACTACGAATTTGTATTTAAAGTGGAGCGTTTTATTGTTTTTGGCATTCGTTTGTGTTAATAACGCTGTTTACGTTGGCGGATAACTTGGCGGCAAAGGAAACGCAATTAACAACCGCATTAAGCTAAACTACAAATAAAATAAATACGGTAAAAACGAGTGGAATTGTTGTGAAATACCCACACGCACACCATCGTCCGTCGTAAACCACACATTCACACCCGCACTCTCACTACTCACCAGTTCCAATTGGAAAGAACCTTTCCGATTGGGGGAGCACGTTTCGCGCAAACTTCGCCTGTGATTTCCGAGATTTCTCGATTCCGGTGTCTGCCGCGCATTTCTATATTTAAAACTAAAAACTGAAAAAATACAAATTTGAAGAACCTGTCGCAATATATGTTTACAAGGGAGCAGCTGACGCCGCCGCCGCAGCTGTAAATTTGAGAGGGTGTGAAGTGAGGAAAACACGCGACCTGCTAACATAATCATTTGTTTTTATTTTTTTTTAAAAATTAATAAACGTGGTTTCGATTCCGATAGAAATACACCACACCGCATACCACCAACAAAACAAAAGGCAATCGCGAGAGAGCAAAAACAGCGGTAATTTCGGCAAATAACGTTACACAACCCCACTAAAACTGCAGCAAGAGAGCGACAGCGAGAGAGAGCAAAAGGAGGTCAGTGCACATATCATATCAAGTTCAATAATGGAAATAATAATACTTAGAAATGTTTTTTCGGGCTTTTTTTGGGTGTTTTTGCGACTTGTTTTAATCGTTTCTAATTATTTCAAATCGAAATTCCTTTTAAATGTGGAAGCCCCATTAAAAAGGGCCACCTGTGGGAAATTGTCTATTTCGTTGTGTTTTTTATGGATTTTTATAACCGGCATGATGTATTCTGTCACCTTCTCATCTTCGATTTTTAACATTAGTATAATAATAATAATAATCGAATTTGTGATCACGAACACCGGAATAATGATCCAAAATGATGAAAAATATATATACTCAACTAAATATTCGTTAAATTTTCTAAATTTAAATAGAACACTGTAAGCTAACAAACACTGCAGGAAATTTTGCAGCTTTGCCAAAAACGACTCTTCAAAATATTCCTATAGGCAACCACTTTTTTTAAATAAATAATTTTGATTTGGTTTTTTTACTTGATTTGGGTATGGTAAAATATATAGTATTTGTAATGAGCAAATCGACTGAAAGGATCACTTCCCGGTTTTTGGGAATTATGCCGCATATGTTGTTCCACTTGTGATTTGTAGTTAGAGCAACAGCTGAGAGCACAACTACAAATTGCTGCAAATTTTCTTATTGGAACGAGCACGCGCGTGTTCCGTTGGTTTTGTTTGTGTTTGCGTTTTTCTGGTATGTGTGCGTTTGCGCCTTCCTTTTGCCGGTAAATTGGTGTTGTCCATTTGGATGTTGTTGCTTTTTCCCCGGGTTGTTTTTGTTGCTATTACTGGTATTTCATTTAACACTAGTGACGCGGCAAGTTTTATAATGATTTCACTCAAAGGGGGTCAAAGTGGCACGGCCTTGGGCTCCGTTCGGCCCACAGCAACCGGTATAATATTAGGAGTTACCAGAAGAATCCATTTAAAAATTTCAAAGCTTTTAATTTTTAAATATAAAGAAATTCCTAAAAGATGTTTAAAAAGATAGAGGTTTCTAGAAGAATTCAAAACATTTTAAAATGTAAACTTTCCCATTTTTGTGTCATTTTTTTGTATGTTTAGAATCCTTAGGATTTTAAAACCCTAATAAGTTCACAAAATTAAAAGGATACTTTGGCTAATAAACATAAAAATAGCCTCTTAAAGTGCTAAATAAAACAAAAGAATGTCAGTGAAAAATTAGTTTTCTAGCAATACAAAATCGCTATGCATTTCAAGAGATTTCCTAATTCAAACTAGCTTGTTTTTCTAATTTTCTGACCACCGCTGTCAATAATTGTGTCTATAGGTACATTTTGTAAATGCGTAATTACCAGGGCGGCCAACCATTTTTTATTGATTTTCTATGTTCTTTGCCGTAATTACCGGGCAATTCGAATGTAAGTACTCGATAGACTTTGTTGTATTGTATTTAATTGTGTGTAGTTGTTGTGGTCATAGCCTTGACATTCGTTCATTTTTATGTGCATGCGATTTACACCCATTTCCTTTGCCCTTTATTCGGTTTTTTTTTAAATATTTTCGGGTGGGAAAATACGACCTTGGGTGGAAACTTCTGGCATTCTCGTATTCACCCATTTGGCGTGACCAATCAAAAATTGGGGTGAAACAAATGGAGCTAATCACTCCGATATAAAGCCCCGCACATTCATGGATTTGTCGAGTCACTGTTTGCCGGCGAAAGTGACGTCACTAGCACGCAAGCAGATTGCTCATACGCCGTGTTTGACCGATCGTTAATGGGGTATTCCTCTCCAGTAACGCCCCAGATAAAGATCCCCCCGCCAAATAACAGTGCTATAAGGAAATGTTTGGCCGGAATTTCACCACAATATGCAAAGCTTCCGTCTGACGTCATTTCAGGATAGAGGGGATAAAACGGGAAAAAGAGAAAGAGAGAATAAACAAAAAACCAAAAAACATCATATCACTTTGCTTTCCTGATCTATCAGCATGAATATGCAGAAATATCTGACGAATTTTGCCCGTGACTCATAGCGCTTAAAACGCTTGAATACAGTAACGTCTCCAAATAGTAACCCATAAACAATATTAGAAAACTACATACATGTTTTCTTGGCAACAGGCTAAATATAATAATAATATTTCAAATGATCTGAGGGTTTTATAAGTGCGCTCATAAAATTTTTAAATTTGCATAATTTTTAAAGACAAACAAAAGGAAAATATAAGGACTTCAAATATTTTTGTATGGGTTCGTTTAACAAAGTGCCTACTGTATTTGCCCTCTCTGTCTAACGCATCTCACGATCAATTACGACTGTTTGTTATTTGATAACAGCGTGCGAAAAGCAATCAAAGCTTTTCAATGCTGTTTCCAGTTGTGACATTTGCAATTACTATCGCACCATGACTTGCGCCAAACGCCAACTATATAGATATACATACATATGTATGTAGATATCAGATAGATAAGTACATTACGCATACGCCCATGGTCCGCTCAGATAGAAGTATTTGACCTTGCTTCAAGTAGCCTTTATTCAGCGGCCTAATCCCAGTCATTGTCACGCACCGAAAAACCACTCAAAACGCCATAGGCATTTGTTACACAGACCGAAATATTTCGATACATTACGGATTTATTTAAAAAGAAACATTACTTTAAAGTTCAAACCCATTAGTCAATTGAAATTGATTCGTTTAATGATATCTATTCCATATCATCATGATATTAAAAACAAATTAAAAAAATACTTTTATCATGTTTTTCCCATCAAATGTTGAGATTTAAGGGTGTTATCTATGCTATATCAGCATGATGTCGGAAAAAAAATATATTTCTTTAATTTTCTCAACCTTTTTTCCAGGCTGGTATGGCAAATCACCATGACATACTTTAATTTTATCATTTTTATAATGTAAAGCAGAATTTGTTATACATTTTTTTTCTCGGTGTAACCTTAGGCTACGCTCTCCACCAGGTGACAATTTGCTGATGCGCATTAGCGGCCGACTTGTTTGAGCAATCGTTTTTACAGCTGTATTATTATTATTATTGTTACCTGTGATTGCCATCATTTTTTAGTGCACGTTGTGTCCTTGCTTTACCTTTTTTATTGGTTCTTCAAAAAACAGGTACTACGGGTAGAGCAAGTGGTAATATAAATTAAATAATTAGTACACAAAATGGCCTTTTTTTTTAAATATTTTCAATGCTTTTTGAAGCTGCTGAAATGTATAGTTAAATACTAATAAAAATGTATTATTTAAGACACATTCAAAACTTACAGTAAACTGCTCTATTCATGACATTATTTTTAGTAGTAGTTTGCAAATTTGATGACCGCAACCAATACGAATATCACTTAAACTTAAATTTAATGGCTTTAAGTGGCAGTAGTTTCAGTAGTTTTTAAGAACCACAAACTTGTTTTTTACGTAAGAGCTATTGCC